AATGATATGTTTGTTATCATGTAAATAAGTCTTTTCGACGACACACAAATGCAGAAACTTATGGTCACATCAGATGTGAATCGCAACAAAGTCCCCATTAGTTTGTGTTTTTTTCTAATTCTCCGATGACGTGATCAACCTCTACTCTATAGTGTGTAATATGTCTATTTCATTTTTCTACACTTCCTCTGCATATTTCTGTGGTTTGTCTAATGTAAGGTGTCAATACTGGATACCTGTTCGGATATATTTTGTCGCCCAGCAAAAACAGCTCAGTCAGGAAAGGTAATTCTTGTACTATATTTCTCATCAACATATATTGCTGATGCCAAAGAAATCCGCACTCAACATAACATATCCTGTCTTCGTTCAATATTACAACTTGAGTGTGAATACAGTGACAATGTCTGTCCTAAGAAATACTGTTCCTGTGGTTCCGTTATCGGCCACAAACTTTCCGTCGATAGCCCTATTGCAAACGGAAGTTTTGGCCACCCTCCTTGTAAGTTCTGCATGCCAATCATCTAAAGAAGGCCAATAAATAAGACGGTTATATGATTCTTGTAATAGGTATACATGTATGCGTTTCATCTTTGATAGTCGAAACACTAACGTCAACTATTTCAGAAATCATATGATAAGACGGGTACGATTGTAACCATGATATACAAGAGGAATTCTGTTTCCCGGGGAAAGCTTATGATTCCGACAGGTTGTCTGTCTGAAAAGACCATTCACATTGGCTACAATTTGAAGTAACGTTTCTGGAGTTTCACCTGTAAAAGAAATATCGTTTGCAAAACATGTGAACACATCTCTCCCATTCCAAAAGTGTACATCATTGCCTATAATATTTCCCTGATTATTAAAGATTGGCTTGTCGGTGGTCAAACCAGGTTTAGAATCAGATGACGAATGAAATGTGTACCATAACATCTGGTGGAGTCTGCATCAGGTAATGCTGCAATAGTTAATCTGTGTTCTACATAACGGGGGAAAATCAAATAAATGCACGAAATACACTTAACATTTATTAATTTTTCCGTATTAATAGTTCCACTCGCTTTACAAAAGCGGGCGGTATATAGTAATTGGGAGTCGTTCATCTTTATCAATAACGTTAAAATCTTGCCAAATAATGTAAACGGCATATTTCTCCTGTTTTTGACATCAACGATACATGTAGTAAATATTGCGTTGGCAATTTTTTTTTTAATTCTAAATATCAGCTTATAATTCATTACCTTTGAAATATGAAAATATCTCGTTATAAATGATGTGTTATGTGTTTGATTACTATTCGGATCCAATTAATATTCGTGTGCATTCAAATATTTATACAAGCAAAGAGCATTTAAGTCGAGAATCATGCAATATAATTCTATTTGATAACATATAACTACTTTATTTCTAAAGAAATATAAAAAAAAAATCATCGTATAAAAAAATCGTTTGACTTGCATTAAACCTAAAAATGGGTTCACAGACATCCGTGTACTTTAAAAGACAACCCGATTGCTTTAAGAATATCTAAACGATATGATTTGGTTCTATACTTTGAAATGCTTCATTTAATTTAAAATGTAATGCATGTATATGTTTAATGCAACTTAAGTTACTTTAAAAAAATTTAAACGAGGAAACGATGCAAACTGGCATTTAGAACCCATAAGTCTAAGAAAAAAGACTCAACCATGGTCAAAAGAAAAACGACGAAAATACAAACAAAAGTCCACAAAAATTCCACAAAGAAATATAGAGTTTATATTTCCATGACAATAAAAGAAAATCAACTGATTTTGACGAATCATGGTATATGAATTCCAATTATAACGGTAACTTTTAAATAATTGAGACCTCTGACAAATAAGAATAATTTGACAAACCACAATATAAATTGAATCAAGAAGACGCTCACGATAGTCGAAAATTACCATTTGGCGACTGACGGAAAAAGGCATTTCAACCATCTTGAAAGATTTCTAGGATCACTTATTAAAACACTTATTTACATACGTAAAGAAGAATATATATATATATATATATATATGCTTTATATTTTCATTGCATTGAAAGATATTGTCAACGTATATTTGTTCCGCCTAACAGAAGTTCCACTGGAAACTTTGTTATAAACAATGTCATGATATCTGTTCCTGTCGGAACAAATATTCTATACCATTTATTCCGTTAGGAACATATACTGTAATATATATTCCAGTGGAAATAATATTCCAGAATATTTTTTCCAATTGGAACTAATATTATGAAGGAACTTCTATTTCGTTACAGTTTTTTTATATTCGGCGAAAAGCTCATCAGAGCGTTCGTTTAAATTGTTTGTCAATATGCCGTTAAAAATAAAGTTTTACTAACAAGCACATTAACATCTGAAGGGTAAAACATGTTTTGGGAGTAAATCTCGGTGATCGGTGAATTAACAAAAGGTATAGTAAAAATACGGAAAAAAATAGTGGTTTCAGAGAACAAGATGAAATATTGCACATTCACGAACAACTGACGCTAAGAATTTTAATAGTTATCAAAATTTTACTATTATAATTCTTGCTAACGCCATGCAGTTGTTTTTTTTGTTTTTTTGTTTGTTTTTATTGGGGGGGGGGGGGGGGGGGGGTTGAATATGAATATAGCTATAAGAGTTCATGAGACTATAAATATATCTATGATTAGAGTTTAGGCTGGGACTATTATACTAAATAGTGTAATAGTCCTAGGTTTTTGAGACAACAACCCAATAACACCCACGGTTACCATATCACTTTATATGCTTTGAAAATGGTACAGATATGACAAGTTATGATTATGATCATAAATGCTTGAAATGAGTGCAAATGGGATTTCTTCAGAACTTACAATAAAAAAGCCATTTTTGGATGGGGTATCTTGACTCTTTTTAAGATATATCTCTCAAAAAGGTAGGAACAGGAATGACCCAATGGGACGCCTACGCATATACCAATTCAACTCTTCTTGACAAGAGAAAGAAAGGGTATGATCTAGGGTAGGCAATCTCAACCACTTTCAAATTATGGGAACATTCTCAAAGTGTGTGTATGGAGAGAGGTGGACCCCATGGGAACTCAGCTTATATACCACTTTATTTATCTTGGCATAATAATCAAAGAAATGTAAATGGTTAAGATCGGAATGTCAACCATTTTCAATGACGGGGACATTGATGATAACTAGGGACTCTCTCTCTCTCTCTCTCTCTCTCTATATATATACATACATTTTATCATTTGATTTGTCTGGTCATGTGTAACTTTTTTTAAAAATCAATTTTATTCTCCTAGTATATAAGTGTTTGTATAAATTAGATAATAGGGGAAAAGGGCAAAGGTCAAGGTCATAGCAAACATGATTGTTTTACCATTAAATATGTTATATTGTACCATGTACTGAATGAATAGAGCTTGGGTGTTATTAGGTTGTCTCTTAAACTCTAATCATAGATATATTTATAGTCTCATGAACTCTTATCATGGCTATATTTATATCCATTCAGTATATGGGACAATATAACAGTATATTAATGAAAACCCCATGTTTATCATTTACTGTTCTCAAGTTAAAACAATTCAAACAAGATAGTAAGCATGTTCTTGATAAGTTTCTATGTAAACCCCACCCTTCTTTTGGTCCCTCAAAATTTCCACTTAATAGACCACCATGTTCACACAAGATTCTTTTATGAACAACTAAACATATAAGCCTAACAAATTGTTTTAACTCTTCATCTAACTTGTGATTTCTGGAAACTAGCAAGGTGGGAAAGGTTTCTAAGAACTAGCTTGCACAACATCAGCTGCAAATTAGGAGAACTGAGCAAAAACAAGTCTCAAACCAAACTTTGTATGGGAGACTTAATGATGCAACTAACATGCAAGGGATTCTTAAGACAGATGGATTAGAGCTTAATGTCCAGTGGCAAATATTGCATGAATATCAGGACAAGAAAATGTTAATGTGATATAAATATGAACTCTGCTTTGTACTAGACTGATATACTAAGCTGGATTATTATAAGCTAGATCACAGGGTAGCAGTCCACAGGAATACATGTAACCCTACCTGGACATATTATTCCAACTTAAAGCTGACCATTTTTGCTTTTACCTCAAAAATTGTTGTGTGCATAGCCAAGAAGCATCAAATATTAATTCAAGTCTTCACTTGACCTAGCCAGCGGTCAATTCGACAACCTCTAGCAACCCTTCCACAACAAGACTACCAAAGGGTTTGAGATCTGCTTTCAATAAAATTGAGAATGGAAATGGGGAATGTATCAAAGAGACAACAACCTGACCATAGAGCAGACAACAGCCGAGGCCACCAATGGGTCTTCAATGCAGCGAGAAACTCCCGCACCCGGGGAATCTTCATTTACCCAGTGTACTGTGAATTCATTTATCTTCACGGGTATTAATTTTAGTGGATAGAGGGAAAAATGCATTTTCGTGTATATAAGATTTCGTGGTTTTGCATGCAAGCAAGCCACTTTGTTAAACATTTCAATTTGTGGTTCACCTAAACCCATGAAAATCGGTTCCCCATGACAAATAATATATCCACAGTATATGATGATCCAACTAAACGGTGGTACGAAATAAACTTCAATTAGGGTGAAATCCCATAAGGGAATTACAAAATAGATATGATGATAAAGGGAGAGATACACATCATTTAAACAGCAATCAAACAACACAAGCTCACCAAAAATAGATATCTTATGACAGGTCACCATATGAACTTATAGAAGCATTCTATATACATGTACTAGTAATATAATGTTTCTTTTTGCTTTGTTAGATTTGTTTAATTTTAATCGGATTATATCCAAGGAAATGAAATTTCTTATCTACTTTTGATATATGCTATTCGTGGTTTAAACAAACATAAGAATGAAGAATCTCCATAAAGTTACCTTTTAGTTAATGTAGTGTTACTGTACTCATTATGAATTAATAATAATACAATTGAATGCAATCTTTATTAATAATTCAAAAACAACTTTTATGCATAACCAACACACATCCACTTGTTATAGCAAGTGTAATTACAGTAATCAACTCCTCCTCATGAATAGCGTTAACAAAGAATTTTTAAAGCTATAAAAATATATGAGAAAATATGCTCTTGAATAAGAATAAAACGTACAGACAAAAAATCAAACATAACACTGACAATATTATGGATAGTTTTAACTGAGTCATGAATTTCAAAATCAATAGACTAATTCAAATAAAGTCTGACCATTATTTCAGTATGGCAAAAGTAAAATTATTTCATTGTGAAAAAAACATTTACATGGTTTAAAATTTCATCTATCTGTACTAAATATAGCCACAAACCAGTGGAATTTCACCCAATACAGTGAGTGCACTAGTATGAAATATTTGTCATACTTGCAAGTGATTTTTACTCAATGCTTTTGTTTTATTTATTGAATGTAATATTTATATATATATCATTTGTCAATATGTTTTTACAATAGCGGCAAGTAAATTAAAAAATGTTTTTCATTGATTAGTATAAAGGGTCATTCCATTGTTTACATCTGGAAAAATAAACACAGACTAGATTTCTTCACTGGTTGAATATAAAAGGACATTTTTCACCAGTCACAATATTTGGGAGTATGCTTCTAAAAATATAAATAAGCATAGGCAGATCCAGGGGGGGGGGGGGGGGGGCCTTTTCGTGGGAAAAATTTGGTTGATTATATAGGGAATCACTGAAGCGTGACAGGAGTGATCGAATGATATGATTACTACAAGTTCAAGAATGGACAATAAATAGTGACAAAAATGCACCATATAAATAATAAAAGATCACTTCTATCAATGATGAATAAATATAAAACTTTTCAGACACAGACCTGGCAAGGTAACTAAATCATTCAGGGGTGTGGAAATGTCAAACTTCTTTACTTGTCCAAGGACTACCTTTTACAATAACCTACTGGCCTGGAAATTTTGATTTGTCCCTACTGAAATTTTTGAACAAACTGGGCTTGATATTTCCACATGACTGTCATTGAATACATGCCTTTTTGATTTCTAGTTCTATCATGTTACAATTGTATTTTTTTCTGACCCTTTATTATACATATAGCCATTATTCCTGTACTGGAACTGTGACCTTATGAATTGACTAACCTCTGGCGAGATGACCCAACAAAGACGTAAAAAATATATACCAGGGGTACGTTAATTATAATGCTGGTAAAGTATCGGATAAAAAAGATAATAGACCAGGCGCATTTTGTTTTTCTAGCAGCGTAGCAGTGCAAGATATTTGTATATAGTAAATTTTGTGGTAATGATAGATACATTTGATAAAATATAAGTTGACTGTCAATCTTTGAAAGCACATGATAAAATAGGGGGAAGGACTCTGTACTGCTAACTTACAATCATCATAGATTCTTGGATATTTCATGTATGTGTATAGTAACATAATGATGTTTTCCACATAAATGTTTACTCAAAAAGAACAGCTGCAGTCTCTTAGATATTTTCACCAAAAAGGAAACAATGCAGAGATTATAGCATCCAAGTGTAATTAAATTTGGGCCATCTAAATACAATCATTTTATTCTGCATTAGAAAAAGTTAAGTTAAAGGAAAAAAATGTATATTAAATTGAAACTAAAAATGTTTAATAACAACATGCAGACAGAATACCTTGTTTATAAGCTTTTAGTTTTACTGGAAACTAACTAACATAGACATTTACCTGGCTTTAATAATCCTTCAATTTACAAAAATTAGAAGAAACAAATAAATCAAAAATGAAAAAAATATTTTCATCACCTGAATATCATATAGTTCCTTCAAAAATGTGCTATTACCTTATCCTCCCTCTTAAAAAACATTATGCACTAAAACACATGGTTTAAATTCTGTAGAGATCAATTCATTGATAATTTTTTTATGGAACATAATGGAATACAGATGGATGTATGCTCTCAGATCTAGTTAAAAAAAAATAAGTGAAGTAAAATAATTCAAAAACAAGAATGAGGTTATAATAAAAAATATATATATAATACCCTCCCCTTTATTTTTCATTTGCATCTCATTTATTCCTGAAAGAGTCCAACATAAAGACTGAAAGAACTTCAAAATTGTGCCTATCAACAATTTAAATGCCTGTAAAATCAATCATAATCTTACTAAGAAACTTTTTGACAACAAATTTCTTAGAATATTGACAATTTCAAGTTGTGTGGATTTTAATCCAATTTCTTAAAGGATATACGAAACATTATAAACAAGCTTCATTTCTTAATTAAGTAAGTCCATTTTCAAGATTCCTTTTTTGTTGTTTTTTTCACTAGTTGTTCTCATTTTTTAAAATTGTCATGATTATGCAAAAACATTTGAACAAAAAATGATGAAACTGTCATTTTTTAGGGTCAATATTATGTTTAACTATATAATTTTTTGTTTTAAAATGCAGTTATACAACATTGTACAAGTTGATGTTTTTTTCTTATATATTCATTATAAATCAAATGTTAAAATAAATTGGTCTGCAATTTTTACATATTTCACCTGAGTAAAGCCATCCTATTAGACTTAAACAGAAAGGGTGGACAGGGGGTTCCTGATTCCAACTTACATTCCCCCTATAGCTACTCCCAAGACAAAATCAGTCAAAAAACATTTTTCCCAGGTTATCCCTTTTTTACTCCCCCTATTCCCCTCATGGCTTCCACTTCCCGCCCCCTCAAAACAATATTTAACTAAATACATATTCATAATGGATTTTCAAAGCCGTAATACTTAAAACAAAAATTTGATTACCAGAGTAAACATGCCAGTAACTGTCTATATCAACATCAAATATTGTAATTATAAATTGTGACAAAGATTCAAGTATCATAAAAATGTCAGCACTAAAATATTTCTATAGCATCTATAACAGTTTCAAAATGTTGAAAATCTTGTAAAATGAATAAAAATGCTGAAAATCAAACACAACTTAAAACAATATTGTTACATTTTTTTCTTCAAAACAATAGTTCCAACATAAAACAAGAATACCTGTGTCCACTGAACACAATGCCTCTATAATACATGTACATATATTTGATAAAAGAGTTGTGACTTTAGGTAACATCAGCAATGATAACAACCAAAACATTTTGAATATTAACTTTTAAATATGGGTAATGCATGACATCCTATATTGCATACACTGTAAGATATTCTCTAAGGTATTTATTAATGGGAGTTTCATATTAAAATACCAACTTTCTTATATTAAATAATATCATGCATGTTATTGTCAATGTAAACTTACATGTGATTCCTTTGCACTACTTGAAAATACAATCTTAAACCAGAATTATTACATTTTTTTCAAAAAAGTCCTTCTGAAAACGCTTGTCTTACTGGATTGTTGTTCCTAAAGACTTTTAATACATGTACTGCTTTTTTATTTGTTATCGTATCAAATCTTTCTTTAATTACCTTATATACAATAATGACAAAAAGCAATGATGACAATTTATGATAACAAGATGAAAAATTCTACTTCTTCTAATCTGCATGTGTCTTTCCATTTTCTGTTTGGACGTCTTTTGTATGTTTCTCATCATAGTCTGTTTTCATTCTTCTACGGACACGAGAGAATGGTCCTATGGATGGATCAGTTATAAAGTTGAAGATCACTCTACACCAAGATGAATGCTGGGGTAAATTATCATAATACTCTGGGGCAATTTCTTTCACCTGAAATTGTAAGATATTTGCCTTGTAAATAAGATATCATTGATTTTGTTATATGAGCATGTACTTTTATTAGTTTTCTCGTTTAAATACTTTCAAGAGGGTAAATTGCATAGTACAAATTTACTTAAAAATTATTAAAGTAAATACTTCCTGTTAGTCAGTCGAATTTAAAACGAACAGAATGTAGAACTTTTCCAGTATAATTAAAGTCAACGATCTATAAAGGTCAACAGACTCAACACTAGCAAAAAACTGTCTTTTCAGGTTATTCTCTTCTGGTCCAACTGCAATGATACATGTACCTATGAATTTTGAACCTTAATTCAAATGTCATCTCCCTTATAATGTCAGTTTTCTCTGATCCAAAGGGTGATCTTTATATACAGGTTAGATTAGACAACCAGATTGTTACTTCTACATGTATAGATTTAATTTTACAAGTTTGAATCAATACAGAACCCAAACATTCAAAAAGTCAAATATTTATTCTTATTCAGAAGGATTATCATCAAATCAAACTTTATCTAAAGTCAAAATATTGATTTAAATATTGACCGTAATATCCTTCAAAATACTATAATCTTATCACTTTAATACCAATTCAAGCACTCTTTGTTATAAATTCAGTTTAAAATCCTTGAAAATGTAATTGCTTTGTAATTGAGTCATGTAAAAAACAATTTCAAAATGTTTCACGTTTTCCTTTGAATATTTTACATGGTATGAAACTTCAACATATTCTCATAGATTGTGAAAGGAAGAATCTTATAAGGATTTGTCCGAAAAACAAAAGTATACACTAGACATATCCAAACTCCAACACATGTCCATAAAACAGAAGTGCAAGAACCAGTCCAGAAATTTTAAAAAGTAGGGTTATACTTCTTAAAGTAATTTCATCCATTTTTCTATGATTTTATTTGAGACATACAATTATACTTTATAATGACTAACGTATCAAATCTCTAATTTTTACTCTTACATAGGGTGTTTGATAAAATACTATTAGCCCTATATACATGATATAATTTTGTTTGTATCAAACACAGTGATAGAGATTCATAAATGTACATTGTATTAAGAGATAATGACAGTGTTCTTCCCAGGCCGTTTTAGCGCTATCGCATTTCAGTGTTGTGGTATTGGGACAGACCGCAGCAGTATCCAATCACAAAACAGCGCTATATGATTTACAATTTTCAAATTTCCATGTTTACCTGTAAAATTTCGATCACGTGATCGCCTAGTTGTTTTGTTTTAGACCTAACGATGTCAAATATCAGAGGGAACAGTTCATTAATGAAATAACAAAATGGCGTCATTGCCAAAAGTAAAGGTACTGGTAGATTCATACATCTAGATGCCTTTTGGTTTTTTCTTGTTTCATTAGGATTAGGTCTATATTGAATTGTCATACATTAGTTTGTAAGGCTTATATATCCATAACAGAAATATGTTTTCTTTGTAGCAGAAACAACAAGAAATGAAATATGAATGGATTTACAAAATGTTTTTCTAATGAACAATTGTACAAAATAAAGATTGGACAGAATTTCTTTTCTTTGATAAAGAATGTAGTGGTATATATGTTCAGTGAGACAGCAATCCAACAACACACAAAAAGGTTCTTAGAAGTCAGTCAACATTTTATCTTCATCAATAGGAAACTGTTTATATATGTGATGGGATTGCTCCCCTTAGTATATGTGGTAGAGACTTAGCCAGCCGTAAGCGGTTGAGCTAGGGAATTACTTCTTTAGCTCAGTCGGTTAACGCGCTGCCTTGTAACAGAGGTCCAGGGTTTGAATCCTGGTGGAGACAATGTGATTTTCTAATATGAATCATGCTCTCCAGTTACATATACATGTACATGTAAAATGTCAATCACAAAATCTCCTGAACCTACACAACATATGATAACTGAATAAATTTTACAGACAAAAAAAAGATATAATTGATAGTATGAAAGCTCTTAACTCTGCCTGTACTCCCTTATTAGAAATTTTTAAGACAAAAACTACATAGTAACTGATAATGTACCAACCTTATAAAGTCTTGATCCTGGTATATACGGAAAGTCATGGTGTTCATTGTGATAGCCTACATTGAAGGTTAGGTAATTCAATGGTCCATAATATGAATAAGTCTCACAGCCTTTGATGAACATGTAGTGCTCTGCTATAAAATGTCCAGACAATGGGTGTAATCCAGTTCCCATTAATGTTCCTGCTATCATGTAAAATACAGGTTTAATACCCCACAAGTAATAAATACAAATGTCAAATACTACTTGGATAATTATGTTAATAATTTCTAAACCTGTGAGAGGTTTTGGTCGTATAAACAGTGGTCGAATAGTGTAGAAGTAGGGCATTAGCAAACAATATACTAGTTTTGACCATGTACGAGTGAAAAATTTTCCTTCTAGTTCTGTTGGAATATCTACATCTCTTTCCACATCACCTTGGTAACGATGATGCTCAAGGTGGTATTTCTTGAATGATACTGACATTGGCACTCCTAGTGGCAAATTGGCAATATATCCTAAAATTCGGTTGGCCAAAGGATAGCTATGACCAAATGCTAAATTGTGTGATATTTCATGAATAGCAAGGGTTAAAGAGTGATTTATTGTCCCACCAAGACAATATGCTAATATGACCACTGTTACCCACGATGCATCCTTTATCAAATATAAACTGAGAATCTGGAATAACACCACAGCTGCCACAATGTATTTTGTTCGAGGTTCATGTCCCATCAGCTTTTTTACTTCTGGATATTTAGCTGGAAAAAAAAATAATTGAAAAACATCATTACAGGAAATCAGTACATGTATATAAATAGCACATAACAAGTAAAAAAGTAACCTGAATAATGTAGCCTCTCCATTTTATCAATACACCTTATCGCTATTCCTGCTTGACCCGAGAATCTGTCCCGCTAGAACTTTTGACGTCATACAACAATCACTTTTCCATTGTGGCGTCAGATATTTTCTATTATGACGTCAAAATTTTACAGGAACTTGTGTGATGTCGAGTAATGGCGGATAAATAGCGATAAGGTGTATCTCTCCTACTTGCATGGAGCCATCTTAGAGCAGCTAATATAACGACTGAATTATTTGGGTTAGTTAAAAAGTGTATAAGGAATCGTTCAGGTTATTGAATGATACTCAAATCTTTTCCTTTTCAGAATAAAGATCACACATTGTCTTTTGATTTTGAAAGTTGTTATTATGCCTTAATTTTCTGTGTTTTTTAACCTTGTTTGTAGCTTTTTGTTCACCCTGAAACAGAGTGATTCATCCATTCAGTTCCTGTCTTCTAATGGTGTTTAAACTAGTCATAACAAAACAAATATAAATACATAATCCAAAGACTGTATATTTTCCTCTAGATTTCTGTTTTTTTGTTGTTCAGTAGCCATCTCATTTAGGTATACTTAACATCTTCATATATACATGTATCATCACATGTACTTATGGCCTGGGATTTGAATCTTTAATAAATTCCGAGTTTATTTAGCATTTTTATGCTAAAACCTGGAGGTTAATGGTAAAAGAAAAAGAAGAATTATTTAGCTGGAAGAACACAGATACAAAATAAAATGTAGGCATGAATGTGTTAAATAAATCTATTTAAACCCTTTATAGATTTCTTACAATGTACTTCATGATACCTGTTTAAAAACCTTATCCATTCATACAAAGATTAAGTACTATTTATAAAACAGCATTACAATGTTGACATGCAAGTTTTATCCATATAGTGTATACAGACACATATCATAAATGAATACATATTTAAAATATGTACATTTGTACACAACATTGTCCTTTGATGGGTTTACCTATGTAAACAATATGTTCATTGTGATATATTTATGCAATACACATGCATGGAATCCTGAGTTCAAAATATTCAAATAATATGTTTAAATTGTAAGGCAACAATAATTAAAACAAATGTTTTGGTTGAGAAATTTTATTAGGATTAGCATTGAACATTTTACATAAACCTTCACCTAATTTAAAGTTAATACATTTTAACCCTATTCAAATTTTTAAGGAACTCATTAAAATAATTTAATTATTAAAAAAGTTGATTTATATTTTTTTTATTGACCATAATTAGGTAATAGTCCCAACCACTAAGGTCTCATAAGTCTTTAAATGCTGAGTATTGATCCTTTTTTTTTATGATGTTGTTTTGTAATTTTATTATAGATCAATATGTGACACTTAAATAAACTATTATTCATCTTATCTTATCCTAAACTCATATAAATCACACATACAATTGATGAGTAATGGTGCATACTGCCATAAATCAATTCTCAATTCATAGATTATTTAATCATATTTCAATTGAAACAAATTTTACCTAAGCAATCTATTGGTCATTATATACCCCAAGGGGCATATAATTTTTGTCAATTGCATTTGACATGCATTGATATAATATCCATATCTATAAATTGTAGTTCCCTTAACTGATACCTGTAAGCATTTTAATAGTATTGGTTTAAACACACTTTTCCCACTTCATTGGGTAGGTAAAAATGATAAATAATTTATCTTGAATATTTCTATGAATTTATTCAGATCTGAAGAACTAACAATTGATATGTCTTTAACCAAAAACAAAAAATAAGCCAGGCAAACATGATGCTATGTTGTAATGTATATATATAGTGCCACAAACAATGGATTTAGTAAACAGTAATGTTGAAGAACAACTTGTGATTGGTTTTATGATGACCCTGCCAATGAAAGTTAAAAATTTTGTCATTAGTGGAAAATTTAAAGAAAATAAAAATCCTGACAACATGAAACTGTTTAAAGTATGTAGGACTCGGAGATGCGATGGGGACGCTGAAGTGCGATGGTCCTTTCTCTGATTTGCAATGATCTATAAGATGCGTGTTGGCTAGTTTAAAATTTACAGATGTCCAATTAATATGAGAGCTTAAATTTTTTATAAGTTAGTATAATTACCAAACTTTTATAATTTTCTCGTTGCAGAAAAAAACATTGTTGATACATCTTATTCCTTGTTCTGATTCACAGCAGCCATATAGATTTTTTGCTTATTTTGTCTGACTAACCAAGAAGTATTTGCATCTCAAACATTTTTTGAACTTCCACATTTTCTCAGTCATTGCAATTGGTACTGGTTTTAAAGTAAAATAGCTTTTGTATGTAGCATCAATTTCTGAACGATTGTATGAATGACTGCTTTTTTTTTGTTTAAGCTACTTACAAAGTTTAATGTACACTACACCATTACAGTGAGGACTAAAAATGCAATGACTTTTTAGCATTATGCTGTTTTGAATTAAATGGCTTATACTCTCAATATTATACACTTAAAAAAAAAACTGAGAAGCTACTTCTAACAAAATAAAATGCTCCACTGGGTGCAGCTTGATACGACTGCAGAGGTCGAACCCTGAACAGTTGGTGTCTTCCTGATTGTCCCACTTTTTAAAATTACAGGTAAAAAAGTAATGAAATTTAGTGGGACAATCAGGAATATGTTTGTGGGACAATTGGGAAGTTTAAATGTGGGACAATTGGGAATTGTTTTGATAGTGATTAATTTGTTTTTATAGTGTGTAGCAGTTACTAATCACTGTAACTTATAAAATATGAAAAAAAACCATGAACAAATAATAATACTTACATATTATATTTTGCACATACATGTAGTAGGTACAATTGAAGTATCATCAAACATGGAATATAATATAAAGTCATAAAATTTTAGTCTTAGATGCATGATTTTTTTAGTTAGTTTTTATTGGCTTTGAACTAGCTGTCAGTAACTGCGAGTACTCTAAGATCTGTACTTAGTGTCTTTGTTGTGGGGATGTATAAGTAGCCGTCCACGTCCATGTCCACTCTGTGATTTGTTAGATGTATTTCTGTCTGTACTCATCTGATGAGTTAAAAGCCTTTTTCAACTTATTTTTTTTAGTTTATTCTTATGTTGTACTGTTACAACACTGTCCCAGGTTAGTGGTAGGATTGGCGCCTTCAAAAAAGTTTAACCCCGCCACGTTCTGTATGTGTCTGTCCCAAGTCAGGAGCCTGTAATTCAGTGGTTGTCGTTTGTTACTGTGTAACACATTTGTTTTTCGTTCATTATTTTGTACATAAATTAGGTCGTTAGTTTTTCTAGTTTGAATTGTTTTACATTTTTCATATGGGGCATTTAAAGCTGACTCTGCTGTATGGGCTTTGCTCATTGTTGAAGGCCGTATTGTGACCTATAGTTGTTAATTTCTGTGTCATTTAGTCTTTTATGGAGAGTTGTCTCATTGGCAATCATACCACATCTTTTTTTTTATGGAAGTCTGGTTCTTCTTTATAGTTGGTGACGAGTCCTGTTGACTGCACTATATGGCAAAGACACTGGGAATATTGGAAAAACAACCTTTAATATTGATTCATGGAAAAGCTGATCTGGCAGAATTCTAGACAACAGCTTCGTTATCAAAAAAAAGAAGTTGTTGGGTTCAGGTGAATCTGACGTTGGGTGTTAGCAGTCTTCAATAGTGTAGAGAATGTTGTATTAATGTCCTCTGACTTCCCTAGTAAAATTGTAAAGACTTGTGGAAAAATCTCTCCATCAACAAGTTCCTCTAGAGTGTAGAATGTAAATGAGTGTATACCTTTTTTTTTTTTAAATTGGATGCATTATTTATTCAAAAACTTTATAGAGAAAATGTAATTAAAATTACGGTATTGAAATTTGTTTTATAAATTACGTTACATTGTAGATATATTTCATAAGTCAGAAATATTATATTTTTTTTTAATAAAAAGTGCATTAATCTAATGATTTAAAAAACATTTTTTTTATACTTCTATAAAATTAATATTAAATGTGCAATAAATTAATTCTTGTCTATTTAGTAAAACAAACAACAGTTACATTGTTTATCTAAGAACATTTTACTTCATAAGATAATGTGGGACAATCAGAACTTTTCATGTGGGACAATCAGAACTCTAAAATTTTAAAAAGTGGGACAATCGGGAATAAACCGAACAGTTGGGGCAAGTCTAGAAACAACATTCAAGCTTGAGACAGCACTGAATTTGGATTGTGATTAAATATTTGACACAGCATAGGTTTCTGACACAGAATGAATGTGGTCTAAGAACTTAAAAAATTTTAATTTACCTATTCAAACCATATCATTATTATTTGCTTTTATATATAAATCAGAAATAACCAATTTAAAATGGAAAATTTTAAAGAAAAAAAAAAGGAAAAAAAATCCCTCCCCCAAATTTTTTGAACCCCCTTATGATTCATCACCCCCAAACTCAATCCCAGCCTTCCATTTGTGGTATGGTACCTTGCAGTACAATTTCAGAGAGATCCACACACTTGAACACAAGTTATTGTCTGGAAACTAGAAAAATGCTTATTTTTGGCCCCTTTTTGGCCCCTTATTCCTAAACGTTTTGGGCATTTACCCCCAAACTCAATTCCAGCTTTCCCTTTGTGATATGGAACCTTGTAGTACAATTTCAGAAAGATCCATACACTAACACACAAGTTATTATCATGAAACTAGAAAAATGCTTGTTTCTTGCCCCTTTTTTGCCCCCAATTCCTAAAATTTTGAGGCAATTACCCCTAAAATCAATCCCAGCATTCCCTTTGTGATATGGAACCTTGTGGTACAATGTCAGAGAGATCCATACACTAACACACAAGTTATGTCTGGAAGTTACAAAAATGCTTATTTTTGGCCCCTAATTCCTTAACTGTTGGTACCATAACCCCCAAAATCAATCCCAACCTTCCTTTTGTGGTATTGAACCTTATGGTAAAATTTCATAGGGGTCCATTCACTTGAACTAAAGTTAGAGTGCGAAAACCAATGTGTCTTCGGATGATGACGCCGGACGACGACGCCAACGTCATACCAATATACGATCGCAAAATTTTTTTGCGGTCGTATAAAAATTGTTACACAACAGGGATTTCATTATTTTCTTTGTGGAAGAGTTATTTTCAATTTGTAGGAGGGACTTTATATATATTTCATAGATAAAATTGAGAATGGAAATGGGGAATGTGTCAAAGAGACAACAACCCGACCATAGAACAGACAACAGCAGAAGGTCACCAACAGGTCTTCAATGCAGCGAGAAATTCCCGCACCCAGAGGCGTCCTTCAGCCCTTAACAAATATATATACTAGTTCAGTGATAATGAACGCCATACTAAACTCCAAATTGTACACAAGAAACTAAAATTAAAAATAATACAAGACTAACAAAGGCTATGCCTTTTTAGTAATTTTCTGCATTCAGATATTATTACAACTAGTTTGTTTAAAATGATTATTTAAATAGTACCAGGTACTGTCTCTTATTGAAATGCCTACACAAACATAACATACTAAATTGACATGTTCAATGAAATAAGAGTTAGACCAAGGGGATATCAATTGTATAAAGTAATGTATTTCGTGATGTTTAAAGAAAACTTATTTGTTATCGTTTACAATATTTAATTTCATATGCACTAGTAAGAACATTTGGTTCTAACAGAGGTCATCAGTGAGATTAGAAATAATAAAACCATATCACAGAGTTCATTCTTTTGAAATTCTCTCCATATAATTATAAAAAAGTTTTATTAGATCTGATTTATTTCATACTTGGTATATAATAATGTTTTCACATCCATTATCCCAATCCGAAATCCGCAGAGGGATACAAATCCTGAGGAGCAATTAATGAAAAGTTTGTAACGGTGGGTAGGTCAAATCTGGATCTGATTCCCACTGTGCATAATTCCTTCATTCATCTCATGCTCTGCATGAACAATTGCTATCTTGAAGTAAGTAAATTCAATTACCTCCCCTTTAACATACATGTAGTTTACCGGCATTATACAGTTATAGTCCTTTAAGAACACCATCAGATAGGGTTCTACTCATCAGTATCCAATGTGAAAAAAAAACTTCTGTTCTGAAAGTTTCTTTAACTTCCCTTGAGGTTTCTTATATAAATAATCTTACAAACTGAACCTAGATGTTGATTCCGCAGACTCATTGTAGGATCACTTAGACTATGTTTCCATTTGCAATAAAACGTTGCAGGCTTGACAAAAAGAAGGAAAATATCTTATCAAAAATTAAATCATTTTAATGATAATTAATCTTAGAGACGTTCTCTCTATACAAAGTATCAGTGACCGCTGTGGATAATAAATCTTGGAATTGATAGTACTGGTAAATAGCAAATACAGTTATTTCTAGTATATTTATGTTCATATATGATATATAAAAACGTGAAACGCGAAAAATAATTGTAATTAATAGAAAACAAAAAATAACGAACTTTAGAAAAAAAGGGGGAAGGCTAAAAAAATTTTACTGTCCCCAAGTACCTTCAGTATGAGGAAAATAATAAATAGAAAAATAAATCAATTTTTATTTTTATAGCCAAGGTTGTATCCAATGATATTTATAGTTTACTTATAGATTTCTATACAAATCCTTGCTTAGAGTACTAGAGTTGATTTCCAGTACAGCGGCTCTTTTCACAAAAAATTTTGAGAGTAAAAATACTCGTAAGTCATACACATTTCAATTTTCAGAAATGACAGTATAACTTACGATCAATTTTAATCGTAAGATTTTTTGTGAAAAGAGTCGCTGGATTCCTGAGGTTCCTCTTCACTATAAGTGAAACCTACTACAAATCCTTGCTGTATGTAAAAATTTACAAAGTTATACAACATTGTATAAAACTTAAAATGGGTGTGTAGATACCGGTGGCTCAGGTCTCGCTGATCATTTATTCTTAAATTATCTTACCCAATATCTCTTTTCTTCGTGTTGCATGTGGTTCCTCCGTATACACCCATTCATAGTCCGTTTGAGAAACTTGAGCCCCCATACTTTCAATAAATAATCAGCTGTTTGCTTCTTATAAAACGATTGTTCCTCAACATCAGACCATTTAAAACTTTCAACTAAAAATGATCTTCCGACTTTCAGATACACATGAATGATTTTTGTCACGTGACAAATGAGTTAACTACGACCCCCAGCGAACAAAACTTGCTGGCCGCCATTACCAACATGGCGTCCATCATTGGTTCGGAAGTTGAGATTCAAGAAGTAGAGGTTGAATCAATCCCTGTTGAAGTGCCGATAGAGACAGTTGAAACGACCGATGAAACAATTGAAGTGCAACCTATGATAGCTTTACAACCCTTGCCAGATGGACAGGAAGAAATAATTTTACAAACTCGTGAAGAAGTTGTCGGTGATCCAAACCTCGTGTATGTTGACAGTATACCTGTTCCTGCGCCTGAAATAGAAGTGTCTACAGAAGAAATTTGTACCTACAGAAAAGGCAAAGGGAGTAAAAAGAAAGGAAGTCGTTCAAAAAATTACGTTAGTGCTGGAACACTAGGAGAATTGAACTTTGATTCGCCTTCATCATCGAAGAAATGGGAACAAAAACAGGTTCAAATAAAAACTTTGGAAGGAGAATTTTCAGTAACAATGTGGGCTACGGGTCAGTACAGATCTTATTCTTTAAATTTAAACAGTAGGTCATAAGTGTTGATGTATTATTCTAGCAATATAGCGAAAATAAGTTAAGATATTCGAAGAAAACTTGTCCACAGTTCGTACAGACAGGATTGTAAGAAATGACGTCATTGTCTTTTTATGGAATGTTAGAGGAGACACACCCAACGTATTTTTACCCTTTTTTCATTCAATTGGTGGGCTGACAATGTTTTTCAAGTCAAGTTAAGATGTTTGTTTTGATTTAGCTGTCGGCCATAGTGAATTCATGGGCGCCGCCATATTATTTCAGCCATTGCAAGAACATGGCGGGTGTAAATTTGCAATGGCGGACCGCGGCCATTTGCAGAAAGATGACCTCGAATATTGGCCCAGTAGTCGTATGCACTGGAGTCATGTAATGGTTGAAGCGAAAATTTTGATTAAAAAAATGATTTTGCAGATGATTGTGAATTAATTTCACTGATACTTATTGAAACTACGAATATTTTATTGAAAAAGGAAAATGACCTTGGAAATGGACAAGATGGCTCCTTTCTTTGCATTCGACCATGAAATTAATCACGTGATTTCTGTATTTAGAAATTTTTGGTTAGGTGAAGGTCAGACTTTGTTTTTAAAGGGGAGGAGTTTATTTATAGGTTGATATTTTGTGTTTTAGAGAGCCATTCATTGTGGATAAGTCGGTCTGGACTAGTCAAAAGATTTATAAGCTGAAGCTTGAAATTTCTGATTTTTTTTTAATAGATGAAGATAAGTAGATCATGTTTTAAACATAAATTAAATAAACTATTTGTACAGTTCTGAGTAGACAGTATAGGAAAGTATAAATTTATTTGACAAGCTTTAGAAACTGATATATAAGCGAGGATAGCTTTATTTTTATACCCCGCCGTAGTGGAGGGGGCATTAAGTTTTACCCTTGTCCGTCTATCCGTACGTCCCAAAATTAATTTCTGTTTTCTAACTTGAGTTTGCCTCAACCAAATGTTATGAATCTTTACACAATGCTTATTACCATAAAACACAGAACAAGTTTAAATTTTGGTGGCATCACTTTAACCGTTCCAGAGTTATGCCCCTTTATAAATGGAAAAATTACCAAATTTTTAGTTACGTTCTCTAACTTGAATTTCCCATGACCAAATGTTATAAAACCTATACACAATGCTTATTATCACAAAATACAGATCAAGTTTGAATTTTGGTAGTGTCACTCTAACCGTTCTAGAGTTATGCCCCTTTATTAATGGAAAAATAACAAATTTTATGTTTCTGTTCTCTAACTTAATTTTGCCTCAACCAAATGTTATGAAACTTATTCACTATGCTTATTACCACAAAACAAAGATCAAGATTGAATTTTGGTGGTGTCACTTTAACCGTTCTAGAGTTATGCCCCTTTATAAATGAAAAAAATACAAAATTTTTAGTTTACATTCTCTTTCTTAAGTTTGCCTCAACCAAATGTTATGAAACTCATGCACAATGCTTATTACCACAAAACACAGATCAAGTCTGAATTTTGGTGGTGTCACTTCAACCGTTCTAGAGTTATGCCCCTTTATAAACGGAAAACAATGCAAAATGTTTGAGTTTCTGTTCTCTAACTTAAGTTGCCTCAACCAAATGTTTTGAAACTTATACACAATGTTTTTTACCACAAAATACAGATCAAGTTGAATTTTGGTGGCGTCACTTTAATCATTATCAAGTTATGCCCCTTTATAAATTGAAAAATTGCTAAATTTTTAGTTTCCGTTCTGTAACTTAAGTTTGTCCCAACCAAACGTTATGAGACCTATTACCACAAAACTCAGATCAAGTACAAATTTGGGTAGCGTCACTTTTATCATTCTTGAGTTATGTCCCTTTATAATGTTGTATGCAAGTGGGGGCATCATCTGTGTCCATGGCATGGACACATTCTCCATTTATTTTTTCTTCGAGAGTACAAAAAAATTGATATTTTCCTACAATTTAAGCAAACATGTATTCTTTTTATCCTGCAATTTAACATTGAACTTAAATGTATATTTTTTTCATCCAAAACGTTGAATTTGTTTGTGTATGAAATCAACATGACTCAAATGTGGACCGCGATGAGAACCTGAAATTGATCTGTCATGTAAAAATTTATTTGAACATAACTGTTTGCCCGCAACAGAAGTACATGTAACTTACTGATGCATGTAAAAAGAGACCATAAATGTACATAGTGTTGTACCTTATGCTTTTATCGCTTCATGTTATCTGTCAAACTGTGTTTGTATAGTAGAAAGGTCAATTGCAGGATATTTTGAAATTAATGCATTTTTGATACTCAATCTTCAAATAAGTGCCTTTCAGCAAATATCTTCACATCAAAATGGCCTTCATTCAATTAAAATCCTAATGTGGCTGGCTTGATAGTTAACTATTTTCCAGACATTTTGGGAGGGTGATATTGCTTTTCCGTGACACCCTGCACTTTTTGGGCAGCATGTTCCTTTTCAGTCGTATTTTATAATGCCCTGCCTATATGAAGCCAGTCACTATCAAGACTGAAGACACTATAACATCTTGTTTTATTAACAATTTCAACATAAAATCTTAACAATCACTATTTGTCTTGCCTGCAATGAAAGCTGCAGAATGCGAGACAGTCAGGAATTACTATGCGGCAGTTTTTGAAACAATTTGTATAAAGGGGAGGACCTGGATGCTTCATACCTTTATGATAAGAAGTTTCCATCTGTCACATGTCCATTGTTCCTGACATCATTTTCATGGTTTAGTGACTGCTTAAAAAAATGTACAGTATTTTTGTCATGTGTCGATGATGTGAATTAAATTTCTTCCTTATAATGAGTATATTGTAATAGGATACTATATTTGGTATATGGAATCCTTGTACATGTAAGGTCACTTCCTCAGTGGTGTCATGGAAGCATGTTAGCCTCCATTGCGGGAGGTCTTGGGTTCAAACCCTGGCTGGTCAGACCAAAGAGCTTAGACTTTAAAATTGGTATTTGCTGCTTCTCGGGGCACTAAGCAGTAAGAGCTAAGACTGGTTGGCTCGGAGTTAACTGTTGGAATAATGTGTCTGGGTAAGGTGACATGTATACCTGTGGACTGCTACCTTGTGAACTAGCACGTTAAAAATCTGGATCAGCATGTCATTCTTGTACAAAGCATGGTGAATATTCATATTACATCAACAGGTTCTCGTCCTGAATATGCATATTAATTTGACGCTGGATGTTTAACAGCCATCCTTCATCATCATCCTTGTAAGGTTTACATATGTGTCTGTCAGAAGGGGTCACCTGACTTTGTCAGAGATCAAGGTTAAAGTAATGTGATTAGGTTTGTTACTCAGATACTACTTGTATGAGCAGGAGGTCCACTAAAACTGTTTATATGTGCACGTGGTGTATGGAATGATTCATTGATTGTAAGGTGTATGTGTCAGTCATTTTTCATCTGTCCTTGACCTCATTTTCACACTGATTCTAATTATTCATAAATACTTTAAGACTTAGGGATTCAACTATATTTGGTACATGGAATAATTGTAAGGTGTACATTTTGTACATGTCTGTCTGGCATCTATCATCTGACCTTGACCTCATTTTCATAGTTGATTGGTTAATTTTAAGTTTTTATGGTTTGGTCTGTTTATTGAATACTATAAGCAAAAGTTCAACTATATTTGGTGTATGGAATGATTATAAGGTATACATGTCTGTCTGGCAGAGTTTGTCTGACCTTGATCTCATTGTCATTGATCATTGATAATGTTAAATATATGTGATTCATTTGTACATGTACCATGATGTGGTAAAACCTACATGTACACATAAAACCAATCTTGGTCAGATAAACAGTGCAACATTCCATTGTGTGCACTCTTGTTTTTATACGACCGCAAAAATTGAAAATTTTTTGGTCGTATATTGGTATGACGTTGGCGTCGTCGTCGTCTGGCGTCGTCCGAAGACACATTGGTTTTCGCACTCTAACTTTAGTTTAAGTGAATGGATCTCCATGAAATTTTACCATAAGGTTCAATACCACGAAAGGAAGGTGGGGATTGATTTTGGGGGTTATGGTACCAACAGTTAAGGAATTAGGGGCCAAAAAGGGGCCAAAAATAAGCGATTTTGTAACTTCCAGACAATAACTTGTGTGTAAGTGTATGGATCTCTCTGACATTGTACCACAAGGTTCCATATCACAAAGGGAAGGCTGTAATTGATTTTGGGGGTAATTGCCTCAAAATTTTAGGAATTAGGGGCCAAAAAAGGGGCAAAAAACAAGCATTTTTCTAGTTTCATGACAATAACTTGTGTGTTAGTGTTTGGATATTTCTGAAATTGTACTACAAGGTTCCATATCACAAAGGGAAAGCTGGAATTGAGTTTGGGGGTAATTGCCCGAAACGTTTAGGAATTGGGAGCCAAAAAGGGGCCAAAAATAAGCATTTTTCTAGTTTCCAGACAATAACTTGTGTTCAAGTGTATGGATCTCTCTGAAATTGTACTGCAAGGTACCATACCACAAAGGGAAGGCTGGGATTGAGTTTGGGGGTGATGAATCATAAGGGGGTTCAAAAAATTTGGGGGGGGGGGGTTTTTCTTTTTTTTTTTTTTTTTCCCTTTTTTTTTTCTTTTAAAATTTTCCATTTTAAGTTGGTTATTTCTGATTAATATTTAAAAGCAAATAATAATGATATGGTAGGAGATACACACCAAACAGGATGTGTAAATTATTATATAATAAGTATTGTGCAATAGCAAGAAATTTTCAATTGCACAGTATTGCACAATTGCAAGAAATCTTCAATTGCACAGTATTGCGCAATAGCAAGAAATCTTCAATTGCACAGTATTGCGCAATAGCAAGAAATATCCAATAGCACAATATTGCACAATAGCAAGAAATATTCAATTGCACAGTATTGTGCAAAAGAAGATACTTCGTATAAATTGCTTATTTCTTGATCAATTTCAATGGGGTTTTATTCTTGAATTCTTGGGGTTCTTTAATATGCTGAATCTAACCGTGTATTAAGTTTTTGGATTTTGGGCCCCGTTTTTAAATTGGTCCACATTGAGGTCCAAAGGGTCCAAAATTTAACTTTGTTTGATTTCATCAAAAATTGAATTATTGGGGTTCTTTGATATGCCGAATCTAACCGTGTACATTTAGATTCTTAATTTTTGGTTCCGTTTTCAAATTGGTCTACATTAAGGTCAAAAGGGTCCAAAATTAAACTTAGTTTGATTTTAACAAAAATTGAATTTTTAGGGTACTTTGATATGCTGAATCTAAACATGTATTTAGATTTTTGATTATGGGCCCAGTTTTCAAGTTGGTCCAAATCGGGGTCCAAAATTAAACTTTGTTTGATTTCAACAAAAATTGAATATATGGGGTTCTTTGATATGCTGAATCTAACCATGTATTTAGATTTTTGATTTTTGGGCCCCGTTATCAACTTTGTCCACATTGAGGTCAAAAGGGTCCAAAATTAAACTTTGTTTGATTTCATCAAAAATTGAATTCTTGGGGTTCTTTGATATGCTGAATCTAACCATGTATTTAGATTTTTTATTTGTGGACCCGCTATCAAATTGGTTCATATTGAGGTCAAAAGGGTCCAAAATTAAACTTTGTTTGATTTCATCAAAAATTGAATTATTGGGGTTCTTTGATATGCCAAATCTAACCGTGTATTTAGATTTTTAATTTTGGGTCCTGTTTTTAAATTGGTCTACATTAAGGTCCAAAGGGTCCAAAATTAAACTTAGTTTGATTTTAACAAAAATTGAATTCTTGGGGTTCTTTGATATGCTGAATCTAAACATGTGTTTAGATTTTTGATTATGGGCCCAGTTTGCAAGTTGGTCCAAGTTGGGGTCCAAAATTAAACTTTGTTTGATTTCAACAAAAATTGAATATATGGGGTTCTTTGATATGCTGAATCTAAACATGTATTTAGATTTTAGATTTTTGGCCCAGTTTTCAAGTTGGTCCAAATTGGGGTCCAAAATTAAACTTTGTTTGATTTCAACAAAAATTGAATATATGGGGTTCTTTGATATGCTGAATCTTACCATGTATTTAGATTTTTTATTTGTGGGCCCGCTATCAAATTGGTTCATATTGAGGTCAAAAGGGTCCAAAATTAAACTTTGTTTGATTTCATCAAAAATTTAATTATTGGGGTTCTTTGATATGCCAAATCTAACCGTGTATTTAGATTTTTAATTTTGGGTCCCGTTTTTTAAATTGGTCTACATTAAGGTCCAAAGGGTCCAAAATTAAACTTAGTTTGATTTTAACAAAAATTGAATTTTTGGGGTTCTTTGATATGCTGAATCTAAACATGTGTTTAGATTTTTGATTATGGGACCAGTTTTCAAGTTGGTCCAAGTTGGGGTCCAAAATGAAACTTTGTTTGATTTCAACAAAAATTGAATATATGGGGTTCTTTGATATGCTGAATCTAACCATGTATTTAGATTTTAGATTTTTGGCCCAGTTTTCAAGTTGGTCCAAATTGGGGTCCAAAATTAAACTTTGTTTGATTTCAACAAAAATTGAATATATGGGGTTCTTTGATATGCTGAATCTTACCATGTATTTAGATTTTTTATTTTGTGGGCCTGCTATCAAATTGGTTCATATTGAGGTCAAAAGGGTCCAAAATTAAACTTTGTTTAATTTTAACAAAAATTGAATTTTTGGGGTTCTTTGATATGCTGAATCTAAATATGTGTTTAGATTTTTGATTATGGGACCAGTTTACAAGTTTTTTCCAAGTTGGGGTCCAAAATTAAACTTTGTTTGATTTCAACAAAAATTGAATATATGGGGTTCTTTGATATGCTGAATCTAACCATGTATTTTGATTTTGGACATTGGACCATAATAGGTAAATTAAAAAAATTGAAGTTCTTAGACCACATTCTTTCTGTGTCAGAAACCTATGCTGTGTCAAATATTTAATCACAATCCAAATTCAGAGCTGTATCAAGCTTGAATGTTGTGTCCATACTTGCCCCAACTGTTCAGGGTTCGACCTCTGCGGTCGTATCAAGCTGCGCCCAGCGAAGCATTTTATTAGAACCCTAGTTTTATGCATATTATAATTTATTAAAGAAAAATAAATAAATAAATATAAGTCTTTTCCTAATAAATGAAATAAATTCTCTCAAAACTGACGCCACACTTAAAATATTTGGTTTGCCCAAACCCTACCCAAAGGTAGAGACAGTGGGTAATTGGTAGGCATTTTCATTTTTTTTTTTCGTCACTTGCAGTCCAATATTCAATAATGTTACAGTGACTTGATTGAAAGTGCAACTCTCCTCCTATTCCATTAAAGTGAAAATGCAGAACAAATAATAATAATAAATAGGCTTTTAATATTTAGAGAGTCTGCATGGTTTACAAAATAGTTCAGTTCTATTGAGCTTTTTTAACCAGCATCCAATGCAAGGTATTTATAACAATACTATACAAACAAAATTACAATTTGTTACATGTACATGTACATCTGATCAAATCAAACTGTTCAACTGGTGAGGCGTTTTAACCTCAGAAAATCTACAATCAAGTCATCACAGTGATACAATATATGTACATGTTCAAAGCATGACAATTTCAACTTTTTGCTGTCTTTGACAAAATTGAGGTCAAGTTCAATGTTAAAGATTTTCCCTTTTTGTCGAGCCTTCGACTTTAGTCGAAAAAGCGAGACATAGCGATCCTACATTCCGTCGTCGTCGGCGGCGTCCACAAATATTCACTCTGTGGTTAAAGTTTTTGAAATTTTAAAAACTTTCTTAAACTATCCTGGATTTCTACCAAACTTGGACAGAAGCTTGTTTATGATCATAAGATAGTATCCAGAAGTAAATTTTGTAACAATAAAATTCCATTTTTCTGTATTTTACTTATAAATGGACTTAGTTTTTCTGCCGGGAAATATTACATTCACTCTGTGGTTATAGTTTTTAAAATTTTTATAACTTTCTTAATCTATCCTGGGTTTGTACCAAACTTGGACAGAAGCTTGTTTATGCTCATAAGATAGTATCTAGAAGTAAATTCTGTAAAAAAATAAATTTTTTTTTTCCTTATTTTACTTTTAAATGGACTTAGATTTTCTGCCAGGAAACAACACATTCACTCTGTGGTTAAAGTTTTTAAAATTTTAATAACTTTCTTATACTATTTTAGATTTGTACCAAACTTGGACAGAAGCTTGTTTATGATCAAATGCTAGTACCTAGAAGGAAATTTTGTAAAAAAATAAATCCATTTTTTCCGTATTTTACTTTTAAATGGACTTAGATTTTCTGCAAGGAAACAACATATTCACTCTGTGGTTAAAGTTTTTAAAATTTTAAGAACTTTCTTATACTATTTTGGATTTGTACAAAACTTGGACAGAAGCTTGTTTATGATCAAATGCTAGTATCTAGAAGGAAATTTTGTTTTCTTCCAGTTAACATTACATTCAGTCTGCAGTTAAAGTTTTTAAACATTTATTAGATTCATAAACTATCCTGGATTTTTACCAAACTTGGACAGAAGCTTCTTACAATCAAAAGTTAGTATCAAGAGAAATATTTTTATTGATTTACTTCCTCATTTTTGTTAAGCCTGCGATTAACAGAAAAAGTAGGCGAGACACTGGGTTCTGCGGAACCCTTACAAATTTTTAGCTCACCTGGCCCAAAGGGGCAAGTGAGCTTTTCTCATCACTTGGCGTCCGTCGTCCCTAAACTTTTACAAAAATCTTCTCCTCTGAAACTACTGGGCCAAATTTGACCAAACTTGGCCACAATCATCATTGGGGTATCTAGTTTAAAAAATGTGTCCGGTGACCCGGCCAACCAACCAAGATGGCCGCCATGGCTAAAAATAGAACATAGGGGGTAAAATGTAGATTTTGGCTTATATCTCTGAAACCAAAGCATTTAGAGCAAATCTGACATGGGGTAAAATTGTTTATCAGGTCAAGATCTATCTGCTCTGAAATTTTCAGATGAATCTGACAACCTTTTGTTGGGTTGCTGCCCCTGAATTGGTAATTTTAAGGAAATTTTGCCGTTTTTGGTTATCATCTTGAATATTATTATAGATAGAGATAAACTGTAAACAGCAATAATGTTCAGCAAAGTAAGATCTACAAATAAGTCAACTTGACCAAAATGGTCAGTTGACCCCTTAAGGTGTTATTGCCCTTTAAAATTTATAGTCAATTTTTAACCATTTTTCGTAAATTTTTGTAATCTTTTACAAAAATCTTCTCCTCTGAAACTACTAAGACAAATTTAACCAAACTTGTCCACAGTCATCATTAGGGTATCTTGTTTAAAAAATGTGTCTGATGACCCTGCTCGCGAACCAAGATGGCCGACATGGCTAAAAAATAGTACATAGAGTAAAATGCAGTTTTTGGCTCATATCTCTGAAACCAAAGCATTTAGAGCAAATCTGACAAGATTAAAATTGTTTATTAGGTCAAGATCTATCTGCCCTGAAATTTTCAGACCAATCGGGCAACACATTGTTGGGTTGCTGCCCCTGAATTGGTAATTTTAAGAAAATTTTGCAGCTTTTGGTTATTATCTTGAATATTATTATAGATAGAGATAAACTGTAAACAGCAATAATGTACAGCAAAAACTGTAAACAGCAATAATGTACAGCAAAGTAAGATCTACAAATAAGTCAACATGACCAAAATTGTCAATTGACCCCTTAAGGAGTTATTGCCCTTTATAGTCGATTTTTTACAATTTTTGTAAATTTTTACAAAATATCTTCCACTGTAACTACTGGGCCAAGTTCATTATAGATGGAGATAATTGTAAGCAGCAATAATGTTCAGTAAAGTAAGATCTACAAACACATCACCATCACCAAAACACAATTTTGTCATGAATCCATCTGTGTCCTTTGTTTAATATGCACATAGACCAAGGTGAGCGACACAGGCTCTTTAAAGCCTCTAGTTTACAAGTTTAGGAGTTATGGTCCTGGATTGATTGGAAAATGACACTATATGTCTTTTCTTTTAAATAATTTATGAACTGTTCTACCAATGTGTTTCAAATTTACTATGTTGTTACTGATGACAAAATGGAGATCAAGGTTGATAATGAGGATTTTTTTCTCTGTCATAGTGACAGCCTCTTGTTAAGGTCTCAACCTCATCTTTCAATCTTATTTGTTGACTTTAGTCACTAACAAAAGATATATACAATAAAATTAAAAATCTGTACAAAAGAGTGTTTTGAAATAAATTGGATAAATGTATGTCACTATGAATGTATCACTGTGGTATTATATTATGAAAAAGTATACGACTTTCAATAATATAAGCATATATTTCCAGGTGGGGATGACAAAATAAAACTGGAAGATGAGGTATCAGAAACAGATGCTGACTTCACAGAATATATGACTGGCAAAAAACTCCCACCTGGTGGTATACCTGGACTTGATTTAAGTGACCCAAAGCAACTTGCAGAATTTGCCAGGTAAAATTCAATTGAAAATTGAAGACTAAAAATGATTTAGATTTTCTTGATTAAATGTATATGTATTTTTTTCTTTCTCTTAACAAGATGGGTTTTAGGTTATTCATGAACCATCATAATATACATCTAGTAATATGGACTAGATTTTATCTTCGTCATGTATATGTAGTTGTCTCTTTGGCACTCATACCACATCTCCTTATTTTTATTGCTAGATTTGTTAAATATTCATTCCAACTAAAATAATGTGTGGTTCTTGTTTCCATATAGCTACCTAAATTATTTTTAACTGTGTCCTAAACATTTCAAGCCATTTTACAAAAAGCTCTTTAAAGTCACAGTGTGTTCTCTTTATATTCTATATGAATAAATATAATCATTTTTTTACCAACATTTCAACTGGAAGTTGAATGAAAATGTGTATTATGAGAAAAAAGATGCCGAACATGTAAGATAAGCATAAACATTTCTTATAGTTGATGGTTAACAACCTTCATTAGTGCGAGTACTAGGGAAAAAAGTCCTGTGTTTTGCAATTTATTTTCAAGATTCATATTTCTTTTGTTCAAATGGCAAAAGTGAGAACAATTCCTGAAAAAAAGTAGAAAAATCTGTAGAGCAGATCGGTTTCCTCTTTTTTGTTTGCACCAAATATTATTATGTGGAGTAAATATAGTGTTACAGTAATGATAGACGTATTAATGTAGATATCATTCTAATGTATGCATTCATACTGAATCTTTCATGTAGTAATTAGTTCGCTATATCTATAATTAATATATACAAAGGGGAGTAACTCTGGGATTCATCACTTGCCCTACTACTAATTTCGCATTTTCATGCTTGAACAATTCCTAACAACAAAATATAATCCTGCAATAATTTAAAAGTAAGCAAAATATTTTATTTTAATGAAGAATTACAATCTTTTGCATGTAGGCTATATTGTCAAATTTGAAATGACATAAGTAATGGTCCAAATGATACCCAATCAGTCTGACAGCAATAAATAGATGTAGTTTCATGATATAATTTGTACTGCAGTTCAGTTTCAGTGAAAATTCTGTGATATATACTTGAAAAAGACTTTGAAATTTAGATTTAACATATTTAAAAGGGTTAGACATTGGAGCATTACCAGGTTAATTGTACTTTCACTGATATTTCAGTATGAATTAGTTAACTCCCTTATATATTAGCCATGCATGCATGCATGGCTATAAACCGTCCTAAATTGGGTTAGTTTTCATCATACATTTCTTATCAATTTTCCAGAATTCAAAATTATTCCAGATTCAAATAATTCCTTGTTTTATGCATTTAAATTACAACTTTATTCAAAATACAATATTGCTGTCAATTGACATGTTTTAGAGTAACAAGCTAAGAGCAAAGCAAAGAAAATCAGTGTATATATAAAAGACCGTGTTTGAGAGACACAGGGAAAGATGAGGATCAGTATATAAGACAGTGTTTAAGATAACTTATATCAAATAAAATATATCAATTATAATAAGTAATAAAATAGAAATATCCTTATCCCACTTAGGGGTATATTTTAGGGAAAAGCCTAGGTATAATTTGGGGTTAGGAAGAAATTAAATTTTATAAAAAAACCCATATTTTTGTAAAATATATCCCCACTTTTGTGTGTTTGGTATTTCAGGTTTAGATGGTGAAATTTGACGATATAGCCCGATGTTTTTCTTTGCATTCATTTCACATTTTCTACAGAACGTAGAACATTTTAAGATGGAATATTGAATATTTGCATGCAAGCATTAATTCATTGCTTGGGACACTAAAATGCACTAACCTTTTATATATTTCAATTAGGGTTTAAACTAACTTGGACTAACTTATAACATGTCAAAAGTAATCGACTACAAGATTTGTATTACAGAAATTCAAGTAGTCCCTTAGTGATAAGTCAGCACAACCACTTGTCAAAATTTAACCCAAATTAATTCTGGGGATACAAACTTTTAACAAGGAGCAAACAATTTAAAAATCCTAAAAGGGATCAGATTTGCTATTTGAAAGAGTTTTTTATTTTTAAAACGAAAGGAGATTTCCTGAAATAACAAAAATAGATGAATTAAACAACAATAATTTATTTATTATTGGACTTGAAGGGTCGGGAACTCTTATTTTTGACATATAATAGGGCTCACCTGAAAAGTCAAATAATTGATTTTCCATGGCAAGAACTTTTAAACGTACTAATAGATTTTGTTTCAGGGACTTGGTGTCCATTCCCCTCCCATCATATGAATGGTTGAATATATGTATATATAAACAAGTTAATAAAAACAGTGCACATATAAATGTATATATCCAAAGACATCAAATATTTGAAGTTTGTTAAAATAATGTCACTAGTGCTTTCATGCCTTTTGGCAATTTTTTTCGGGCAACGATTTAACAACATCCTTGACGACATTGCTGTTTGTTACATTCATAACATTACAATAGTAGTAAGGGTAGATAAGTCCAAGGTATTCATGTAGATTCATTTAATTTTTGGTTAAAATATATTTATATATATCTTCTTATTTGCTATGACAATAACTTTTCAGTACTAGAAACTAAGAATATGTTTGTTGGGCCTTTTCTCTACTGGAATGACTTCTTTAAATGAAGGGTAGACATTACTTTTGAACCACTAAAACAGATCCACCTAATTCAAAGCATTAATCATAAATTCAAAAATCAACTTTCCTTTTCTATAATTAGATGAGATTTAATTATTCAAACAATAGACACCCCCTTATAACCATTTATAAAATGAATGAATAGATATAAGATGTGGTATGAGTGCCAATGAGACAACTCTCCATCCAAGTCAAAATTTATAAAAAGTAAACCATTATAGGTCAAAGTACGGTCTTCAACACAGAGCCTTGGCTCACACCGAACAGCAAACTATAAAGGGCCCCAAAAATTACTAGTGTAAAACCATTCAAACGGGAAAACCAACGGTATAATCTATAAAAAAAACGAGAAACAATTATGAACCACTTCAACAAACGACAACTACTGAACATCAGATTCCTGACTTAGGACAGGTGCAAACAATTGCAGCGGGTTTAAACGTTTTAATGGTACCAAACCTTCACCCTTATCTGAAACAATAGTGTAACATCACAACATAGAAAGACGCACTATAAAATATCATTGAAATGTCTTAACTCAATCAAAAGACATAACACCAGTGAACATTCACTGAACAAATAAATTTGATCTATGATACAATGTAAATACAAAATAAATAAACTAAGGGAAGAATAATTAATGTAACATGTTATACCGCTGTGAAATGTTAAACAATTTAAGAAAAACAATAAGCTTGAACAAAAATATCAGCCATTTGCATGTTTTATTTTGTAATATAAAGAATGACTTGTTTTTATACGACCGCAAAAATTAAAAATTTTTTGGTCGTATATTGGTATGACGTTGGCGTCGTCGTCGTCGTCGTCGTTGTCGTCGTCGTCGTCCGGCGTCGTCTGGCGTCGTCCGAAGACACATTGGTTTTCGCACTCTAACTTTAGTTTAAGTGAATGGATCTCCATGAAATTTCACCATAAGGTTCAATACCACGAAAGGAAGGTTGGGATTGATTTTGGGGGTTATGGTACCAACAGTTAAGGAATTAGGGGCCAAAAAGGGGCCAAAAATAAGCATTTTTGTAATTTTCAGACAATAACTTGTGTGTAAGTGTATAGATCTCTCTGACATTGTACCACAAGGTTCCATATCACAAAGGGAAGGCTGTAATTGATTTTGGGGGTAATTGCCTCAAAATTTTAGGAATTAGGGGCCAAAAAAGGGGCAAAAAACAAGCATTTTTCTAGTTTCATGACAATAACTTGTGTGTAAGTGTTTGGATATTTCTGAAATTGTACTACAAGGTTCCATATCACAAAGGGAAAGCTGGAATTGAGTTTGGGGGTAATTGCCCGAAACGTTTAGGAATTGGGGGCCAAAAAGGGGCCAAAAATAAGCATTTTTCTAGTTTCCAGACAATAACTTGTGTTCAAGTGTATGGATCTCTCTGAAATTGTACTGCAAGGTACCATACCACAAAGGGAAGGCTGGGATTGAGTTTGGGGGTGATGAATCATAAGGGGGTTCAAAAAATTTGGGGGGGGAGATTTTTTTTTTTTTTTTTTTTTCTTTTTTTCCTTTTTTTTTTCTTTTAAAATTTTCCATTTTAAGTTGATTATTTCTGATTTATATTTAAAAGCAAATAATAATGATATGGTAGGAGATACACACCAAACAGGATGTGTAAATTATTATATAATAAGTATTGTGCAATAGCAAGAAATTTTCAATTGCACAGTATTGCACAATAGCAAGAAATCTTCAATTGCACAGTATTGCGCAATAGCAAGAAATCTTCAATTGCACAGTATTGCGCAATAGCAAGAAATATCCAATAGCACAATATTGCGCAATAGCAAGAAATTGTCAATTGTACAGTATTGCGCAATAGCAAGAAATATTCAATTGCACAGTGTTGTGCAAAAGAAGATACTTCGTATAAATTGCTTATTTCTTGATCAATTTCAATGGGGTTTTATTCTTGAATTCTTGGGGTTCTTTAATATGCTGAATCTAACCGTGTATTAAGTTTTTGGATTTTGGGCCCCGTTTTTAAATTGGTCCACATTGAGGTCCAAAGGGTCCAAAATTTAACTTTGTTTGATTTCATCAAAAATTGAATTATTGGGGTTCTTTGATATGCCGAATCTAACCGTGTATTTAGATTTTTAATTTGGGGTCCCGTTTTTTAAATTGGTCTACATTAAGGTCCAAAGGGTCCAAAATTAAACTTAATTTGATTTTAACAAAAATTGAATTCTTGGGGTTCTTTGATATGCTGAATCTAAACATGTGTTTAGATTTTTGATTATGGGCCCAGTTTTCAAGTTGGTCCAAGTTGGGGTCCAAAATTAAACTTTGTTTGATTTCAACAAAAATTGAATATATGGGGTTATTTGATATGCAAAATCTAAACATGTATTTAGATTTTAGATTTTTGGCCCAGTTTTCAAGTTGGTCCAAATTGGGGTCCAAAATTAAACTTTGTTTGATTTCAACAAAAATTGAATATATGGGGTTCTTTGATATGCTGAATCTTACCATGTATTTAGATTTTTTATTTGTGGGCCTGCTATCAAATTGGTTCATATTGAGGTCAAAAGGGTCCAAAATTAAACTTTGTTTGATTTCATAAAAAATTGAATTATTGGGGTTCTTTGATATGCCAAATCTAACTGTGTATTTAGATTTTTAATTTTGGGTCCTGTTTTTTAAATTGGTCTACATTAAGGTCCAAAGGGTCCAAAATTAAACTTAGTTTGATTTTAACAAAAATTGAATTTTTGGGGTTCTTTGATATGCTGAATCTAAACATGTGTTTAGATTTTTAATTATGGGACCAGTTTTCAAGTTGGTCCAAGTTGGGGTCCAAAATTAAACTTTGTTTGATTTCAACAAAAATTGAATATATGGGGTTCTTTGATATGCTGAATCTAAACATGTATTTAGATTTTAGATTTTTGGCCCAGTTTTCAAGTTGGTCCAAATTGGGGTCCAAAATTAAACTTTGTTTGATTTCAACAAAAATTGAATATATGGGGTTCTTTGATATGCTGAATCTTACCATGTATTTAGATTTTTTATTTGTGGGCCCGCTATCAAATTGGTTCATATTGAGGTCGAAAGGGTCCAAAATTAAACTTTGTTTGATTTCATCAAAAATTGAATAATTGGGGTTCTTTGATATGCCAAATCTAACCGTGTTTTTAGATTTTTAATTTTGGGTCCCGTTTTTTAAATTTGTCTACATTAAGGTCCAAAGGGTCCAAAATTAAACTTAGTTTGATTTTAACAAAAATTGAATTCTTCGGGTACTTTGATATGCTGAATCTAAACATGTGTTTAGATTTTTGATTATGGGACCAGTTTTCAAGTTTGTCCAAGTTGGGGTCCAAAATTAAACTTTGTTTGATTTCAACAAAAATTGAATATATGGGGTTCTTTGATATGCTGAATCTAACCATGTATTTTGATTTTGGACATTGGACCATAATAGGTAAATTAAAAAAATTGAAGTTCTTAGACCACATTCTTTCTGTGTCAGAAACCTATGCTGTGTCAAATATTTAATCACAATCCAAATTCAGAGCTGTATCAAGCTTGAATGTTGTGTCCATACTTGCCCCAACTGTTCAGGGTTCGACCTCTGCGGTCGTATCAAGCTGCGCCCAGCGAAGCATTTTATTGGACATTTAACCTCACGACTCCAACACGTCCAAGCTTCATGTACACAAGTTAAGGCAACCAATCCTCATGTGGTGGTTAGTATGCACACTTTATTGTACTTATTTGTAAAGTGAATTTACAAGATCAGAGAATTGGCAAATCTTGTTTATTTTAACTTCTATGTTAGAATTTGTTTGAGCGAGACTGTTATTGGTAGTCAGTAGCAGATTCAGGGGGTCAAGGGGATGTAGATGGTAAACCCCTTTTGATCAGAAAATATTATTTTTGTTGGCATAAAACCGTCCCGAAAAAATTTCCACTCACTCTGAATAACCCCCCGTAAAATACTGGATCTGCCCTTATAGTAGTCATGGTCTTTAAGTTACTTTACAGAAATTTAGCAGCTTTAACTTCAAAAGAACAGTTCTTATTTTGTATAGAAGTGAAATGATATACATGTAAATACAAAAGCTTAGCCTTTGTAATAAATAATGCTACTGCTACATGTTCATATTCAAACATAGATATTGCATGGTTTTATCATTTGATGCTTGTATGTATTTGGTGAAAATACTTATCATTGCGATTAAGATCATACTTTCCCTGACTTGGAGTAAAATTGGCAAATATTTCAAATTAATCAATATATGGCCTGTAGTTATAAATTATAACTATATTTAAATGTGAAGGTCACTATACTAGTATTGTTATTTCATACACAATTTTTTTTTATTATTTTTGAGTGCTGTAGTAACTCAACAAGTCACTTCTCTAACAGTATTTTTTATTTCTAACTAACATTGCAGTTTGCACTTCAATTATTTTTATCAATTACTAGTTTAAGGAATTATCATGGATCGTGTACAGTATTTAATAATTCATGTGCCAATCAGGTACCGATTTGAATGCAGAAGGTTTTAAGAGTATTACATGTAACTGCATTATTGAGGAACAGTAAAAACAAGATGATACAAAACATTTTGATACAAAGAATACATGTACTTTCTTATACAGAAAAGATTTGTCCATTATAATTATCTGGTATGAAAATTAAACATGCAAGTAAATGCTCATTTACTTAATGTTGGTCAAATGTGCTCCTTAACTTGAGTTCTCAGAGGTTAGAATTCATTCTAATAAAAAAGCTGACATTTTCAGTTATTGCCTTTGTCAGTAGTTTATATAGCAACATATTTTGCATTCCTACTTACTAAGTTTTGAGGCTGTTTTTTTCTTCTTTTTTTTAAAGTAGAGATCACGTTGATTGCTTTAATATTAGTTTGTTTAAATATAGAATAATGAGTATAAAGAAAAATCCATGTTCATTTCAATAAACAAATTGGATTTGTTGTTAATTTCAGTCTCCAGCCAAGAGACATGCAGTTGCTACAGCACTCAAGGTATTTATCAAGATTGGGAAGGGACCAAATATTTCAATATTAGCTATCATATTATCTGCTTTTGATCATTGACAAGGTAACTTCTATAAAATCATTCATTGGCTACATTTTAATTCTTATAACATCATGCATGAATTGACAAAATTTTAATGCATTGTGATTTTGTAATGTGAATCTGAGCAAATAAATCATTTTGTTTATAATTTCTTTTCAAAATAATTTACTATTCCTGAGGTTAATGGATTAAAATTAAGGATACTGTATATACACATTTGAATGTTAACAATTTGACCCAGAAAAGATAATTTGCTGCAACATTGGGAATAAGCTTGGATGCATACTTTTTTTAGCCAAAAGAAAATATAAATAAAATTTTAGCTTGTCATGCCATTATATTAAAAACTGTATTTCTAATTCATCATGCTTTGTAATCCAATGCAACTCTGTCCAAACATTTAGTTTCTATATGTACAAGCGGCGCCAAAAAAAATAATTACAAAAAGAAAAGAAAAATTAAAATGACTAACAGTTATGTTTGATTATTTCAGAATAAAGCCAAGAAAACCTGCAGATGATGTGCCAAGAACAGTTCCTTGTCCACATAAGGTATACTTCTATGAGGAATTTATGAAGAATTTCTGACATAATTTTGGTTTACTGACAGTTTTTTCAGTTAAGTTGCAATAGGCCCGAGAACACAGTTATTTCGTAGTGCATTTCTTTTAGACAATAAATTCAAATTAAAAAAATCGCACCTGCTCTATCTCAAAAAGATTTTTACAGTGTAGTGTACTACTATTGATACAAATAATATCAAAATTATAGAAACTTCTACCAGCTCTAACTCAAAATATTGACAATTCTGTGTTAAGGGGGGCTAAAATTCAGTTTGACAGCTTCAGACATTCTAATTTTTGACCTTTTTTAACTGGACCAAATCACTACTTAACATAAAGATTCAGCACCCAAATTTTTTTAACATGTAATTTCATCCCCTTACTTAATATTTCATGCATAAAATATCAAGAAATAAATTGGGAAAGTGTATCAAAAAAAAATGCAAGTTATACACTGTTCACACTAGGGACTATATTTGTAGACAACGAAAACCAAAGGACGATAACTGTGTCCTTGGACCTAATAGGATAGAAAGACTTGACCAATTTTAATAAAACTTTGCATGACCTAAGCTTAGGCAATTATAAGATAGTTGGCCAAGTTTCATGGCCATAGGATATATATTATAGAAACTAGGGCCATTTTAATATTGAAATTTGGTGGTTTATTTTTGACGTTTAAATCAAATATTTTCAACTGTCAAGATTTTGGCCTAAAAAATTTAAATATTGCAAAAATTTGCTTTTAAAATACTCTTGAATTTAATATAATAAGTATTAAAAGCAACGGAACACTCATTTGATTTATCAGATTTATTACAGTTATTCAAAAGTCAAATTTATATGAGCCTGTGCCTGAAAATAGAGATTTTTGAATTAAGGGAAGCCTTACATAAACATGCATTTTTTTCAACCAATTTGAAGTTTTTGAAGTTTTTTAACCATACATTATTCTTCCATATATATTAAATGTACTTTAAATGTAAAGAAAAGTTACAAAAAGCATACCACATGAGTATAAAATGGTCTTAGGCCATGTAAGACTGAGAATTATTTAGAGTCGATTTAGGCCGTAGCCCATATTTACATATAAAAATGCACACAGAGGCTATAAGAAATTGAAATTTGTTACTTTTTGCTCATTTCTATGCTAAGATGTCATGATACAAGAAGTCTAATTGCAAAAGGACTCTTGAATTCAACTTTTTTTTGCAGACAGTATGGTCTGATGACCAGTTTTTCACTTTTCAATGGAAAACTTGCATATAGTTTTAGTCTCATTTGGCATATATTTGAACCACTTACTATCCTAAAGAAGAAAATTATGATAGCATATGAAATGAATAGGGTGTACTGATCATTGTAAAGTGGTTTTTTTTACAGATTTAGTGAAATATTTGTGATGGACTACAGATTTTATGTACAAAGCTCTTCACATTTCACATACATCAAACAGGCCGTTTAACCAGGGACATAAATACAAATATTCTGCACATTTTTTCTGTGATAATCTACTTTTCTCTAGATTCCGAGTTCACAAATGGTTAATTAAATTTGATTTAAGCATAGAAACACAAATATCAGGAACATAAAAAGCTGTCAGATAGAAAGTCAGCATGGCTCTTAGGCATAAAATGGAAACTGCTTTAAAATGCCTATTTTAGCCGTATAATGCCAAAATGGGACATTTTAACAGAATTTCTGTCAAACAAAGATGTAAATCCTTTACTTTTATTGAGTTTGACAAATTGAAACCAGCAAACCATTCAGGAAAGTTGCCAAAGTACAGAATCTACATTTACGGAATTCATCTCTTAGGCCCGAGAACACAGTTATTTCGTAGTGCATTTCTTTTAGACAATAAATTCAAATTAAAAAAATCGCACCTGCTCTATCTCAAAAAGATTTTTACAGTGTAGTGTACTACTATTGATACAAATAATATCAAAATTATAGAAACTTCTACCAGCTCTAACTCAAAATATTGACAATTCTGTGTTAAGGGGGGCTAAAATTCAGTTTGACAGCTTCAGACATTCTAATTTTTGACCTTTTTTAACTGGACCAAATCACTACTTAACATAAAGATTCAGCACCCAAATTTTTTTAACATGTAATTTCATCCCCTTACTTAATATTTCATGCATAAAATATCAAGAAATAAATTGGGAAAGTGTATCAAAAAAAAATGCAAGTTATACACTGTTCACACTAGGGACTATATTTGTAGACAACGAAAACCAAAGGACGATAACTGTGTCCTTGGACCAATAATCCCATAAAAAATGTTTTTTTCATTGAAATGGGATATATGGGCATAAACAAAAAGTTTTGGTCATTTTCCCTTAAAGAATACTGTGTGTTTTATTTTAACGAATGGATTCCATGTTTAATATGTCATGTACATAAATCAGAAATATTTCACTTGAATTGTGAACAAAAAACAATAATTGTACTGCTGATGAGCATACATGTCGGCTGTAAATAAATTAATGATTGACACGATGTAAACACATGTTTTATTTATAAGGTCTATTTTTAATAGCATGAAGGGAAAAGTTGTGTGTATCCTTATCTAATAGGGACCAGTTAAAAAATTGTTTTTTTATATTGATAGGAAGCTGTTGTGTTAGTTTTTACCAAAACGTGACAAGCATGTTTTGTTTTTTTATGTCCCTACCGCTAGAATAAGGGGGCATTAAGTGTTATCCTTGTATGTCCGTCCGTCCAAAAAGTATTTTTACATATTATAAGCAAGCTTTAGGGGGGGAATTCATGTCCTCAGACACATAGTTCTTTTATTTAACCAAAGTCAAAGGTGATTTAATCATTCTAGATAACAGCTAAAATACATATATATATGGTTGCATGAAAACTTGTTTTGATGGATAAAAATATGTGGAGTAAATGAAAACAAGACAGCAACATAAGAAACAAAAACCAAATATATCTACAGGTCATTATATTCTGTATGATAATAGACGTGTGTATTTACATTATGTCAACTTCTAAATGGTTTGGAAAGTTGTGAATAATTTTTTACAACTTTATGAAATCTTCTATAATACTATATTCCCTAAATGCTAAAAACTTTTTCTAGAGTTAACACATTACTTTTTTCACAGGGTTGCAATAAAATGTTTCGTGATAACTCAGCCATGCGCAAACATCTACATACGCACGGACCAAGGGTACATGTCTGTGCAGAATGTGGGAAAGCCTTTGTTGAAAGTTCCAAGTTAAAACGGCACCAGCTTGTCCACACAGGGGAGAAACCATTTCAGGTAATATACAAATACTTTTGATAAGGCTCAATATGAATCTAAATACAACAGAGAATGCCAGAGGTCAACAAAGATAATATTAGAGAACGATATGCAAATATTTCTAATGGAAATTGAATAAAAAAAAGGAGTTATTTGCTGGTTACTAAAAGTGTGAAAAAAGAATTATTGTCAATTTTAAAATATATGAATGGTGATAAAAATCAGTTTTCTCCCATGAATTTCAATTAGCATCTTGTTGCAGAAATTTATGACAGAAGCGTAAAACAAGTTTTTTAATAAAACCACCTAGGAACTAATTTCTGATAGGTCAGACATTTAAGCAATAGGGTCAGAATAGTCTGAGGCTGAAAGTAAAAGAGTCATTAGAAGAACATGGAAATAATTGAAATTTGTGAAATTATTGGCTGCAGTTTGTATAACTTGCATTACTTACAAGTGAAATTTTAATTTAAAAATTAAGTGTCTGAGAAAAAGTGCTCTGTAATTATGATGTTTCATATTTTAATCTCTTTTCTGTGGATATTTTGGTATTTTATAACAACCATTTCACTTAAAGATTGTTTAGTTATTTCTTGAAAATCCTCCACATATACATATACAAGACTGAGTTGTTATGATTCTAACTATTGTTGGCATTTTATTTGCAGTGTACATTTGAAGGTTGTGGGAAAAGATTTTCACTGGACTTCAACTTACGGACACATGTTAGAATACATACAGGGGACAGACCATATGTTTGTCCATTTGATGGCTGCAATAAAAAGTTTGCACAGTCTACCAACCTCAAGTCACATATACTAACACATGCTAAAGCAAAGTAAGTCAACTCAACCCGTGTTTTGTCAAATATACGATTGCTTGCTAATGTCAACCAACTATATGTCAGATACATGTATACTGACATACAAAATCCAATTTATTGAACTCAATCAACCTCCTATGATATAGACTTATATGCTAATGTAAAGAAAGTCAATCAACCTTTAGTCACATACAATAATGCATGCTAAAGCCAAGTGAGTCAACTCTTCCAACATCAAATCACATACACACTGAGACATTTAGAATAATAATAAACCAAATTCATTCATGTTTTTACCCATCTTCGCTAGCCAGGGTTACGATCCACTTCCCTCCTCTCCACCCTTGGCTGATTGAGATAGAATTTCGGAGACACAAGGTAATGATTTTCATTGGTTGCAGTCGAAACTCACTGCATCCAATCAAAAAGCGCCTATAACATGATCACGTGTAAATGTAGAAAGTGTATGTAAACAATTGCCACATGCTTATTGTGCAACAAGTCTTTACATCCCAGGGTTCGACACTAACGCTAGTCAGCTAGCCCGAGGCTAGTAAAGTTTTCATCACAGTAGTCCGACGGGCTAGTCAAAATTTTGTTTATAACTAGGAATTTTACAAAATTTTAATTGTCAACAAATCCCACATTTTTGTCGAGCCTTCGACTTTTGTCGAAAAAGCGAGACATAGCGATCCTACATTCTGTCGGCGGCGTCCACAAATATTCACTCTGTGGTTAAAGTTTTTGAAATTTTAATAACTTTCTTAAACTATTCTGGATTTCTACCAAACTTGGACAGAAGCTTGTTTATGATCATAAGATAATATTCAAAAGTAAATTTTGTAAAAAAAAAATTCCATTTTTTCCGTATTTTACTTATAAACATGATAAATGGACTTAGTTTTTCTGCCAGGAAACATTACATTCACTCTGTGGTTAAAGTTTTTAAAATTTTAACAACTTTCTTAAACTGTTCTGGATTTCTACCAAACTTGGACAGAAGCTTGCTTATGATCATTAGATAATATTCAAAAGTAAATTTTGTAAAAAAAAAATTCCATTTTTTCCGTATTTTACTTATAAATGGACTTAGTTTTTCTGCCAGGAAACATTACATTCACTCTGTGGTTAAAGTTTTTAAAATTTTAACAACTTTCTTAAACTATCCTGGATTTGTACCAAACTTGGACAGAAGCTTGTTTATGATTAAAAGCTAGTATCTGAAAGGAAATTTTGTTCAAATTTTGTTCCATTTTTTCCGTATTTTACTTATAAATGGACTTAGTTTTTCTTCCAGTTAACATTACATAACAGTCTGCAGTTTAAGTTTTTAAAACATTTATTAGATTCATAAACTATCCTGGATTTTTACCAAACTTGGACAGAAGCTACTTACAATCAAAAGATAGTATAGAGAGGAATATTTTTATTAATTTTTTTCCTCAATTTTGTTGAGCCTGTGATTAACAGCAAAAGTAGGCGAGACACTGGGTTCCGCGGAACCCTTACGAATTTTTTGCTGTCTTTATTGTACAGTTTATTCACGTATATTTTGATTGTCAGACATTTTTAACATGAAAGGTACTTTTTGGGGAGGGGAAAGAAACTGAAACAATGATGGTACTTAATACATTGAAAACCACGTGTGTTACAAACGCCGTGATGATTCTTTTTAGAAACCTGGATCTCAAAAGTGCTTTCAGAATATCAAAATAATAACATGAATACGAAATTTACATACATTACTACCGATGCCATCACTGTTTGGGAAAATTGTACAACTTATTGGGAAGAATTTTAAGCCATTTTTTTTAGTAATTGGGAATTTTCTTTTGGGGAAAAAGCTGTATTTCGGATGTAATTTGAGGCAAACAATATCACTGACATATAATATATACTAAATTATAGGTCTCTGGTAAAAATATACAGATTTTTAGGAATAAAATTTCGTCCTGCAAAAAAAAAAAAAACTAACAAACAACAAGGCAAAGAAGGAGTCCATGAAGAATTATGACAAAAAACAGCAAGGGCAAACCTTTCCTCTTTTGTTGGTGTATTTGTAAATCCCTTACTTACCCATCTTCATTAAAGACACTAGTAATAATGATAAATGAAATGAGGAGGATGATGAAGTAATGATCTAAAGGGGTCTTCAAAGTAAGTCGAACACATTCTTAATATAGATGATTAAAATATGAAATTTTTTTTTTTTTTTTTTTTTGGTATTTTTTATTAGCAAACAAGTGAAATTTCATGAAATAATACATGTTCAAAACCCACTGGAAATGCTCCAGAACGCAGGATTTTGCTTCATTTGTATCAAAATTTTTTGGGGGGCATGCCCCCAAACCCTCCTAGATAGGGTCGTGCCATTGGCACGACCATCCAAGTGCCTTTGGCACTTGGAGGGCTAGTGATTTGAAAAGAGGACTAGTAGAATAATAATTTCAATAGCCCTCCAGGCTAGTACATACATTTAGTTAGTGTCAACCCCTGCATCCCTAAACATAAGACTATATTTAGTGACAATTTGAATGTTTTTAATCAACTAATAGAAGTTCCTGTGTATGTTTCTTGCACAAATGCATTAATGTCAACGTATATTTTCGTTTCCTGCTTTACCAAGTGTGTAGAATCTGGACGCTACCATGTTTTTACCTCCAAATTGAAGAGTTCAAGTGCTACCATTGGTCAAGAATAATGTATTAGGAATGGGCATGACTTAAATCTACCGATAGATGGCGCAACATTGTTATCACAAATGTTGGCTTAATCTGCCAAGGGTGGAGAGGAGGGAAGTGGATTGTAACCCTTGGCTAGCGAAGATGGTTTTTACCAGTTTTCTTGAAAGAGGTCTTTTTTTTTTAATATTTATTTTTAATGAGTAGTTTAAACAAATTCCAAGTACAATAAGAACATATTCCCAGCATGTGACAGGCCAGTTTATTTACATTTTATATATTATTGAAAAAAGATGCAAGGTGTGTGGGTGAGACAGTTACCAAACAACACAAAAATTCCAAAGAAATCTAGAGGTCAATATTCAAATATTTTTTTATGCCTTTAAGGCATAAAGTGTTACCCTTGACCATCCTTCTGTCCTTCCATCTGTCCCAAAAGTATTTTCACATATTATAAGCAAGCTTGAGCGGGGGCATTTGTGTCCTCATATTTCTTGTATTTACAGTACGGGTAGAGACTTATTACTATAAATAACGGACTGGGACATGTAGGAAATGAATAATCCGACTTTTTTATGGTAGGTAGTATGGTCATTAATCAACAGATCCAGGTGTGAACGGTAATATAATTGTCCTTTCATCTCAATCCGTGCTACTAGATTATTACGCTTCACTGATTTCAGAATCAGGTTACCTGTGATTTAAACCTCTCAGCCACTTTATTGATTAGTTCTACATCGTATTTGACATAAAATATTTTTACAGGTGAAGTACTGGAGACAACTTTGTTTTAATAAAAAATAGCCTATTTTTTATACGACCGCAAAAAAATTTTGTGGTCGTATATTGGTATGACGTTGGCGTCGTCGTCGTCGTCCTGCGTCGTCGTCGTCGTCGTCGTCCGGCGTCGTCGTCCGAATACATATTGGTTTTCGCACTCTAACTTTAGTTTAAGTGAATGGATCTTTTTGAAATTTGACCATAAGGTTAAATACCACAAAAGGAAGGTTGGGATTGATTTTGGGGGTTATGGTACCAACAGTTAAGGAATTAGGGGCCAATAAGGGGCCAAAAATGAGCATTTTCTAGTTTCCAGACAATAACTGTGGAACGGTGTATGGATCTCTCTGAAATTATACTACAAGTTTCCATACCACAAAGGGATGGTTAGGATTTGCTTTGGGGGGTTATGGCTCAAACCGTTTAGGAATTAGGGGCAAAAAAGGGGGAAAAACAAGGTTGTCCTGGTTAATGGACAAATACTTTAGTACAAAACATAATTTAAAGCAGTGTAAGGGAGATAAATCAAATACATCATTGAAATTATCTCCCTTACACTGCTTTTAAATTATGTATAAAGTAATGGTTAATGAACAATAAAGATAATCTAAAACAGTGTAAGGGAGGTAATCCAAATACAACGTTTTGGTTACTTCCCTTACACTGCTTTTAAATTATGTTTAAAGAAATGCATATTTATAAAGGAAGACCAGTAAAAATATCTGCAAATGTTTTCATCTTTTTTTTTTTACAAAAAAATCCATATGAAAGATTTGACACTATATTTTTATTAATTCTATTATAAAATAGATTAAGTTAGCACTATGGTAAATTTAAATGGGTAATTATGGTTGCCAACTCCATTGGAAATTTGAATTGAGATTATGACCATATCTTGAGGGAAAGAATTTTTTTGGGGGAAAAAGGGGGGGGGGGGGGATAAAAAGAAATTGTGGGGGGCCAATTTTTTCTCATTTCAGATTTCAGAAATTAAAAAGAATTATTCTTCAAATATTATTTTTTTTTCAAATTTCAAATATTGAAAAATTTCAAGAAGTAATCTTTAATTGCACAGTATGGCGCATTAGATTTGTAAAACCTTTTATCACATTTATTTATTTGTTATGCCGAATCTAACAGTGTATTTAGATTTTTAATTTTGGGTCCAGTTTTCAAATTGGTCTACATTAATGTCCAAAGGGTCCAAAATTAAACTTTGTTTGATTTTAGCAAAAATTGAATATATGAGGTTCTTTGATATGCTGAATCTAAACATGTATTTAGATTTTTGATTTTTGGCCCAGTTTTCAAGTTGGTCCAAATTGGGGTCCAAAATTAAACTTTGTTTGATTTCAACAAAAATTGAATATATGGGGTTCTTTGATATGCTGAATCTAACCATGTATTTAGATTTTTTATTTGTGGACCCCGTTATCTAATTGGTTCATATTGAGGTCAAAAGGGTTCAAAATTATACTTTGTTTGATTTCATCTAAAATTGAATTATTGGGGTTCTTTGATATTCCAAATCTAACCGTGTATTTAGGTTTTTAATTTTGGGTCCTGTTTTTTAAATTGGTCTACATTGAGGTCCAAAGGGTCCAAAATTAAACTTAGTTTGATTTTAACAAAAATTGAATTCTTGGGGTTCTTTGATTTGCTGAATCTAAACATGTGTTTAGATTTTTGATTATGGGCCCAGTTTTCAAGTTGGTCCAAGATAGGGTCCAGTATTTAAACTTTGTTTGATTTCAACAAAAATTGAATATATGGGGTTCTTTGATATGCTGAATCTAAACATGTATTTAGATTTTTGATTATGGGCCCAGTTTTCAAGTTGGTCCAAATTGGGGTCCAAAATTAAACTTTGTTTGATTTCAACAAAAATTGAATATATGAGGTTCTTTGATATGCTGAATCTAACCATGTATTTAGATTTTTTATTTGTAGGCCCCGCTATCAAATTGGTTCATATTGAGGTCAAAAGGGTCCAAAATTAAACTTTGTTTGATTTCATCGAAAATTGAATTATTGGGGTTCTTTGATATGCCAAATCTAACCTTGTTTTTAGATTTTTAATTTGGGTCCTGTTTTTTTAAATTGGTCTTCATTGAGGTCCAAAGGGTCCAAAATTAAACTTAGTTTGATTTTAACAAAAATTGAATTCTTGGGGTTCTTTGATATGCTGAATCTACACATGTGTTTAGATTTTTGATTATGGGCCCAGTTTTCAAGTTGGTCCAAGTCGGGGTCCAAAATTAAACTTTTTTTGATTTCAACAAAAATTGAATATATGGGGTTCTTTGATATGCTGAATCTAACCATGAATTTAGATTTTTTATTTGTGGGCCCCGCTATCAAATTGGTTCATATTGAGGTCAAAAGGGTCCAAAATTAAACTTTGTTTGATTTCATCAAAAATTGAATTATTGAGGTTCTTTGATATTCCAAATCTAACCGTGTATTTAGATTTTGAATTTTAAGTCCCGTTTTTTAAATTGGTCTACATTAAGGTCCAAAGGGTCCAAAATTAAACTTAGTTTGATTTTAGCAAAAATTGAATTCTTGGGGTTCTTTGATATGGTGAATCTAAACATGTGTTTAGATTTTTGATTATGGGCCGAGTTTTCAAGTTTGTCCAAGTTGGGGTCCAAAATTAAACTTTGTTTGATTTTAACAAAAATTGAATATATGGGGTTCTTTGATATGCTGAATCTAACCATGTATTTTGATTTTGGACATTGGACCATAGTAGGTAAATTAAAAAAATTCAAGTTCTTAGACCACATTCTTTCTGTATCAGAAACCTATGCTGTGTCAAATATTTAATAACAATCCAAATTCAGAGCTGTATCAAGCTTGAATGTTGTGTCCATACTTGCCCCAACTGTTCAGGGTTCGACCTCTGCGGTCGTATCAAGCTGCGCCCCAGCGAAGCATTTTATTTAATTATGGCTTTTTATATTTCAAATGCTGTATTTATTCCTCAAAATATTATTTTCTATGTTCCCTTGTATTTTTTTTGTTATATATCTTTTTCGTATTTGTTGGCATACAGTTTTTAAAATATTTTCTTTTTTATTTCTGGAAGGTTATTTTTGTTTTACTGATTTATTTTCCACGTAAACCCATTGATTAACAGAATGATGTGCAAAGTGCTGCTGTATACGTTTTAGTTTGACAACACTACAATTATATTTAATTTTCAGTCTGCGTTGGGTCAGTTCTGAAATAAAAATAATTACACTGAGCAATACTTGTATACTAGTAGTTTGGTGATTCTTTATAATTGTGAATTTACTTTTTACTGTAAACAAATATTGTCCGAAAGTTGGTGATATATAACTAAAGTAGTACGCAAATAATAACACTAGAAGAAGATATCGATTCTTCTCGGGAATTAGGTTTATTTTGATATTTCTGTGTTTGTTAAATCTGCATGAAATAATTGCCACTGACATGAAATGGACATTAAAACTAGAAGCATTCAATCGTTTGATGACCAGTTAATTAAATATTTACTATGATTTGTAGTCTAAAGAAATGCAATTACTCCTATTTAAATAATTTTATGGTGCTGCATTGACTCTTAATTGCATAATATTAATTTACGCACAATGCATGTTAACTTGTTTGTTGTATTTTTGACACCAATCTAAAAAAAAATATTTGCCGTGAAAAGACAATTGCATGATACACATATCAGTGATCAACAGCATGTGGTTGAACTTTGAACTTGACTTCACTCACAATACAATGTTGAATGCTAAAAATAGCTGGGATTAATTTTGTCAAATGCACGTGATTTTCATATGGCGGGAAATATCGTAACAGTTAACACAGGTGACCTTACTGACCGACCGTGGGAAAATCTATTCATGATTTAATTTGATACGTAATGATTGGCAGTATTGTGCGTTAGTTTTGAGGCTCTTTATCGAGATCCATTAATAATTGATTTACCAGAATAGAAAATTTAATCCTTGTAATTATAAACAAAACAAGCTTTTGTCTTCTTTAACTATTTTATTTATTATATTTATCAGTCAACACACAGATTCCTATTTAAATAATTTATTCGGACACCTCCTTTAAAGTTCGGGAATTATACAATTTAAACTGCCGACATCGATTTACAAAATCTTACTGACTGCACGAACTTTAGAGAATGGCTAGAAATACGACGCAAAAGTAAAGACGGCTGATCATGAATAGTGTAAAACTTTGATCTTCGTGTATTGATTGACACAATTCGTAAAATATGTTTATAAAAAACACGATTTTCATTCAAATTTCAAACATGGAAATAGAAAGGCAATATCTTTGTTATAATACAACGAGTGTCAACAAATCTGTTATTTCCATTATATGTAAATTTATTAACAAACAAAATTTTAAATAATGCTGGGTCATAGAATATTGACGTGCATATGAAAAGTTTTTATTATATAAAAACTAGGATTCGAAAGATGATCATCACGGCGTTATAAATATTGTAAAAAAAACCAATTGTTTCAAAGAGATTAACGGGAAATATATGTCAAAATAGAAAGCACGGATGATCTGGCTGACCAAATTGTTTTACTTGCGAGAAATGATTGACAGGTATGAATAGACGTAGAGGCTCCGACGGGGAACGTGGTATCGAAAGGAAAATAACAGTTTATTCACAATGCCTATATTCAATTTGTTTATATACTTTATAAATATGATATGTTGGCCTTATACTTAAAATTGTGTTTCTATTAATAATATAAAGGAACAGGACGTTAAAAGGGGGAAATATTGTAACCATCAACGAAAACTCGTATAATTTACGGGATTGATGTCTCAACATTTTGATTAAAACTTCGATTGAAAACAGTCCTGGTTGTTATAATTTTGAATAAAATGAAATATTTACAGTTTACAAATACAAATAGTTTATTGGCACAAACACAATTATTATAATTGGCAAAACATTTTTACAGTACATTGTTAAAAATAGTCTTTCTTTCATTTTCATGTTAAAAAAAAGTTGATCCCATATTCATATTAAATTTTTATTTTTATTGTAATTTTTTCTTTGAATACAAAACAATATTTTACATTTATTATCTATCCTCCATAAATACTAAAATATCTGTACAGGTAAAATTTCATTCTAATCAAGCTGGTACAGATTGATTTACGACCTTCCACTCGGATATTGTACAGGTTAATATCACAGCAGGTGTTAATTACACTGAGACAACTGTCCGGCCAGTCTGACATCTAGACGGGATTAAGACATCCATATTAATAAGTCTACCCGTACTGTAGTTGAAGAAATGTAAATTTACAGTTGTATCTTAAGTATTTTGTTTTTAACATAATATGATTGTTGTGTCTACCTGTGAAATAATGCAGAAATTGACATTGTAGATGATTAAACACGTTTATTTTTTTTACAGTGCTGTTTCAAATACAGAAAAGATAATGACATTTGATGATGGTTTAGTATTGTAAGTATATTTGTTTAAACCCTCATCTTTTTCTGTCATGTGGATAGTGGTCTCCTTGGCTCTAATACCACATTATCTTATTTTTTTATACTGAGAAGTGTTATGAATAAATGGAGAACATCTTCAGATTACTGTCTAATGAAAAACTAGTTTCTAGAAGGAAATATTTCACTAAATGTTTACCAATCTTGTCATCATGCAAAATAGAATAAATGACTTTATAATTTTGGATTATTTTTTTTTCAGAAGTCAAGCATCTGCTTACCAACTGCCTAATCAGTAAGTTTTATTTAACTTTTGAATATGAATTTAAGTACATCGAAATGATACACACTAAATAGATTTACCTCATTTGTACAAATATCCACATCCTGCTTTACTTAATGTTGATGACAATTTTGGTAATAAGATTCTAAATCAAAAGAGCAATCAGAAAGAAAATTTATTTGTATATGAAAGACTTTCCTATTGACCCTTCTAAATCATTTTGGTTTTTATGAACTGTGTAGAAATATGAAATAGTATCAGAAAAGCTGAAGTACACACAGAAAAGCTGCATTGTCCCGAATTTAGATAATTTTTTTTTACACTTAAGATGAAAATGCTAAATATTCAAATATTGAAAATGGAAGAAGAAAAAAATGAGTGTTCTTCATATAGTTTTGATCTTTATTTTGGGTAGTGAGTCATATTGTGAACCAGTATCAACAAAAGCAAGTTCTTCAACCTTTTTTATCATATTTACTTTGTAGAGAAACAACATTAATTGGTTATGCATATGAAGAGCAATGAAGGAACAATATTAGATGTATATAAAACGTAAGTATATTATGTTTTTCATGGTTGAGGTCAGAGCTGAACAATTGAAATTCTTGAATACTTTGGTTTAAACTCTATTGATCAGGACACTGTTTTGTGAAGGTTAAGCCGTAATATATTTTGACAAGATGAAGATGTATGAATTGTCTTATATCAACAAATGGATGAGATACTTGAAATAATTCATCATAAATAGAATTTGTAGAAAATAAGACAGAAGAAGCTTTGGGAGCCAAAAACAAAACAAAAAATAGTCTGTGAAAATTTTCTTTTTTTTGTGTGTGTAATTTTGAAATGGTTTTTTTTTGTGTGTAATTTTGAAAGGTTAACTAAATTTGTACCTATTACATAAATTTTAGACAATTTTATGAATATATATATATAGATACACTGGAAAGAAAAAAATGCACAATATATATTGGTATACTCACTCACTGGTAATCCAACAACATACTTAAAAAACTAGAAAAAAAGGAAGTTATAGTATTTTTATATGCAACAATATAGAGTACTTTTGTCCTGAATGAATATTCATGAAATATTTGCAACTTGACAATAAGCACTAACAACAAATTAATCAAGCAGAGTAAATACATATTAATTAACCATATAAAGTTTCTCTCAAGGAGAACAATGTGTTCAAAAATAGATACATAGCTGATAATGTATAAACTTATGAACTGACATTAATGAAGTAGTTTTGACATACTAAGATAGAAACTTAAAATTTTAATGCTCATTTTCAATGTTTGATGAATTCTTTTGTCGATTAATTTGATGACATAGAAGATTTTTAAAGAGAATGAAATTTTAATTCAAACATAATAAAAATTTTATAATGCCACTATCTGCATGCCATAAAAGTATATAAAGCAGTGGGTGCCAGTCTGCCAGTCAAAATGGCTCATTATTTCATAAAGCTTTAAACCTTTTAAAGGTGCATTAGCTACAAGATATGAAAAAAATCAAAATATTGTTTTTATGCCCCACCTAGGGGCATTATGTTTTTCTGTCTGTTCATCCGTTTGTTTGTTCGTCCGTCTGTCGCCGCTTCAGGTTAAAGTTTTTGGTTAAGGTAGTTTTTGATAAAGTTGAAGTCCAATCAACTTGAAACTTAGTACACATGTTCCTTATGATATGATCTTTCTAATTTTAATGCCAAATTAGAGTTTTTACCCCAATTTCACGGTCCACTGAACATAGAAAATGATAGTGCTAGTGAGGCATCCATGTACTATGATGGACACATTCTTGTTTTTTGTTCAATCATTAGTGATAGTGAAATAATAATTCGCTGTTAGCAGCCAATCTGATTGAATTATGTCAAAATAAGCTAAGAAACCTCGCTGATGAATTATTCAGTTGCAAGTGAATAATTGGACCTCATTGAATACGTATTCATATGACCTTCAATTTAACCCCTTAGCTGGACATGGGTTACGCATGCATTCAGCTATTAAAAGGAAAAGAATGTCATCATTGAACAAGGATGAACCATTTGGTTGACTGATTCGATCCACAAAAAAATCATTCTTGTACAGGTAACAACAATGATAAACATACTTTTTAACCTACAATATGAAATCAAACTTACTAAAAAAATCCAATTGCAAGTGGTCACTATAGTTTTATATTATATATATATGTTTATATCAGGTAAAATGACCGTTGGCAGTGTTCGGAGGTCATCTCGATGGTTAATTTGATGACGTTTAGACAAAAATACAAAAGAAATGTTGATACATATTATCAAGTCCATGCATTGTTAATTGTTTATTTTGACTTTTTGTAATTTGGATATATGTTTTAGTATGTTATAAATCAAAAATTGAGTCAAATGGGTGAACATGAATTTGACAGCTAATGCCCCTTTAATTATTTATAGTAAATTTTCTTTCTTCCTTTTTCAGATTTAGATTTTATTTGCAAATGACCGTATATTGTTTTTGGTGATTTGTCTTCACCATAAAGTCAGGAAGACAGTATGTGTTCAGTAGTAAGGAAGAGATGATGATCCACAGGGATACATTGGGATATCAAGATGATTAGATCAAGCTTGTCGTCACTGAAGTTTCACAGATTATTTGTTTGCTGAAATTGTTTCCCCTGTAATATGATTTATATAGATTTCTATGGCTTCTCATTCTAAGGAAAATATGGGGAAAATAATCATTTGTAGATAAGTTCATATGTCATACTGCTATTTGTTCATGTCATAGACGGCTAAAATTAGGGCTGCTATTACAAAAGTAAACATGAAAAATGATTGGGTCAGATTGTAATATTTCTTGGAAATGGGCTAGTTCATGTTTCTATACTTCCAATCTCATTGAAAATGCATAAATGTAAATGTTATCTTTATTATGTCACAATTAATGTACTATTCTTGAATAATGAATGCAATTTATTTATTCTGTAGCATAATGTTTAAAATGTATTTTAAATTGTGTAAAAAACAATTGATTTTGGAATATTTATTGTCCAGTTTAAATTATTTTAACACCAATACAATTTGAGCTGTGCTTCTAATTAATATTATTATACATATGTAAGGTAACATCCACTTCAATCACTTAAACATAAAAAAAGTTTTAGAATGGTATATATTTCAATATTAACCTTGCCAATTTGAAGTGCTCAAAGATATAAATAGTTGTGTCAAAATTTAATATATAAAACATGTAATTTATCTGTTTTTTTTTAATTTGAAATTTAGAACCTTTAAATTGTTCAGCTATGATAAAGATTACTTAAGAAATCAGTCATTAAATATTCTTTAACTTTTAGAAAAAAGATAATTAATCAGATTAACAGCTTTTATTATGTTGATCTTTTATTGTATGATTTAACATTACATGAATATAGTGGACAGTGGTTTTTGTTCAGGACTGTTCTTTTAAGGTAAAACGAAGCACATGAAACACTTTACAACCTCTTGTACAATTTTATGTCACATACTTCTTTTAAAAATGAAAACTCACAAAATGCTGTTGTTTTTTTAAAGTGCTACCCTGAAGCACCATGTATATTCCTAAGAGAACAGTCTATGGACATTAACATTTCTCTGTAAAAGATGATTGCAGATAAAGTTCATTGTAAGCTGTATAGACATTTTGTACATGTATTTATTAATTCATTGTCATTCATACAGAAGCATTAATTGTAAGTTAATGTCCTTAAGACATTGGCAAACTGAGATTATTATGTTGCTATTCTTTATAAGAATGGGTATTGTCAGTGCTAATGCAAGCAGTTAAAATGTGATTAAAGAAAAGAAGAGAATTTGAAGTTTGTTTGTTGCAGGCCTTTCTCTACCAGTGAATTAAACCGTATATCAAATTAGAAAAAAAAACAAAACAAGACAAGACAAAACAAAACAAACAATAAATAGTTAAAACTCAACTAAATGAACATTTTTAGAGATTGAATTGATAGACATGTAATAATTGACCATTAGGGTTGGTTGATTACAGCTTTCCAATTGTAAACTTTCTATTTCTATGTAGCAACATTCTAGCAGTGCCTGCATATGAAGTATATACATCTCTAAGTTGATACAGCTTGATCAGCCCTGTTGTAGAATCTCAGTAAAATATATGTGATTACAATGAAACCTTTACAATCAAGTCATACAATACAGTGTTATGGCTGCAACGTTACCATAGTTCAATTTTAGGACTTTGTGTATTTCTGACAAGCCCTGGCTTTCTATCATGATTTTCATTATTGAGGGTTGCTGCTTAAAAGGAAGCTTTTGATCCAAGGATTCCTGTGGTAAAGTGAATCATCTCTGAAAGTTTTAAGTATGCCATCATGATTTGGTTATATAATATTTGTGTCACAATAATTTTCCAATTGTTGTAGCCATAATCCTGTGGTCTTTTCTCTATTGTGACATTACAGAGTTGACTTGTGTCAAGCAACATGACAATGCCAATAGTGAAGCTACCCTTCAGAAGCACCCAAGATCACTGCTGGTTTTTGGTTGTTTCTTTTTGCTGAGTTAAGTTTTCTGTGTAGTGTTTGTTGTTAGTTGTTTTCTTTTTTGCCATTGTATTATCTCTTTTTCTTTTACTTGTTATTTTGATTGTCCCCTTGGCTTTCTTCTGCCTCTTTTTTAAAGAGATGGTAAAGATAGCCAGACAAGGGTCTAGAACTTGAGATAGAGGGTGAAACCAGTTTATTGATTTCTAAACATTCACCATATTTATGTAGTCCATATTCTGTTGTTACAGTAAAGCATAGCATAAATCATGACACACAATCCCTACATCCACTTTACAAAACCTAAGGCAAAGGATAGTTCCTATCATACTAACTTAATCAGAAAACTTTAACATTGAAAATTGTTAATTGATTGAAAGTCACTGGACCATCACCTAGGGGCAGGGCCTTGACATAGTTGTCAAACTAATATGTACTGATAGTAATGCAACTTCATACAAATTATCATTGATCTATCACAAGTAGTTCCTATCAAACTAACTTGAGCAGAAAACCTAACATTGAAAATGGCTAATTAATTCAAAGTCACCGGGCCATTGTCAGAAAAGCAGGCGAGACAAAAAACTATTTTTACATCATTTGAATTTCTCACTTGTAATGAGTAATATGATATTTAGAATATGTGGTCCTCACAAGGTACTATCTCGGTGTTCTGGTGGTAGTGTGTTCGCCTCAAGTGCAGGAGGTCATGGGTTTGAACCCTGGCCAGGTCAAACCAGACTTTAAATTGTTATTTGGTGCTTCTCCGCTAAGCACGCAGCATTAAGGAGTAAGAGCAAAGACTGGTCGGCTCGGTGTTCCAATAATGTGTATGAGTAAGATGACATGTCTTCCTTGGGACTGTTACCTTGTGAATTAGCATGTTAAAAATCCATCTCGGCATATCGATCTAGTACAAATCAGGGTTAATATTCATATTACATTAACATGTTCTTGTCCTGAATATGCATATTAATTTGGGACTACGTTAAGCAGTCATCCATCGTCATCATCCTCACCAGGTTTACGTCTTGCAAGGTTCAATTGACCTTGACCTCATTTCATTGATTGTGGTCAAATTCATATCTCTGATACAGCAGTAGGTCAAATATATTTGGTGGTATTCTTAGAAGACCTTCCAGCAGCATTTATCTGACCTTGACCTTGTTTTCATGGTTCATTAGTCAATGTTAATTTTTTAGTTCACATGGCACTTAGCTATTCTCATCACTAGGCTATATGGTCTGTAGTCGGCAGATAATTAATGCAAAAAAATATTGGAAACTTTTGTTTATTTTAAAAACAGCAATACATAGTGAAAATTTGTCATGGGGTAGAAATGTTGAGATCTACCTACTGTCCATTTACATCAGAACTGTCGGACTTCTTATTTGAGTTATTGCAATAAATTACAAATTTTACCATTTTATTTTCATTTTTGTCTCGCCTGTGACAAAAGTCACTAAAGATGAGACATGGGTAATGCTTTTCCAGCAATGCTATTGCCGTCGTCAACAAATGTTAAGTTTTCTGCTCAAGTTAGTTAACGTATAAAATTATCACGTTGTCGTCATCGTCATTGTCCGAAGACATGTGGTTTCCATATGATAACTTGAGTGTAAATCTATATATGGATCTCTATGAAATTGTACCACAAGATTCCATACCAAATAAACAGCTGCGCCATGAGCGCATGATAGGCCCGTCGCGAATAAAGTTCAATAACTTCTCAATGTCATATCAGAAATTTATAAAAAACTAAAGGGAGGTTATCTTTATAGATATAAATCAGTCAACAAAGTTTAATGAAAACTGCTAAAAGCATTTTTGAGTTATTGTCCGAAAACTGGAAAATCCCCCCTTTTTTTATACGACCGCAAAAAATTGCGTATATTGGTATCACGTCGTTGTCATCATCCGAAGACAGTTGGTTTCCGGACAATAACTTGAGTATAATTAAATAGAAATCTATGAAATTTAAACACAATGTTTATAACCACAACAGGAAGGTTTGGATTGATTTTGGGGGTTATGGTCCTAACAGTTTAGGAATTAGGGGCCAAAAAGGGGCCCAAATAAGCATTTTTCTAGTTTCAAGACAATAACTTGTGGAACGGTGTATGGATCTCTGAAATTATACCACAAGTTTCCATACCACAAAAGGATGGTTAGGATTTGCTTTGGGGGGGGGGGGGGGGGGGGGGGTTATGGCTCAAACTGTTAATAATAGGCAACAGCATAGTGTATTGCACAAAAGCAAAATAAAAGGAAGGGTAAATTTATTTATTTTTTTTTTTGTGGGGGGAGGGGGGGTCAATTCGCAACAGCAAAGTGTTTTGCACAAAAGCAAAAAATTGAATATAAATTCAAATCATATAACCAATTCTAAGTTCTTTGACTACAGTTATTCTGTGTCAGAAACCTATTATGTGTCAAATATACAGTCTGCCAAAAGTTAAGCACCACCTATCTTTGTTGCATCGAAATTTTTTTCATTTAAAAAAACCAGTTAATCCTCGAAAAAGAGAAAATATTCATGTAGCAATTTTGCTAACATATGCCATAAACAAACCATAAACTTAAGTTTGGTTACTGATGCAGGTTCTATGCATTTGAATTTTGCGTTCATAGAAATAGTGAAAATTACATAAATCAGAAACGGAATTTAAGTTTTACTTTGATTTTATTTTTTTACAACAATTAATCACCCAAAATCATTAAAAGTCTCTACAATTAATCTTTGGTATGTTTGGCAAATTTAATGTCAATATTTAAGTCAATAGGAATGTGTAACCACCTCTCTTCCGGTACAGTTCCATAACACGGCGTCTCATACTCTGTACAAGCCTTCTGAACTTTAGTTGAGCAAATTTATTCCATTCATCAACAATTGCACCTCTTAAATTGCCAAGATTTTGCAAAGGTGGATCTCTGCGATTGAGATTTCTGCCAATGGCATCTCAGACATGTTCGATAGGGTTCAGGTCTGGAGACATGGAAGGCCAAAAGATAGTGTCAATGGCTTCTTGATCTTTGTAATCGGTTACAATCCTTGCCCTGTGTGGTCAAGCGTTGTCGTCCATGTACGAGGGTATTGACGCAAGTTGGGGATTCTCAAAATGAGGGACTACAATGTTTCTAAGCACCAAATCCCTGTATGTCTGTCTGTTCATGTTACCCATGTACCCATGTACAATCTGACAATGACGGTGCGATTAACATTGAAATGGTTACCAATGCTCCCAGTGCTCCTACCGGCATTTGCAATGCCAATTGCTTGTCAACGTTCAGTCACAGATAACTTACCGCTTGCCATATTTCACTGTGACTTGGTGAAGGTTAAATTTCACCTGTACGCGGGACAGAAGGAAGATGAATTAAAGGCATCGAAACAGTGTATTTGTAAAGGTGCAGATGACCTTTAATAAAAGGTTGCTTGGCGGGTATCGGAGTTTAATTTTTTTGGTCGTAATGAATTTTCTTAGTGTATGCTATAGGCAATTCATAACACTAAACATAAATATTTTTTTCGCAATAGTTAAAAAAATATTGACAGTTATATTTAGGTGGTGCTTAACTTTTGGTGGACTGTATATTTAATTACAATCCAAATTCAGACCTGCATTAAGCGCGAATATTGTGGCCATTTTTGCCCCAACTGTTCAGGGTTGGACCTCTGTGGTCGTATCCAGCTGCGCTCGGCGAAGCAATTTATTAATGAATAAAACCCCATAACTCGGAAACGTTAAATCTAAAACTTATAAAAATCATGTCGATAGCTATAAACAATTCACCAAAGTTTCTTGCAAATTGCTGTAAGAGTTTGTGAGTTATTGTCCGAAAACTGGAAAATCCCCCTTTTTTTAATGATTAAAACTCCAAAACTCGGAAACGTAAAATCTAAAATTTATAAAAAACGAACGGTAGCTCACGTTAATAGATATAAACAATTCACTAAAGTTTCATGCAAATTGGTTAAAGGGTTTTTGAGTTAATGTCCGAAAACTGGAAAATCCCCCTTTTTTTATACGACCGCAAAATTTTTTCTAATACTTTGTATAAATTGCTTATTTCTTGACCAATTTTAATGTGGTTTAATTCAAAGTCTTGAATTATTGGGGTTCTTTAATATGCTGACTATAACCGTGTATTTAGATTTTGGATCCCGTTTTTGAATTGGTCCACATTGAGGTCCAAAGGGTCCAAAATTAAACTTTGGTTGATTTCATCAAAAAATGAATTAGTGAGGTTCTATGATATGCCGAATCTAACCGCCTATTTAGATTTTTAATTTGGGGCCCATTTAAAATTTGTCCACATTGAGGTCCAAATGGTCAAAAAATTAAACTTTGGGTGATCTCATCTAAAATTGAATTCTTGGGGTTCTTTGATATGCTGATTCTAACCATGTATTTAGATTTTGGATATTTAGACCACATCCATTCTGTGTCAGAAACTATGCTATGTCAAATATTTAATCCCAATCCCAATTGTGAGCTGTATTGCACTATTAATAGAAATTGTAAGTAGAGTTATAGTTAAAAATGGATACAGAACCAAATCTAATTTTAGAGAAAAACTTATGTATAAATATAGTTTGAAATTTACTGTTCTTTATTAGATATTTTGAAGAATTATTAAAGGTAAGTTTTATAGATTTTTTAAAGATTTTTTATTAATGAGGAATGATATTTTGAAAATTGTTTTTTTTCCATTTTTTTTTTTATAAATGTTTTGAAGAACTTCGTTGTAGGTTGGTTTGTTATTCTGTATAAATTAATTTTCAGAATGCCATTATATATGTATATATATTTATCAGTTTTTTTTCACAAACTGATCCACGTCTAAATAGATTGGATGTTGATTGTTGCTATTTTTAGACATTGTATATATATTTATTAGGGATGTCAACTCGATGAACAATTCTCATCGAGTACTCGTTGGTTTTATCGAGCAATACTCGAGTACTCACTCGGGAACATATCTACAACACGGAAACACAAAAATACGTATTTTACATTCTGTGGTTTGTTGTTTAACGGACGAAGATCCATCTACCTTATAAGTCATGAAGTATCTGGTACAAGGAATTACACACCAAAATTAATAGCTCATTACCTACAAGTACTAATAAAGTTAAAAAAAAAACAATAATCTAATCAATATAATTTAATGAACATCTATTTAAAAATTGCAACAAGGAAAAACCATATCAAACAATAGTATTTGGTAATCATTAAGAAAACACATTTAATGTTTACAAAGGCGTAAGGATTAGATGTTTAACTTTTTCACTGAGGATCACCAGAGGATGCAAAGAATTCATTTTTTTTGGAAACATTTTCTTGTCATCTATTATTGGGGACAGTCGGTTTTGCAATTTTGTAACTAACACAGTCTTGCAGACGAAAATATTTGCTCTGACAGTACCGATGTCACGGAATGACTAAGACATGTTTAATTAAGTGTTAGCCTAGGTATAGGCCACGTATTTTCTGAGGCATTTTTAAACGACAATTAAGCACAAGAATTTGAAACAAAATGTATTTTTTTTACTAGTATGATTAACCAGTGAAGTCTATTTATTTTTCTGAAAGAGGTTCTCAAGAAGATCAATTTTATATAAAGAAGACAGCAATATTCTAACAGGAAACCGATTAGTACTCGTTGACATTCCTAATATTTATATATATATATTTCTTTTAAAAAAAAATTTTGATGAAGCAAACCCTTTTAAAAACTTAGCTAATATTGTCCATTAATAAATAAATAAATAGAATTCTTGGTGTACTTGGATATGTTGAATTTATCTATATTTAGATTTTGGATAATCGACCATAATTGATAAAAGTCCAATTTCAAAATTTTCAGTTCTTTGACCACATTCATTGTGTGTCAGAAACTTATGCTGTGTCAAATATTTAATTACAATCCAAATTCAGACCTGTATCAATATTGAATGTAGTGGTCGTACTTGCCCCAGCTGTTCTGGGTTCAACCTTTGTGGTGGTATCAAGCTGTGACCTGCAGAGCATTTTATTTCACAGAGGACATCTTGAATCTGGATCATTACCAGAGTGGTAGGGTTCAGGTTTTATCTAAATATAAATAGTTTAATCCTGCCACACATTTATATTTTAATATAATTTTCTGTTTAATTTTTGTTCACATTTTTTTAGACTGGGGGATTAAGAGCTTGACATATTATATAGACACTGGTCTATTGTAGAAGGCTAAATGTTGACATTTATATTTTCATTTTTAGCTCACCTGGCCCAAAGTTTGCTTTTTCTCATCTCTATCATTCCCCAGATCTACATTTGCAAAAAAATCTGCTACTCTAAACTACCAAACTTTACCACAATCATCTTTGGTATTTAGTTTAACAATGTGTTGACAAGGCTATAAATTGAACTTTTGAGTAAAACATGTTTTGTCTGTTATCTTGTAAAGCGTTGTAGATAGAGAAGATTTGACAGAGGCAGAAATTTCCTGAATGTCAATTTCTACCTATTGTCCTTGGAAATTTTATCATTTTTTTTCCAAATTTTGGCTATTATCTTGAAGTTAGTAAAAATTATTCGTACCAGATCTACAAAAAAGTCAGATTGTCTTAATTTCCAGGTGACTCCTTATAGGAGTTATTGCCTTTAAAAGACTTTTTACTCATTAAATTTTTTTTTACTGAATTTTGGTTTTTTTTGGCACAAACTACAAAAAATAATATTGAGAGAAACTGTTAAGGGCAAATAGAATCAACAGGACAAGATCTTCAAGTAGGTCAACAGTTCCCAAATAGTCAGTTGACTCCCTTAATGAGTTATTGCTCTTGAATGATGATTTTTAGCCATATTTGTGGAAACTAATTTCCCTTGTAATATTGAACCTCATCAAGTATTTTCAGGAATCTTGAAGAACAGAAGCCTATCAGACCACTCATTTCAATGTCAATACAATACAAGGGCTCAATTGGGTAAAAGTAACTAACCAAACATCCATTTTTAAAACAACCATTATTTTTGAGTGAATGCCTGCTCTTTTCATCTTAAGAAAGAACAGCTTCAATCTGAATACACCATGCTTAATATGGATTCTATCTAGATCTATTCTTCACAATAAGATATATTAATATTTATTTTCCATTGCAAATGTGCATTTACAATCCATGATGGCACTATCTTTTTTGAGTTCAAAAACATCCACAAACAAAATTGTGTCTAGTTGGTGGTTAGGCTGCATCGTTTATAAAGCCAAATCTAAAGGAATGAAAGTGCACATATAAATGTCTACAATTGGTACAAAACAATAATTCAAAATTGGTTGTAAAAAGATTTATTGACTGACTAGAGACAAAAAATATCTGACTAAAGGTTTAATTTTTTTTGAGACAATTTAATACATTCAACCAACAGAATATTAAACTTTTGAATAAAAGAAAACCAAGATTTTGAAGTATAATTATTGAAAATTCTTATTACAAATTATTGTACAGACTCATAATAGAATGATACTATTAAAAAATACAGATAATCTCAACAAAAAAAAAGTAAACAAAAAGTCGTTGAAAGACATTGTGGTACCTGTTCCTTCTTCATTAAACAATCTTTACAATGATTGTTTTCAGTGTGATTCATGAAGGGGAACTCAAATTTAATAAAATAAAATAATTACCTTGAAATATGTTTAATTTTTCATAACCATTAAAAGAAGCTTTGAGTACAGTATCAAATTCAGAAACCATATAACAGTTTAAAATGTATTTTGTCCATATCAAGTCCTACAAATTGAGTATTCTCTCCATTTTCATCAATGCAAGTTGATGATAAAAATCATATAACCCCCCATACATTAGCAAATAAACTAAACATAAAGTATACAATGAAAATTCAAAAACAATACATACAACCATAGCACCTTATGAAATCAGTAAAAAAAAACTATTATACAATTTGAGCTTAATGCAATGATGAAAGAAAAAACCCTTAAATCTTAAGACATCCCTCCCTAAACTTTTAATTCATACATCTTTACTAAAATTGCAAAGAGAATCAAACTACATTTTCATGATATATGAATTAAATCCAGTACTGAATGGATCTGAAGAGGGCTAACATTGCATTCCTCAATACTAAACACAAACAAGTGAATCTGCTGTAACATTTTCTCTCCACCTTGTGGTTTTTTGTCATAAACATTCTATATTTTCTAACGTGCAATGTTATTTAAGCAAGGTCAGTTAGCCCTTTCTTATAAGCCATCTCTTATTTCCAATGAATAATTAATTATAAAACAGTACGTTAAAAAAATGCAGTCATTTGTTGAAATTTTCCCCATTATTCAGACATAAAATAACATTCCCTCATACAACTAGCTTTAGATTCAGTACTGAATTTATCTAGATACATCTGTATTATTTTCTCCCCTGTTTTCTGTTTTGCTTTCTCTTCATTACAATATTTAAAACTTTTTTTTTCCATCTAAAATTATTTGGTTCAATTTCCTGTCTGTTAAATAATCTTGCCTAGCATCAAACATTTTTTTTATTCTACAAATAATACTATACATATAAACTAATGAAAGTGGACATATCAATATTGTTTGAGCGAGCAAAGAAATCACAACTTTCTCACACATTCATACATCTTACAGAAGCATAGAATAACTTTTGACATAAACAAATCAACATTTTATTTATTCACATGTATGATCAATCGATTCAGTTTTTAGACAACATGTCAAGTGTAGATTAAAGTCAAAACAACCCATTAAATTAGCCTCTCATACAAACTTGACAACGACCAACTCTTGTTCTTAAGTTTCCTGCTTTTAGAGTTTCACCTATTGGTCTTCGGAATTGATTAAATTGTTCTATCGTAGCTATCCAGTAACTGAGAGAAGTGGCATAATAATTACATGTGCCTCTACTGTGGCACTCTATAAATGGAGCTGCTCTGAAATCTTCCAGACAAGATCCAGGGGACTGCATATTCTGACCAGAGCCACGACCACCAGCTCCAGTGTTCTGAAAAAATACATTTGTATATATAAATAAACAATGAAATAACAAGAAAAACAGTGCAAGGGGAGATAATTCATACAGAGAAAAGTGTTGGTTTAACAAGGTGAAAAAAGCACCATTACTGTTCAATATAGGGTAGCATATATCTTTAAAATATCAACCTCTTGCAAAACAGAAATATAGTGTAAGAAAAATAAAGTAGCAGCAAACATATTAATAATTAGATCAATATTAAAAGGTTTTTTCAGCTTTCTACATGGATCGACCATTAGATGTTATTCTTATTATTATAAAAACAATTTCTAAAGGCATTTCAATCTTCCTGGTGTTTTTCTGAACAAGCAAAAGGAATTATTTTGTCATTTTCTACAAACCATTTATCAGTTTGTTTATTTGATATCTTTTAAACTAATTTTCAGATTAATGCTGGCATTATGAAAATATAAAAGATCCAGTTGGCAGGTGTCTGAAAAAGTTATTTTTTACTAAAAATATAACAATTATCAATCAAATTCTGGAAAAGTCCTAAAAGACCACACTCAATAAATCAGACTTAAAAATGCCTCCTCTTGACATCGCAAGAAAAATCTTTATTTGTAAAACTGCATGTACTATTTAAATCTCAACAGGTTGACTATGGAACATACCATCAAGAAACTATATCCAATCCACATGCTACTGAATCCAACAGGACATTCTGGTAGTCTCAATGTTTGACTATGGACTGCCATTACCTGCAAAGGGTGACATAATATACAAACTTATAAATATAGAGGTCAACATGAAATTTTGTAGATATGAGAAATCAAGATTGATTGACTACCATTAGTTGATACCACTGCTTTTTTACTCCCATATCTTTTTCTGATTTCCAGGTAGTTATTCTGAATACTCCCTTGAATTATCCAATCAAATTCTATGCTTTTAATATTCTTTCATGTGGTAAGTTTTACAAAATGTGGACACTTTGTTAATTTTTGTTCATTCTAAAGTGTTTTTCCACAATTCTTCCTGTAGTAAGGTCGTCCATTTTAACACTTTTAGCCCTTGACAACAGAACATTTACAGAATTGCTCAGATTTTTTCAACAAATACTTTTGTCATATTTCTTTCATTTAAAAATATTGGTACATTTGTGACTTTTATGGTGCAGGTGGCTGCAAAAGGGACAAGGTTTTAAATCCCATCCCAATATCAATGTTAAATAAAGGCATCACTTTTATAATTTTGAGATCCTTCTGTCCTATAAACATTTTCTTACCTCTCCAACAGCTTCACAGACAGCACATCTGCTAATGTAATTCTGTAATGGACGTCCTGAGATAGGGTTCATCATTGGTGTCATGGGTTCCAAGGTAGATAACCAGTAACTGTAGTCATTTCTATTGGCCACATTACAAACGTTGTTGATGTTACAGAACATAAATGGCATGGTACTGAATCTTCTCAGACAACTTCCTGAAGTACCTGTTGTCGTGGAAATAAAAGATATAAATGTGAAGGTTCATGAAAGGGTAAGTTTATCCCATAATTAGGAATCTTAAAACAACAAGCATTCTGAGAGTATTGCATGGCAATACATAGTCCCCTACCGGGTAAAAATTCATTATACTGGAACAAAAAGCTAACTTGTTCTATAACTTGTCATGGTGTAAACAAAAAGAAAATATCAAGTCAATATCTTCAAGCATGACTAAAAACACTGAGGAAAACTGATTAAATGAGTGAATTTTTCAAGTCAAAGGACCATAACTCTACACAAAATTATCAGACCGAAACAAAATTTCGAACTTGATCTGTATAACTTGTCATGATAAAACTATATACCAATTATCAATCAATATCTTCAAGCATGATGAAAAAAAGTGTGGAAAACACTTTAACATTAGATATGATTAATAGTTCTCTAAAATTAGATATGATGTAATACAGTGTATATCTATTTTCAAATTAAAATCAAATATAATTAATAGTTCCAAATATTTTTTCTTTCATTTGTCAATAAAATGCTCCGCAGGGCGCAGCTTGATACGACCGCAGAGGTCGAACCCTGAACAGTTGGGGCAAGTATGGACACAACATTCAAGCTCTGAATTTGGATTGTGATTAAATATTTGACACAGCATAGGTTTCTGACACAGAATGAATGTGGTCTAAGAACTTAAAAATTTCAAATTGGACATTCACCTATTATGGTCCAATATCCAAAATCTAAATACATGGTTAGATTCAGCATATCAAAGAACCCCAAGAATTCAATTTTTGATGAAATCATACAAAGTTTAATTTTGGACCCTTTTGACCTCAATGTGGACAAAGTTGATAACGGGGCCCAAAAATCAAAAATCTAAATACATGGTTAAATTCAGCATATCAAAGAACCCCATATATTCAATTTTTGTTGAAATCAAACAAAGTTTAATTTTGGACCCCGATTTGGACCAACTTGAAAACTGGGCCCATAATCAAAAATCTAAATACATGTTTTGATTCAGCATATCAAAGAACCCTAAAAATTCAATTTTTGTTAAAATCAAACTAAGTTTAATTTTGGACCATTTGGACCTTAATGTAGACCAATTTGAAAACGGAACCAAAAATTAAGAATCTAAATACACGGTTAGATTCGGCATATCAAAGAACCCCAATAATTCAATTTTTGATGAAATCAAACAAAGTTAAATTTTGGACCCTTTGGACCTCAATGTGGACCAATTTAAAAACGGGGCCCAAAATCCAAAAACTTAATACACGGTTAGATTCAGCATATTAAAGAACCCCAAGAATTCAAGAATAAAACCCCATTGAAATTGATCAAGAAATAAGCAATTTATACGAAGCATCTTCTTTTGCACAATACTGTGCAATTGAATATTTCTTGCTATTGCGCAATACTGTACAATTGACAATTTCTTGCTATTGCGCAATATTGTGCTATTGGATATTTCTTGCTATTGCGCAATACTGTGCAATTGAAGATTTCTTGCTATTGCGCAATACTGTGCAATTGAAGATTTCTTGCTATTGTGCAATACTGTGCAATTGAAAATTTCTTGCTATTGCACAATACTTATTATATAATAATTTACACATCCTGTTTGGTGTGTATCTCCTACCATATCATTATTATTTGCTTTTAAATATAAAACAGAAATAACCAACTTAAAATGGAAAATTTTAAAAGAAAAAAAAAGGGAAAAAAAGAAAAAAAAAGTAAAAAAAAATCCCCCCCCCAAATTTTTTGAACCCCCTTATGATTCATCACCCCCAAACTCAATCCCAGCCTTCCCTTTGTGGTATGGTACCTTGCAGTACAATTTCAGAGAGATCCATACACTTGAACACAAGTTATTGTCTGGAAACTAGAAAAATGCTTATTTTTGGCCCCTTTTTGGCCCCCAATTCCTAAACGTTTCGGGCAATTACCCCCAAACTCAATTCCAGCTTTCCCTTTGTGATATGGAACCATGTAGTACAATTTCAGAAATATCCAAACACTTACACACAAGTTATTGTCATGAAACTAGAAAAATGCTTGTTTTTTGCCCCTTTTTTGGCCCCTAATTCCTACAATTTTGAGGCAATTACCCCCAAAATCAATTACAGCCTTTCCTTTGTGATAGTGAACCTTGTGGTACAATGTCAGAGAGATCCATACACTTACACACAAGTTATTGTCTGGAAGTTACAAAAATGCTTATTTTTGGCCCCTTTTTGGCCCCTAATTCCTTAACTGTTGGTACCATAACCCCCAAAATCAATCCCAACCTTCCTTTCGTGGTATTGAACCTTATGGTAAAATTTCATGGAGATCCATTCACTTAAACTAAAGTTAGGGTGCGAAAACCAATGTGTCTTTGGACGACGCCGGACGACACCAGACGACGACGCCAACGTCATACCAATATACGACCAAAAATTTTTAATTTTTGCGGTCGTATAAAAACTAATATAGATTTGTAACTTATCTATAAAATGTCAACAATTTTTATCTACACAATGTAATGTAATATATACATTAATAAAAATAGATTATTATCTAATTAAAGGATTTCACTTTTTTCATAATTTTTTTTATATATATTTAGCATTCAGAAAATTAGTTTATACAAAATAACAAACAAACCTGCCAAAAAAATCTTCAAATAATTTACCAAAGAATGTCTTTTAAAAAATTAGTTATCCCCCTTTGTACAGAAATATGGTTTAACATAGTACTCTAACATTAGATATGGTCCAGAGTTATGGTCCATAACTCTGGACTAAATATTCAGACCGGAACAAAAATCAAACTTGATCTATAACTTGTCATGGCAAAACTATATACCAAATATCAAATCAATATCTTCAAGAACGAAGAAAAAAGTGTGGAAAGCTGATTTGCTGGACTGACGGATGGACAGACAGACGGACAGACAGACGGACAGAGTGCAAACCTAAAGTCCCCTTCGACTTCGTTGGTAGGGCACTAATAACAGTCATTATGTAACTGACCATTGAGTACCTTTAGGTCCTAACTGATCATATAATTTTAGAGGGGAGTATTTTCAAATTTTTTAAAGTATTGTCCAATGAAAATAACACTTTATAAATCTTATGCATCCCAGGTGCTTTTCTGGATTCACCTTCATCATGAACTCTCAAACCTATATACATCAAAACAATAAATGTGTACAGGTTGCCCCTAATGTAAGTTATTTTATGATCAAAACCATCTTAGATGTGTGGACGACTCATTTTAAGTATTTCTGATCTTTATCTGGTACAAATCATTCTATACAAATTTTAAAGTACCATCTCAAGAAAAAATCACTGGCATTTGAATCCAAATACCGGTAGGCTTTATAAATACTAAAATTAAAAATCTTTGCATTTCATCCTTATTCCTATTTATAGAATAATGATCACGTTAGTTGATTAATTGTATCTTCTACTTCTACCAGATATTGGCCACAATCAACAACCTGATTATCCTGCCATGACTTTGGTGGGCATACAGACCCTTCCCCCTTCCCCCATAATGTTTGAATTTTGTTCAGCTTTGTCACCGAGGCTTTGCCCAACAGTGCTGATACAACCTCAGTAGGATTAGAGTAAGGGGAGCTTAACATTGTATTCTTTATGATATTTAGGCTGTAGATCCCATTTTATTCGTATGATTTAATACATTAGTATATAAACACAGAAATACACACCTAAATCTTGTCCAACAGCTCTTCCATTACCCATAATAAAACTGAGAGAGAAGCCTTCCCACATTATGCTGGTACCACTAGGACATTCTGGAACCAATGTTGTTTGACTGTGCCTGCAAATTTCACAATTATCATTCACATTGTTTCAGAATATAATACACTTTTTTATATTTTTTTTTGATTTTTTTGAGTTCATGTCCATGAGTTGCTGTTTTTAAAAAATTATACTTGATAATATTTTGCCATAAGGGTATCTGAATCTCATTGAAACATATTTTGTTGTTTATCTAAAACCAAGACCTAAAATATTTAGAAAAAATACCACTTAAAAAATGGAATGATGCATTTTAATTAAAATTGAAAATTTCTGAGGATTACAAAAATACCTAAATCTATGCTGAAAAGACATGTGACAATTTTAAAATAGTTTAACAAAATAAATACAGCCATATTTTATGTAACCAACCTAGCAAAGTATATTCCTGGTGAAACACCCTGTCTACCATTTGCTCCATCAGCCCCTGGAGGTCCAGGTGTCCCATCTAATCCTCCTCTACCCGACTGTCCAGAAAAGCCATCAAGACCAGGATTACCTAATTCCCCTTTTGGCCCTGGAATACCTGGCTCTCCTGTCTGACCAGGGAATCCTGATTTACCTATAGGACCTTCTTCACCAGGAAGTCCACTACGACCATTGGCTCCTTTTTGACCAGGGAACCCAGGTTCTCCTTGCTGTCCTTTAGGTCCATCACCAGGAAATACAATTGGAGATGGACCATTCTGTCCCACCATTCCCTTAGGTCCTAAAATGTATAATAAATTTCTATTGTGAAATACTTTTGTATATTTTAAACTCGTTATAATTAAAATATTGTGTGCATTGATCAAAGAAAATCTTTAACAATGATACAACATCGAAACGTTCAGATATTTGTTTGAAATTTTTTATTTAAATGACTTTGACTTTTCTAATGAATTACTGTGAAAGTACTTTTACTTGTGGGGTACCAATTTTCGTGGTTTTCGTGGATGGCTTTATCCACAAATTTAAGTGTCAAACGAAATATAACAACTGTTGTCCAATTCTAGACATGCAAAGATCTCCGTGTAAGTTTGACTATATGGATACGGGCATATAATCTAGAGAATACATTGTACATCGAATATTAGCAAACACATTAGGAACTATATATACATGAACATCTGCAGACAGATTTAACCAATTTAAACTTTTCACCTTTTAATTCTCATATAAAATTATGAAAGTCAGACTTCTGGTGATGATGTGCGATGATGATGCCTTCATTTTATCTCCTCATAATTTTCGTACAAAAAAAATTCATATTAAGCTTGTTTTTTTTTATTTCACAAGAAATAATTCTATACTTCAAAGTACATTTGTAGCATTTTTTATGTTACTGCTTTCTTTAAGTGACACGTTTATGTCCCAATTAACACCTTTGATAATCGTTAATCTGTTGAACATTCGATCTTGGGTTAATTAGTGTCATCACTTCTGATTACACATGTGCAACAATATAAATGTTTACTTTGCAATTTCCTTCTCTCAAGACAATTTGTAAGCTTTAACGAATCAGCCTATATCCGAAAGCACTTATTTTATTAAAAATTTGATAAATGGTGTCAGATTTTGTCAAACAAGAGCTGCTAATGTCAATCTTGTTAATTTGGTCCGACAAAAAATGTTTTGAATGTAAAGAAAGTCAGATTTTTTTCAGAAAAACACTTTTAATGTCATGTGTCTGATTTTGTCAGCCATGGATTGTAAATGTAAATGTAGTCAGATTTTGTCACACAAGAGCTTTTAATATCAATGCAGTCAGATTTTGTTTGACAACAACTGTAAATGTTGATGTAGTCAGATTTTGTCAGATAAACACTTTTAATGTCAAGTGTCATATTTTGTCAATCATGGGTTGTAAATGTAAATGTAGTCATTTGTCAGACTAGAATTTTTAATGCCATTGCAGTCAGATTTTGTCAGACTAGAGCTGTTAATTTTAATGCAGTTACTTTGGTCAGAAAAGAGTGGTTAATAATGTCAATGTAAAATAACACTTAATAATGTTGTTAGATTTTCTGTCAATGATTTTGAATACATTTACAGCATGTCTAGATTCGGGTAAAATTAGGATTTGCAATACAGTGTTGATCAGTGGCGGATCCAGAAATTTTCATAAGAGGGGGCCCACTGACTGCTTAAGAGGGGGCTTGCTCCAGTCATGCTTCAGTGATTCCCTATATAATCAACCAAATTTTTCCCACAAAAGGGGGGGGGGGGGGGGCCCGGGCCCCCTGAAAAACCCTCTAAATCCGCCTCTGTTGATACCTGTGAAAAATATCTGTGTTTCACTTGAAAAGAAGAGAAAGTAAAAAATATAATTTTATTAGAGTCATATCAAATATGATCTGCAGTTATGTTGAATCCAATGTTTCTTTACCTCTTGAACCATCTTGACCTCTCGTCCCACGGAAACCATTACGACCTTGTGCTCCAGGTTCTCCTGGTAACCCTGGTCTACCATCAAAACCAAAATCTCCTCCTTCTCCTTTATTTCCAGGAAGAGCAGCAATACCATCTTCACCCTAAAGACAACAAATATATCAATACTATTGCATCATCAAATTGAAAGGTATGATATAATAGGGGACACATGCACTAAGTTTGATTTCACGATAAATACTTTGATAGTTTAAATGTGTATTTGAATGAAAGTCACAAATAGAGGCCTTTTAACTTGAAAACACAAGAAATATGATTGACACATACTTTGCATAAAAACAATCCTTTTAACTTTACTTACAAAATTATAATCAATTTTTCAGCAACTAGATATGCTTACTGTTATTTGTCACAGTTTTTTTCATTATTAATATTTTCAAAAAGGTTGTGTACCTGACATACTATTTCTGAACTGACCTAACTGTTAATTAGACCTTAAATCAGTAATGTGTTTAACAATTAATCTATTCTTTTTTTAATTTAAAGAAGAATATTTTAACAAACAAAATTTTTGGTTATTAGAATCATATTTCTCAAGTGAAGCAGATTATTCAGGTACATTTCTATATCATAGATTTACAGGTACCTCAGTTATGCTTGATCCATTTTGATTTAAAAGACAAACAATTTTTTTTACAAATCAATCTGAATAGACCTATTAACAGGCAAGTTACTTCCAGAACTAGTTTGTCAGTTACAAAACTTTTTTAACTTACAGCAGACAAATTTGTTAAAATAACAATAAGCATTTATACCTGCCAGACAATTGCAATGGATAACAATTTTAACACTGTTTAATATGCTCCTAAAGGGAACATAAATGATATGGGTCTATAAAACTATGGTAGTAAACAAAGGACCCTATGGACAATACATACAAATGTCTTCTTTTAGAGAACCACTGAATGGAATGGAACCAAACATGGCATGAATGTTCCTTATGAGGTGCTGACCAAGTGTCGTTACTTTGTAGCCAATCAATCATCCAAGATGGCTGCCAGCAGGGAACTTAGTTTAACAAAGGACCCTATGTGAAATACATACAAAAGTCTTCTTTTGAAGAACCTCTGAATGGAGTGAAATAAAACATGGTATGAATGTTCTTTATGAGGTGCTGACCAAGTGTTGTTACTTTGTAACAAATCCATCAACCAAGATGGCTGCCAACGGGGGACTTAGTTTAACAAAGGACCCTACGGGAAATATATACAAATGTTTCCTTCTAGAAAACCGCTTAATGGATTGAAACCAAACATGGTATGAATGTTTCTTTAAAGGTGCTGAACAAGAGTTGTTACTTTGTAGCTGATTTGTCATCCAAGATGGCTGCCAGCAGGGGGAGTAAGTTTAACATAGGACCCTATGGGAAATACATACAAATGTTTTCTTCTAGAGAACCACTGAATAGAATGAAACCAAACATGGCATGAATGTTCCTAATGAGGTGCTGACCAAGTGTTGTTACTTTGTAATGAAACATCATCCAAAGTAACCGCCAGCAGGGGACTTAGTTTAACATAAGACCCTATGGGAAATACATAGAAATGCTTCTTCTAGAGGAGCACTGAAAGGAATGAAACCAAACATGCCATAAATGTTCCTTATGAGGTGCATGAAGTGTTGATACTTTGTTGCCTATTTACTGTTCAAGATGGCCATCAGGATTTTTTATTAAATTACGGGGCCAATATTAAACCAAATTTGGCCTCAATCATTATTAGGGTATCTGTTATGATTTTAATCTATTTTTACATGATTTCCAAAACCAAAGTAGAATCACGTGAGGGACACAGGCTCTTGATAGCCTCTAGTTTATTCTCCCTACAACAATTATTCTAATTTTTACACGTGACTTTCAACGGTCAATTGGAAAGTCCAGAATTAAACACTTTAAAAACGTTTAAGATAACTGTAACAATGTCACAATGTCATTAATGCATCAAAGTATTTTTTCATTCAATTTGCATTCAATGGCACAGGATTAAATCACTTTTACGAGCCAATAATCAGCATGTTTTGTTTTATCAAAATACATCAAATAATTTTCTGATCTTAAAAAATCCGCTCATATACAGAATTAAAAAAATAATACTCTTGGCCTTTAATAACAAAAAGAAAATGAGCGCCACATAACCTTAAAATAGATGATGACTCATTGCTGAGATGTCACATTGCTGAAAGGATTTTCCCAAGAATTCAACGAAATTCTAGGAGAGGAATGAAACAGTAATAGTGAAAATAGACGTTTAAATAATAAATATGTAAGAACATACACAACTTCTCTTTTTAAAGCCGATATTAGTGAACATGCAATGAAAAATTTCTGGTTAAGATTTTTTGAAGTAGCACGTTGCCGATGATTAATACTTATGCATGACGTCATGAATAAAGTGGATATCCCCAAATGTCACGAACTTACAAGCATTACGATCTTGCAATCATCAAGGATATCTGATTACTTAAGTATGCTGATAAACGAAACAAATATGTACCAATAACCTTCAGGAGCTCATTAAGTAGCAGCTGCCTAATATGAATGTAAGCTAACAACAACATCTACGTCATTAGGTATGATAAATAGTTGTCTCATTTGCAAGCATACTACATTTCCTTAATCTTATATGTAAATAATAGTAAGGATGTGAGGTATACCCCAATACAGGGATTGTCAATGTATTAAAAGCCCATAATATGCAACATGTTAAAAGGGTGTTAATTCTATCATTTTAGGGTGTTGACCTAATGTAGAATGTTACTGGTCAACTGTTTCTATAAATATAGTCTAAGATTCTAAGAAACACAGATTATTTAATTTCTGTTTCACACAAGTGCTTAAATAGCATTGATGAAATTTTATTACAAATGCAATTCTGATTTAAAGAATTATGTCGATCAACCTATTTCTAATAGAATAATTCTAATAGAATGAAAATTCTCCAGAAAATCATGATGAACATAACAGCATGAGAATATTCTCTTAAAAGATCATGATGAACATAACAGCATGAGAATATTCTCTTAAAAGATCATGATGAACAAAACAGCATGAGAATATTCTCTTAGAAGATCATGATGAACAAAACAGCATGAGAATATTCTATTAAAAGATCATGATGAACATAACAGCATGAGAATATTCTCTTAAAAGATCATGATGAACAAAACAGCATGAGAATATTCTCTTAAAAGATCATGATGAACAAAACAGCATGAGAATATTCTCTTAAAAGATCATGATGAACAAAACAGCATGAGAATATTCTCTTAAAAGATCATGATGAACAAAACAACAGAGGTGATAATTAAAGCTAAATTTGCAATGTCAGCTTGAAACTTACTGGTAATCCTGAAAGTCCTGGTGTTCCCTCACGACCTGGCTCTCCATTAATTCCATCAAAACCACGTTCACCTTTTTGTCCATCTAATCCACTCAATCCAGGTCTGCCTGGATAACCTTTGGGTCCACTATTTCCTAAAGAAAAATGTTTCAACAATGATAAAACTTTGCATTAAGCTACTTTTACAAAAGAAATATTACAGTTGTTACAATCAACATTCATTGTATATTCTTACCAAACCATTCTAAATTTTTATAAATTTTCATTATAACAGTTTTTGTTAAACAGATTACTAATCTACTTGCAATGGTTGAAAACATTGTCTTTATTGTCCAATTGATATATGTATATGGGTCAATTATACTTCAAAGCAATTATCACCAATTACAGCATCATTACATTTTTGGGGAATGATAATCTTTATAGGATACTCACTATATTTACATCATCTAACTAGAAGAAACCCACATATTCATATCTTTACTGATGTAGAAATTGATCAAATAAAAAGGATACATATGGCCCTTTATATTATTGTAAAAACCAAACATTGTAGCGCCGCGAGGGAACAAGCACGTCTGTTTTAAGTCTCACCACTTCTCTTTATCAGTTTCAAAAAGAGAAGTCACTTCTCACTATGATTCTGAATTAGTGTGAGACCTGTAAATAAATCATAATGTTGTCTCATTGAATGGTGAGATCTGTTAATGGTTTGACCCTAGATGACAATTTGTTTAAAACATTATAAGAATTACCGGGATTTCCTGGGAATCCATTATCTCCAGGTTCTCCTTTGATTCCAAATCCTTGGAGTCCTGGATTTCCCTTCATTCCAGGAAGACCATTTAATCCTGGAGCCCCTTCTTCTCCACGAGGACCTTTGACACCTGGTCTTCCATCATTTCCTGGTAAACCTAGATCACCTGGTGCTCCTCTGAAATCTAAAAATAGCACATAATCACATTCAATGTTATAGATTAATACATAATATGGAAATTATTATAAAATTATTTAATATCAAAAACATTTGTGAACTTTCCTTAAGGGTAAAGTAGACAATGTGTATATAACATATAACATCTCCTTATTTTATATTACTTTAACATTAGCTGGAAGGGAAGCATAAGCAATTGCAAATACATTATTTTCTGTACCTTAAAGTTTCTATACTTCCCTCTTTGACCTATATCAACAATAACCTGCATAAATTGTATACGTGAAACTAGAGGCTCCTAGAGCCTAAATTGCTCAACTGGGAAATTTTCCTTAAATAACTAAAGATCTAGTGAAGATAACTTCTTATAATTCTATCGACAGATGGTTTTGTTTTCATCAATGCCCTAATGATAAAAAATATTGGAGGGATTAGACCTGATGCATTTTAAAAGGAACCAACAGGCATTTACCTTTCAGAAATTCCTTCAAGTCCTAACCACTAATCTATCATGCATCTTACTGTAAAAAAGCCATGGCTTTTATTTAGTTCAAATACATATTCCCTGCAAGTGACATTTTAATTTAAATAACAACTTACCAAATGGTGCATCATCTCCTGGGGCTCCTGGTAACCCTGGGAAACCATCATCCCCTGAAATAAAGAGTTATTTTATTAACATCCATAAATACATCAAATTATTCTACCATTTAACATATTAATGAAAATCCCTACAACAACCTCAGAAGTAATTATTTAGGAACAAAATATATTTAAAAATTTGAATATAAAGAAATACAACATGAGTCAGAATATATGTTGAACTTACAAGGTTAAAAAACAATTTTATTTATAACAGATAAAACATTTTGTTTTAAATTCGAGGATATATAATTGTTAACACACCCTCTATATAAAGGAGAAGAGCTTACAGGGACCTGCTGGCATACATTTTTCTGTCCACTTTTAGGTATAATTCTCTTTCATGATTTTGAACAGAATTGTAGTGTCTAAAATCTATTTTTTTGTAACTATGAATTTGACCTTGAACCTAGTGATTTGAAAATCATTAGGGATCATCCTCTCATTAAATGTAACTTTATATAGAAGTAAAATTGCAATCCCATATATAGTATCTAATTTAGAATCCAGAAACCAGTTCCCTACACAAATTTCAGTCTACTATAATTAACTTTGACCTAGGACCTAGTGATAAGAAATTATATCTAATTATATCACCATACATTATGAAAATTTGCACATGAAATTAATTGATTTCATGTGAATTTCATGTATAAACTCAATTTCAGTCAAATTAAATTCTATCTTTATAAATATTCTTTGTTAAATTCTATACATTGTACTATTACTATTTGTAAAGATGCAGTTTTCTTAAGTGTTGTTGTCAATTTAGAGGTATTTAATTTTTTTATCTGACAACCCTGCATACCATCTGGTATCCACTTAAGGGAACTCTACCAGCACAAAACAAAGGAGGCGTTGGTTCAGCAGCTCTTTATTGTACTATTTGGTGTAGACTAAACACTATCATACCTGGCCTTCCTGGTTCTCCTGTTATACCAGGTAATCCACCTAGACCATTATCTCCATTGCTACCCCTCAATCCAGGGAAACCAGGCAATCCTGCATCTCCACCAGGTCCTTGGGTACCTGGATTACCATTCCTTCCTCTGTCTCCTAATCCTCCTTTTGCACCTGGTAATCCTGGGAATCCAGATCTTCCATCAAGTCCTGGTAATCCAGGGAAACCTTCACGTCCTGGCTCTCCAATTATACCGTTAAGACCTGGTTCTCCTCTCTGACCGTCTAATCCAGGGAATCCATCTAAACCACGGTCTCCCTGTAAAATATTGGTTTTACAATAAGATCTTAAATAAAGTTTTCTACCAGGGTCTCCCTGTAAAATATTGTTTATAAAATAAGATCTTAAAGAAAATTTTTCAATCAAGGTATCCCTGTAAAATATTGCTATTAAAATAAGATCATAAAGAAAAATTTTCGAAACTTTATACAATTTGTAATTTTTTTCACGTAATTTCAATGTACTATACATAATGTGTACATCATCTTTTGAAAATATTGTCATCATAAAAGTATTGTTATCTCTTGAATTTTAGAAAAGCATATCTTTCAGCAAATTATCAAAGGAGAAGGCATGATAAGGCCACTTTTTTTTATCCCTAGCTTTCAAAAATTAAATTTGTCATTTAGATCTATCAGATCTGTATTTTCGACGATAACAAAACACTATTCTGTCATATATCATTTTTTTATATTTCTGAACTGTGTCTCACATATTTGCTTCAGGGCAGTCAAAACTTTTATTATTATAAAAAAATATTAAGGTAGATTCCGATAACACTGGAAATAACTCCGCTAGACTTGTGTTCGACTGGTTCATGATTTTAGTATACGGATATATCGCTAACAAATCAGTGTCACAGTAACAGTACTACAGTCGTATGTTGGAAATTTGCAAACAACACCAAAAATAGCCTCATTTTGCAATATTTAGTTTTGATCCAAGGCCTTACCAAAAAAGATATTTTTCTTCAAGTTGTCTTATAAAAATATGTAAATGTGGGTAAATATCTTTTTGGGGGAAGGTTGTGGCTCATATCTGATTTTTCCGAACACTCTGTGTAAACGACCATTCAAATATGTCAATTTCATAATGATATCACAACTGACATTGATGTCATAGAGTGTACCAATATAATACAATCCTATTCATTTATCAATAGAACTTACATGATTTTGAAAGGATTAAAGAATTTTCTTTTTCTTTTAATTTTAGGAACCAGATATAGCTCTTATCATACCTCCTTCTTTCTTTTTTGGAATTCAAAAGTCCAGAATCATGACAATATCAAAATCTCTTTTACTGGTTTTTATAATGAAAATATCCTAGATATCTGACCATGCTTTATCATTAGTATGTTAAACAACTCATGAAATTGAGATTTCATAATTGTAAACTTTCTATTTAAAATGAAGAATATTACAATTGTTGATTTAACAGCTGAGAATCTATTGAGTGTACTTCAACGTAACCATATACAAATTAAAACTAACAATCAGCCCCTTTGCTCCAGGGAACCCTGGACGGCCATCTGATCCTGGAGGACCTTTTACCCCATCTAATCCATACTGGCCTATTTCTCCTATTGGTCCAGATATTCCTTTGTCACCAGGTAAACCATCGAGACCTATAAAGAACAAAATTTAAATTTTTTGGAAAAACTTGCTTTGTTAGACAAAAAGTCATTGAAATCAATGAATCCTGATTATAGGTTAAACTTATTATCTGTTTTGGTATTATATTCTTGTTTTGTTTTATCTTAAAGATGGAACATTTAACATTAAGATTGGTGAAGGAAGGCTTGTTTTTGAAGAAAGTCTTTTTACAAGGACATTGAAATAAAATTATGTGTTATTTTGACTTTTCCCTCTCTAAATTGTAAATGACTGTAATAAGGGCAAATTGAAATTAGAATATATGTATTAATTGTTTATTTTACAATTAATTTTATTCCTAATAAAATATTCTCTGATTCAAAGTTCCTCCCAAAGAATTTGGTTGAATCCTTTTAAAATGAACAGCTCTAGCATAATTGGTCAACAATGACGTATGTGCTAGGAAACAATGGTTGCTATTTCACTTTAGGATACTATGTCTTAATTTTCATAAAATCTATAGAAAAGATATTTTTCACAAAGGCATTGGAAATATTCAAGATAAATATGTGTGTATGTCTTAAGACAGTAATCACATGACTCATGTGCACATATAATAGAGGTAACGGCAAATACTTGTTAAAATTTGTAAAAAATAAACATCTAGATATATAATTATAGAAATTTTACAGCATACATAACATATTGTTAATACTTGTAGTTCTTATGGCCATATTTTTTTGTTTATATTACTGCATTTTAAGATGATAATATTTAGCACAGCAGTATTATTTGGTGATTTCGACAAAATCTGCCCAAAAGATATTTACCTGGTTGTCCCATGCCACCTCTTTCTCCTTTGTCACCAGCTAGACCAGGTAATCCAGGTAAACCATCTAGTCCAGGACGCCCAGGTGGACCTAAATTGAACAATTCACAAACATTCATTATTTCTAAGCAACTTAATTGCTGCAAAATCAACATTTTTGGAAAACTATCACGCTTAATACACGTTCCACGATCAATGTTAATATAACTTCTTGTCTAGATGTTGCATTGAACCTCTGAATTTTACAATTAAAATCTCATAGAGAAGTAGATCCTTCACTGTGCACTTAGGATGGTCTTTTAATTTTCTATGATCATACTAATAGAAAATTGGTAGACGCATTGACAGAATTAACATTGTCTCTAGGCTTTGTGTTCCTCAATGATGCTAAATAGTTTCTGCCAGGGATACTATCACAACTATTTGCATGCAACGAGGGTCCAGACCCAGTCTTGTTATAAACATACGGTTAAATCAAAACTGATAATATATGCTTTTGTGGCAAAACAATATAGAAATTAATTTCTTTTGAACGAAAAAAGTACAATATGTGCCAGTATTTGGAACATCAACTTGCAAAAGTAGTAAAATTTAATGGCCATTTTATAGTTTTTGGTAAAATCAAATGTCCATTGCAGCTTTATTCAAATAAAGTTGATATCATCATTATTTAGATTGTTTACTGCAGAATTGCAAATTTTCTTTTGAAAATATAAATCCCTTAATAGTATTTTGCCATAGCCCTCAAAATGTTGCTAATTTAAACCCGATTTTTAGCATCTCTAAAATCCATTTAATTAAGACTAAAGTGTGTGCAGCCTTGTGTCGTCTCTCTTACCAAGAAAATCAATTTTAAAATTAGAAAAGTTTTTGTAATGAATTTATTTACAAATTTACTCAGACTTACCCTGTTCTCCTTTAATAGATGGTCCAGGGAATCCCCTTTCACCTTTACGACCTGAGACACCTGGGAGACCATCTGGACCAGCATATCCTTTTTGACCTGTTAAAAATAAGAAGGTTCAATAGACAAATTTATTTTATGTTTTGTTAAATCTGATTCCATTAATTTTATTTTGTCAAACAACCCAAAGTAATATCACAACTGATTCTTGCAACAACCTGTATTCAACAGAAAACAAACAAAGTAAAGGATAATTATTTATCTTCAAATTCTACATAGTAAAAATTGCTTTTAGAAAAGTAAATTTGCAACATACTTTCAAATATTGCCAATACTTAAACAGCTACATTTGTATATGTTAAAACTGATGATGTCCACCAGTACAATACAATATAGTTAAAAAACATTAAAATCAACCCTGTCTTTTTCATTTTCCTGACTGAATGATATTTTTTTTTCACAAAGTGTATTCTATTTTAATCGTTCACAAATTTCAAAGTTCAATGTTACTGTATAAATACAATATTGCTTTCTGCAATGAGGAATATTACTTACCTGGGAATCCATTTTCTCCAGATAAACCTTTCAGGCCAGACTGCCCAGGTCGTCCATCAGCACCAGCAGCACCAGGAAATCCTGTTTCTCCTGGTCCCCCTTTCTCTCCATTTATACCTCTGGATCCTGGTAATCCATCTCTACCATTTTCCCCAGGTTCACCTATGCAGAAACATTACAGAAATGCAGGTCAAAGAAAATTCAGTCATGTATAAATGAGGATTGTCGTGTCTAAAGTACTGTAAACCAACTCATTTTCACGAGCGATTTATTACATATTTGCAAGAAGAAAAACAACAGGAATATGTTAAAATTGGATCTCCCCTTATATAAATACATAAAGAAAATAAGAAAATCATGAAAAAAAATAAATGTTGTGAAGTCTGCTAGAAAGGGTTAAACACGCAATAAAATATCTGCTTAAATAAGTTAAGGTAGATGGGGTGTCTAAATTATAATCCATAGAATTTTTTAATAATTTGCCAAAATGTAGTTTATATCATGCTTTTAAAAAAAAAATTAAAAAAAGAATGGGTCACGGGGCTTATCTTCACGCTACAGGTTGTGCAAAATTGACAGATTTTGTATAGATTATGCATGGAAAACCCAATTTTCTGCCATAAAACGAAAACTACACCATAGAATTTTGAGATAATATAAGAGAAGATAGCTCTAATAGTATGCTTTCAGATAAGAAAAAGAAAAAATGGGGTCACGGGACCCGTTTTCTTGCTACATAATAAAATAGGTAAATTCCTAACACATTCTATTGTAAAAGTAACTTTATCTGAATTATCTGCCCTTACATTTGAGTTGCCTCCCCTTATGTGGCAAAGTTGGAAAAAATAGAATCAAACAAAAGTATTCATTTTTTTTGTAAAATACAACCATAAATATGATAAAATATGTCATTTCCTATTTTGAAATGAAAATTCTTACACATGAATTACCTACTACTCTCAAAATTTGCACCTTTTATTAAAGATCTAGACCGATTGTTTTCTGGTATTTCAAAATCCAAGATGGAGGAAGACACCCTATCTACCTTAATTTACAGAATCAAATGAGACAGACAAAAATATTAACCAACTTTTAATTTTATTAAGTTATTGATCAGTTACAGTCAAACATATTCTAAATTTATCCTCATTTTCACTTTGAAATCCATCTATATGTGTATTTTATATTGAAATGAAATTAATTTGCTATTTGGAGTCATATTTATCTTTATTTTCTATAAAATAAATACTTCAAATATGTCTATATTAAGTTGAAATTACTGTTCATTAATATTTATTTGAATACCTGTTATGCCTGGTTGTCCATCCACTCCATTCCTTCCAGGGTTACCATTGGGACCCCCTGCACCTCTGTCACCTTGTAAACCTGAAATTTAATTATAAATATTGTTACTGTAAAATTTTTGACTCTTGTATTCACATATTTAAATCTTTGCATTCAAGACCTTACTATGCTGTGTTTTGTATACTGTTGTTTGTCTGTTGGTCTTTTTGTCCCTTTGGTATCTTTCGCCTCTCTCTTATGAGAATTTAGAAAATATTTAAAAAAAACAACTCTTCAATTTGCATAATTACACAATCGTTATTTTAAATATAACAAAATTGTTTTAAATCTTCAGTCGATTGATCATACAACATTTGTATGTTCGACATCAGTAATTTATAAATGCAAATTTTATTTAACTTTCCTTTTAGTCTACTTAGCTACTAGTGAATTTGTGGAAAAAACTGCAAAATATGCAAAATTACTTTGTTTTAACATCTCATTACTATTTTGACACCAGAAACAGCCATATCCAGTAAGATATTTTTTTTACATTTTTTTTCTTCAAAATATAATGATACTATCCAAAAACTCATTCAGGCAAGTTTTTTTCACCATATATATAAGGATACAGTTCAAAAACTTATTAGGGCAGGCTTTTTCACCATATATAATGATACCATTCAGTAGATAGATATAGGAAGATGTGGTATGAGTGCCAATGAGACAACTCTCCATCCAAGTAACAATTTATAAAAGTAAACCATTATAGGTCAAGGTACGGCCTTCAACACGGAGCATTGGTTCACACCGAACAGCTAGCTATAAAGGGTCCCAAAAATTACTAGTGTAAAACCATTCAAACGGGAAAACCAACGGTCTAATCTATATAAAAACGAGAAACAAGAAACACGTATGAACTACATAAACAGACGACAACTACTGTACATCAGATTCCTGACTTAGGACAGGTGCAAACATTTGCAGCGGGATTTAACGTTTTAATGGTACCAAACCTTCTCCCTTTCTGAAACAATAGTATAACATCACAACATAGAAAGACACACTATAAAATATCAATTGGAAGGCTTAACTCAATCAAAAAACGTAAATCAACACACAATGAACAAATAAATCTGATCTGTGATACCTGAATGCAAATACATAGTTAATAAAATGCTCCGCAGGGCGCAGCTTGATACGACCGCAGAGGTCGAACCCTGAACAGTTGGGCAAAGTGTGGACACAACATTCAAGCTTGATACAGCTTTGCATTTGGATTGTGATTAAATATTTGACACAGCATAGGTTTCTGACACAGAATGAATGTGGTCTAAGAACTTAAAAATTTTAAATTGGACATTCACCTATTATGGTCCAATATCCGAAATCTAAATACATGGTTAGATTCAGCATATCAAAGAACCCCAAGAATTCAATTTTTGATGAAATCAAACAAAGTTTAATTTTGGACCCTTTTGACCTCAATGTGGACAAAGTTGATAACAGGGCCCAAAAATCAAAAATCTAAATACATGGTTAGATTTAGCATATCAAAGAACCCCATATATTCAATTTTTGTTGAAATCAAACAAAGTTTAATTTTGGACCCCGATTTGGACCAACTTGAAAACTGGGCCCATAATCAAAAATCTAAATACATGTTTAGATTCAGCATATCAAAGAACCCTAAGAATTCAATTTTTGTTAAAATCAAACTAAGTTTAATTTTGGACCCTTTGGACCTTAATGTAGACCAATTTGAAAACGGAACCAAAAATTAAGAATCTAAATACACGGTTAGATTCAGCATATCAAAGAACCCCAATAATTCAATTTTTGATGAAATCAAACAAAGTTTAATTTTGGACCCTTTGGACCTCAATGTGGACCAATTTAAAAACGGGGCCCAAAATCCAAAAACTAAATACACGGTTAGATTCAGCATATTAAAGAACTCCAAGAATTCAAGAATAAAACCCCATTGAAATTGGTCAAGAAATAAGCAATTTATACGAAGTATCTTCTTTTGCACAATACTGTGCAATTAAATATTTCTTGCTATTGCGCAATACTGTACAATTGACAATTTCTTGCTATTGCGCAATATTGTGCTATTGGATATTTCTTGCTATTGCGCAATACTGTGCAATTGAAGATTTCTTGCTATTGCGCAATACTGTGCAATTGAAGATTTCTTGCTATTGTGCAATACTGTGCAATTGAAAATTTCTTGCTATTGGACAATACTTATTATATAATAATTTACGCATTCTGTTTGGTGTGTATCTCCTACCATATCATTATTATTTGCTTTTAAATATAAATCAGAAATAACTAACATAAAATTGAAAATTTTAAAAGAAAAAAAAAAGGAAAAAAAGAAAAAAAAGGAAAAAAAAAAAAAAATCCCCCCCCCCCCCCCAATTTTTTGAACCCCCTTATGATTCATCACCCCCAAACTCAATCCCAGCCATCCCTTTATGGTATGGTACCTTGCAGTACAATTTCAGAGAGATCCATACACTTGAACACAAGTTATTGTCTGGAAACTAGAATAAAATGCTCCGCAGGGCGCAGCTTGATACGACCGCAGAGGTCGAACCCTGAACAGTTGGGGCAAGTATGGACACAACATTCAAGCTTGATACAGCTTTGCATTTGGATTGGGATCAAATATTTGACACAGCATAGGTTTCTGACACAGAATGAATGTGGTCTAAGAACTTAAAAATTTTAAATTGGACATTCACCTATTATGGTCCAATATCTAAAATCTAAATACATGGTTAGATTCAGCATATCAAAGAACCCCAAGAATTCATTTTTTGATGAAATCAAACAAAGTTTAATTTTGGACCCTTTTGACCTCAATGTGGACAAAGTTGATAACGGGGCCCAAAAATCAAAAATCTAAATACATGGTTAGATTCAGCATATCAAAGAACCCCTAAATATTCAATTTTTGTTGAAATCAAACAAAGTTTAATTTTGGACCCCGATTTGGACCAACTTGACCCATAATCAAAAATCTAAATACATGTTTAGATTCAGCATATCAAAGAACCCTAAGAATTCAATTTTTGTTAAAATCAAACTAAGTTTAATTTTGGACCCTTTGGACCTTAATGTAGACCAATTTGAAAACGGAACCAAAAATTAAGAATCTAAATACACAGTTAGATTCGGCATATCAAAGAACCCCAATAATTCAATTTTTGATGAAATCAAACAAAGTTTAATTTTGGACCCTTTGGACCTCAATGTGGACCAATTTAAAAACGGGGCCAAAAATCCAAAAACTAAATACACGGTTAGATTCAGCATATTAAAGAACCCCAAGAATTCAAGAATAAAACCCCATTGAAATTGGTCAAGAAATAAGCAATTTATACGAAGTATCTTCTTTTGCACAATACTGTGCAATTAAATATTTCTTCCTATTGCGCAATACTGTACAATTGACAATTTCTTGCTATTGCGCAATATTGTGCTATTGGATATTTCTTGCTATTGCGCAATACTGTGCAATTGAAGATTTCTTGCTATTGCGCAATACTGTGCAATTGAAGATTTCTTGCTATTGTGCAATACTGTGCAATTGAAAATTTCTTGCTATTGCACAATACTTATTATATGAATAATTTACACATCCTGTTTGGTGTGTATCTCCTACCATATCATTATTATTTGCTTTTAAATATAAATCAGAAATAACCAACTTAAAATGGAAAATTTTAAAAGAAAAAAAAAGGAAAAAAAGAAAAAAAAGGAAAAAAAAAAAAAATCCCCCCCCCCCAAATTTTTTGAACCCCCTTATGATTCATCACCCCCAAACTCAATCCCAGCCTTCCTTTGTGGTATGGTACCTTGCAGTACAATTTCAGAGAGATCCATACACTTAAACACACGTTATTGTCTGGAAACTAGAAAAATGTGTTTTTTGGCCCCTTTTTGGCCCTAATTCCTAAACGTTTAGGGCAATTACCCCCAAACTCAAACCCAGCTTTCCCTTTGTGATATGGAACCTTGTAGTACAATTTCAGAAAGATCCATACACTTACACACAAGTTATTGTCCTGAAACTATTAAAATGCTTGTTTTTTGCCCCTTTTTGGCCCCTAATTCCTATAATATTGAGGCAATTACCCCCATCATCAAACCCAGCCTTCCCTTTGTGGTATGGTACCTTGCAGTACAATTTCAGAGAGATCCATACTCTTGAACACAAGTTTTTGTCTGGAAACTAGAAAAATGCTTATTTTTGGCCCCTTTTTTGGCCCCCAATTCCTAAACATTTCGGCAATTACCCCCAAACTCAATTCCAGCTTTCCCTTTGTGATATGGAACCTTGTAGTACAATTTCAGAAACATCCATACACTTACATACAAGTTATTGTCATGAAACTAGAAAAATGCTTGTTTTTTGCCCCATTTTTGGCACCTAATTCCTAAAATTTTGAGGCAATTACCCCCAAAATCAATCCCAGCATTCCTTTTGTGATATGGAACCTTGTGGTACAATGTCAGAGATATCCTTACACTAACACACAAGTTATGTCTGGAAGTTACAATAAAATGCTCCGCAGGGCGCAGCTTGATACGACCGCAGAGGTCGAACCCTGAACAGTTGGGGGAAGTATGGACACAACATTCAAGCTTGATACAGCTTTGGATTTGGATTGTGATTAAATATTTGACACAGCATAGGTTTCTAACACAGATTGAATGTGGTCTAAGAACTTAAAAATTTTAAATTGGACATTCACCTATTATGGTCCAATATCCAAAATCTAAATACATGGTTAGATTCAGCATATCAAAGAACCCCAAGAATTCAATTTTTGATGAAATCAAACAAAGTTTAATTTTGGACCCTTTTGACCTCAATGTGGACAAAGTTGATAACGGGGCCCAAAAATCAAAAATCTAAATACATGGTTAGATTCAGCATATCAAAGAACCCCATATATTCAATTTTTGTTGAAATCAAACAAAGTTTAATTTTGGACCCCGATTTGGACCAACTTGAAAACTGGGCCCATAATCAAAAATCTAAATACATGTTTAGATTCAGCTTTTCAAAGAACCCTAAGAATTCAATTTTTGTTAAAATCAAACTAAGTTTAATTTTGGACCCTTTGGACCTTAATGTAGACCAATTTGAAAACGGAACCAAAAATTAAGAATCTAAATACACGGTTAGATTCGGCATATCAAAGAACCCCAATAATTCAATTTTTGATGAAATCAAACAAAGTTTAATTTTGGACCCTTTTGACCTCAATGTGGACAAAGTTGATAACGGGGCCAAAAAATCATAAATCTAAATACATGGTTAGATTCAGCATATCAAAGAACCCCATATATTCAATTTTTGTTGAAATCAAACAAAGTTTAATTTTGGACCCCGATTTGGACCAACTTGAAAACTGGGCCCATAATCAAAAATCTAAATACATGTTTAGATTCAGCATATCAAAGAACCCTAAGAATTCAATTTTTGTTAAAATCAAACTAAGTTTAATTTTGGACCCTTTGGACCTTAATGTAGACCAATTTGAAAACGGAACCAAAATTTAAGAATCTAAATACACAGTTAGATTCGGCATATCAAAGAACCCCAATAATTCAATTTTTGATGAAATCAAACAAAGTTTAATTTTGGACCCTTTGGACCTCAATGTGGACCAATTTAAAAACGGGGCCCAAAATCCAAAAACTAAATACACGGTTAGATTCAGCATATTAAAGAACCCCATGAAATCAAGAATAAAACCCCATTGAAATTGGTCAAGAAATAAGCAATTTATAGGAAGTATCTTCTTTTGCACAATCCTGTGCTATTAAATATTTCTTGCTATTGCGCAATACTGTACAATTGACAATTTCTTGCTATTGCGCAATATTGTGCTATTGGATATTTCTTGCTATTGCGCAATCCTGTGCAATTGAAGATTTCTTGCTATTGCGCAATACTGTGCAATTGAAGATTTCTTGCTATTGTGCAATACTGTGCAATTGAAAATTTCTTGCTATTGCACAATACTTATTATATAATAATTTACACATCCTGTTTGGTGTGTATCTCCTACCATATCATTATTATTTGATTTTAAATATAAATCAGAAATAACCAACTTAAAATGGAAAATTTTAAAAGAAACAAAAAAGGAAAAAAAGAAAAAAAAGGAAAAAAAAAATAAATGCCCCCCCCAAAATTTTTTGAACCCCCATTATGATTCATCACCCCCAAACTCAATCCCAGCCTTCCCTTTGTGGTATGGTACCTTGCAGTACAATTTCAGAGAGATCCATACACTTGAACACAAGTTATTGTCTGGAAACTAGAAAAAAATGTGTTTTTTGGCCCCTTTTTGGCCCCAAATTCCTAAACGTTTAGGGCAATTACCCCCAAACTCAAACCCAGCTTTCCCTTTGTGATATGGAACCTTGTAGTACAATTTCAGAAAGATCCATACACTTACACACAAGTTATTGTCATGAAACTAGAAAAATGCTTGTTTTTTGCCCCTTTTTTGGCCCCTAATTCCTTTACTGATATTACCATAACCCCCAAAATCAATCCCAACCTTCCTTTTGTGGTATTGAACCTTGTGGTAAAATCTCATAAAGATCCATTCACTTAAACTAAAGTTAGAGTGCGAAAACCAATGTGTCTTTGGACGACGCTGGACGACGACGACGACGACGACGACGCCGGACGACGACGACGCCAACGTAATACCAATATACGACCACAAAAATTTTTTTGCGGTCGTATAAAAATGCTTATTTTTGGCCCCTAATTCCTTTACTGTTGGTACCATAACCCCCAAAATCAATCCCAACCTTCCTTTTGTGGTATTGAACCTTGTGGTAAAATTTCATAGAGATCCATTCACTTAAACTAAAGTTAGAGTGCGAAAACCAATGTGTCTTCGGACGATGCCGGACGACGACGACGACGACGACGACGACACCAACGTCATACCAATATACGACCACAAAAATTTTTTTGCGGTCGTATAAAAATGTGTTTGTTGGCCCCATTTTGGCCCCAAATTCCTAAACGTTTAGGGCAATTACCCCCAAACTCAAACCCAGCTTTCCCTTTGTGATATGGAACCTTGTAGTACAATTTCATAAAGATCCATACACTTACACACAAGTTATTGTCCTGAAACTATAAAAAATGCTTGTTTTTTGCCCCTTTTTGGCCCCGAATTCCTACAATATTGAGGCAATTACCCCCATCATCAATCCCAGCCTTCCCTTTGTGGTATGGTACCTTGCAGTACAATTTCAGAGAGATCCATACACTTGAACACAAGTTATTGTCTGGAAACTAGAAAAATGCTTATTTTTGGCCCCCAATTCCTTAATGTTTCAGCAATTACCCCCAAACTCAATTCCAGCTTTTCCTTTGTGATATGGAACCTTGTAGTACAATTTCAGAAAGATCCATACACTTACACACAAGCTATTGTCATGAAACTAGAAAAATGCTTCTTTTTTGCCCCTTTTTTGGCCCCTAATTCCTAAAATTGTGAGGCAATTACCCCCAAAATCAATCCCAGCATTCCTTTAGTGATATGGAACCTTGTGGTACAATGTCAGAGAGATCCATACACTAACACACAAGTTATGTCTGGAAGTTACAAAAATGCTTATTTCTGGCCCCTTTTTGGCCCCTAATTCCATTACTGTTGGTACCATAACCCCCAAAATCAATCCCAACCTTCCTTTTGTGGTATTGAACCTTGTGGTAAAATTTCATAGAGCTCCATTCACTTAAACTAAAGTTAGAGTGCGAAAACCAATGTGTCTTCGGACGACGCAGGACGACGACGACGCCAACGTGATACCAATATACGACCACAAATTTTTTTTTGCGGTCGTATAATAAAAATTATAAGGGATAAATAATTAAGGTCTAATAATAATACATTTGTAATAACTAAATAATTGAGAAACTTATTGGGGCAAGTTTTTTTCCCCAAATATAATGATACCATTCAGAAACTTATTGGGGCATTCTTTTTTGCCAAATATAATGATACCATTCAGAAACTTATTGGGACAGGCTTCATGGAAAACTACCTTAAACCAAACCTTTAACCAGCTTGGGACGGACAGATAGGCAGTTAATAAGGACAGTCTAAATGACTGGTTGAGGAGGCAAAATAAAAAGAAATTTTATCATATGATTTTCGTGCTCACATCACATGTTTCCTCAGGTTCACTTGAGACCAAAAAAATTCTAACAGTAAAAAAACTGACTATTTTCATTTCTCTGACACACTTGAGCATTATATTTTGATAACTGGACAATATTCATCAAAATATTAATAAAAGAGATGTGTGGTCTACTTCAATGAGACAGCAACTCATTGACACAAATAACCAAAAGATATCTACTTACAACATTCTGTAGAATTTTACATGTCATGTAAAATTTATATGATATTATCTTTTCATTTTCATTTTCACCAAATTGGTTTCATACCTTTTAGTCCATTAATGCCTTGTAGGCCTGGTGTTCCTCTTGGACCTGTTCTACCATCCTCACCATTTGTTCCATCTGGACCGGCAAATCCAGGCTGGCCTTTCCTACCTGATAGACCAGGTAATCCAGGTAACCCAGGGTCACCAGGTATACCATTAAATCCTCTTTCTCCTATTGAAATATAACGAAAATTACATGAAAAGTCTTAAATGTATAGTTAAATTTACCTCTGTCATATATGTATGTATAGAAGAGGTTATTGGTCAAACACAATTAGAGAACATTGTATTTCTTCATCAAAATCAGAAAAATTTAACGACTCATGTAAATATTAAAACATTTGATATTCCAAAAAGAGCTAATGTGGCCATATTAAAGAAAGAATCAAACCTTTTGGTCCATTAAATCCACGTTCACCATCAGGTCCAGGAAGTCCATTCAATCCGTATTCTCCTTGTTCTCCTTTAAATCCTGGTACACCTGACAGTCCATCCCGACCTTGTTCACCTGTAATATAAAATAATACAAATCATAAGAACTTTATATTTCTTCTAGATGCTGCAGGCTAGTAATTTTTTATAATTCTCAAATCATTATATCACAATTTTTCACAATTTGTTATAAAATTAAGTTGACTTCTTTTACATATAAGGAAGATGGGCTAAATCTGCGTCTATCTGCTTGTATAAAGAATTTTGTGTGTCATGTTTCAATTTTTCCTAAATATTTTGAAATCTCTCAGGTTTTTTTCTATATGTATGAACAAATTTAGCTTAAATGCTCAAAGTGAAGCAGACATACGTATCTTCTTTCTTCTTTAAAGATTTAGATGTATTATATGTTACCTATTTTTTTTTAAAAAGATGATACTTAAAGAAAATATTGTTATTTCAACTTTCAACAGTACTCTACTATTTTGATTCACAATATATATTTTTTGTCTTTAGAAATAATCTGATAGCTCTCGCTAAGCTGATTTCTAAGTAAAAGACAGCAATGTATACAGTGTACAATTGGGTGGTAGTTCAGATTTTTATGAAATTTTGCATGCATTTAGAACTTGTCAAACTGCATTTGAATATCAGAAAATGATATATGTAGAATTTATACTTCTAACGATATAATTAATTCAAAATTTGTGAAACAGATCTATAAATATATAGAATGCACTTAAAAATTGCTGTAAAAATGCATTTTTTTCTGACTTATAATTCTCAAAATTTCATCCTAAGAAGTTTGTTAAATAAAAATTTTTAAGAGGTTCTGTGGAACCCTGTGTCTCGCCTACAATTGCTGCTGTCAGTGTAAAAGTGTAATGTTGACTTAAAAAGTGAGTCCATTTATCAGTAAAGTACAGAATGTTAAAAAAAGATTCAAATTTTCACTTTAGATGCTATTTCTTGGTCTTGAAGATTAGCTTTTGTCCAAGTTTCATAACAATCCATGAAGGTTAACAAACTAATCATGTCAAAAAAATTTAATCCCAGACTGTCAGAAAATGTTAACTGTAAAATAAGTCCATCTATCAGAAAAATACTGAAAATGAAAATATATTTTCAAAAGTGTGCTTCAGACATTATTATCCCTTAATCATAAAAAAGTTTCATAAAATTCTATGAAGGTTTGACAAAGTATCTGATGGGTAACAAACTTTAACCCCAGACTATATCTATTTGTTGAATGTAAAAAAAAACTAAATCTTGCTCTGGGTACTGTATTTTGGTCACAAACCAGCTTCTGTCCAAATTTCATAAAATTCCATGAAGGTTTGACAAAGTTATTGATGACGGAAAAACTTTAACCTCAGACTGAATCTGAATGTTAAGTGTGAAAAAAACTAAGTCCATTTATCAGTAAAATACGGAAAAATGAAAATAAATATTTTCAAAACATTTTGCTCTGGATACTGTATTTTAGTCATAAACAATCTTCTGTCCAAATTTCATCTAATTCCATGAAGGTTTGACAAAGTAATTGATGACTGAAAAACTTTAACCTTAGACTAAATATGAATGTTAACTGTAAAAAAACCCAGTAAAATACGGAAAAATGAAAATAAATATTTTCAAAATTTTGCTCTGGATACTGTATTTTGGTCATAAACAAGATTCTGTCCACATTTCATCTAATTCCATGTAGGTTTGACAAAGTTATTGATGTCCAAAAAATCCACAGACTGAACCTAAATGTTGATGCTGCCAACATCGACGATGGAATCTAGGATCGCTATGTCTCGCTTACGCGAAATAAATTTCGCAGGCTCGACAATAAATGATAGGTTATTGCTGTGAACATTTATCTTATAATGAAATAAATCTTATAGGGATCATGTTCTCTGTTTTTGCTGTCAAACAAAATCATTTTAGTTTGAGTGGTGTATACATGAAACATGAGAATGTAAGATTTCGTAGAATGATGCCATGACAATGTTACCTATACTTATTTTGTCCTTCTGACCCATTCTTCACTCTTCATATCCAGACTTACTTATTTCTACTGGAAAAAATTAATTTGTTGACCCCCAATAAATTTTATATCATTAAAACAAATGATCGTATTGAAAAACAAAATATTTTTTACACAAAATTCTTTGGGCAGTTTTAGAGATGGAAAATGACAATTCAAATTTTTAAATAATGTGTTTTTCTACATATCTGTTTGTCCAATGATTTCCCCCTTGTCTTTCTCTATTTACAGTATACAAGGCTTACATTAGTCTATTAGTCTGTTTTTTTCTCACTTTTTTCAAGGACTTCAGAGAGCTGACCATCCAGGGGGCTTAAGCTCATTCATGAATTCCATATGATCATCTGATATTTACTTTCATATCAAGTTATCTCTGTTTGGGTGTTGTGTTATTAACACTAACATCTTCATTGTTTTACAAGCTGAGACCAGAAGACTATAGACTGACAGATGATCAGACCAATACCCCACTTTACCAAAACAGAATGTAAATATTGATTAAACCTACCTCTTGTTCCTTTATTTCCATCATTGCCAGGGAATCCAGGTCTTCCTGGTTCTCCATCTAAACCTCTGTCTCCATTACGTCCAGGTCGTCCATTGTCACCAGGTGGTCCTTGCACAAAATTGTCTGGTACTCTTCCAGGTAATCCTCTGTCTCCCTGTAATACAGGAACATTATTTTCAAAGTTCACAACTATAGAAAATTCTACGTAAAATAGGAGTAAAAAAGTTACGCATTGAAAAAATCTACTAGCTTCCTATGCATAATGGTGAAATAATTATTAAACACTTATCGTTAACTAAAATGTTTGACAAATTCTTTACAATTTTGCAGCAGCAGCCACTTTTTACTTTTAATATATAATTTCATACCTAGATTTACAACACTGACACAGTATTTCAAAGGACTTAGAGGACTAATTGCTCAGTTACATGAAATAATTATTAAAGCTTTTCAAAATTTCTAACCCTAAAAAGAAGGAATGATCATTTTTGTTATACATGTATTAAAGATGGTCATCCAACATAATCTCAACCGACTTCTGGTCCATACAAGTTGATGCTATGAAAATCAATAAAATTGAGAATGTGTCAAAGAGACAACAACCTGACCAAAGAACAAAAAACAGCCGAAGGCCACCAATAGGTCTTCGACACACCAAGAAAATCCTGCACCCGGAGGCAGGCTTCAGCTGGCCCCTTAAAAAAATGTATACTGGGTCGGCGAAAAATGGACGTCTCACTAAAGTCCAAGACTTATAAATGAACTAATATTATAAAAACATACAGGACTAACAAAGGCCAGAGGTTCCTGACTTGGGACAGGCACAAAAATGTGGCGGGGTTAAACATGTTTTGTGTTAGCAGGTATATCGTTTGGAGAAAAATTTACCAAAAAAATTTATTCAAGGATATTTGTTGAAGGTTTTGTACTTTTTTTTAATTGTTGATAGCATAACAATGATTTTCTATCCTACCCTGTTTTCTATACTCAAAACTTTTTTATCAAATGTACATATTTTTTTTACGTGTTGTTCAAAAAACAAAACATGAAATAAATTTTAAAGTGACATACAGGTGGTCCTTTGAAACCAGGTAGTCCATCTTCTCCGGGTGGGCCAGAGTTTCCTGTAAGCCCTGGGAATCCAGGTTCACCAGGGACTCCAAAATATCCCTTGGGTCCATTTGAGCCACCTGCTCCTGGTAATCCATCAAGTCCAGGTCCTCCTTTTAGACCAGGAAATCCATCAGAACCAGGTGTTCCCTTCGTGCCAGACACTCCTGATTCTCCTGTTATCATAGGAACACATTGTTATGTTTGGTAACCTGACATTTGTTCTGCTCACCTGACAGCTATCATAGATTTTCCTTTAAACTAAATTTACAGACCTGAGATCAAATACACAAATGTATGATTTATTATTTATAAATGAGAAAATGACCCAAAAATGAAATCTTAATGTTGATCAATGAACCATGAAAATAAGATCAAGGTCAATTCACCCCTGTCAGATGAGCAGGTACACTTTTCAATGACTCTATTGACCATATAAAGTCAACCTATTACCGATAATCTCAAAATTTTCATGTTGATTTCAGTAAGTCACTGAACCTTTAAAATTGAGGACAAGGATAACTGACTTGTCAACAGAAACTTCATAAGGGGCACTATCCAACATTTTAGGCTAGAATATAATTCACGACCAAAATCTGTTTTTTGATGATCTTGTATTACTGATAATTTTTTCTGTTTACAATTTCTTTCTATCTTTTATAGTTTTTGCTTAAAGCACAAAAAAGAGTAAAAAAAAAATAATAATCATTTCAGGGCAATAACTCCTGTAAGGAGTCAACTGACAATATTGGCAATATTTACTTATTTTAAGGTCTTGTCTTGTTGATCCTGTTTGCCTTGAAATTTTATATCTGTCATTATAGTTTTCAAGATAAAAGGCAAAAACAAAAAGATATGGTAAAAATCTTCATTATAGGGCAATAACTTCAATAAGGCATAAATTTACGATTTCAGCAATGTTTGACTTTTTGTAAATCTTGTCTTGCTATTTATTTTTGCTATTAAAAGTTTCTCTATATCTCCCGCAGAGGTCCAACCCTGAACAGTTGGGGCAAAAATGGACACAATATTCAAGCTTGATACAGGTCTGAATTTGGATTGTAATTAAATATTTGACATATTATAGGTTTCTGAATAAATGTAGTCAAAGAACTTGAAATTGGTTATATGAATTGAATTTATCTTCAATTAAAGATTTCTTGCTGTTGTGCAATACTTAGTAAATCTGTTGTCAGACTATAAACAAATAAAGTTCAATTTCTTCTCAATGTCATATTTGAAATTTATGAAAATCAATAGGGACATTACATCAATAGCTATAAATAATTCACCAAAGTTTCATGAGAACTGCTGAAAGCATTTTTGAGTTATTGTCCAAAAACTGGAAAATCCCCCCTTTTAAATGAATAAAACCCCATAACTCAGAAATGTAAAATCTAAAATTTATAAAATTCTAAAGGGAGCTTACAACAACGGATATAAGCAATTCACTAAAATTTCATGAGAACTGCTGAAACCATTTTTTAGTTATTGTCCGGAAAATCCCCCTTTTTTTATGAATAAAAAACCCTGTAACTCGGAAACGTAAAATCTAAAATTTATAAAAATCGAAAGGGAGCTCATGTCAATAGATATAAACAATTCACCAAAATTCCTTGCAAGTTGGCGAAAGCATTCTTGAGTTATTGTCGGAAAACTGGAAAATCCCCCCTTTTTTCATGAATAAAACCCCAAAACTCGGAAACGGTAAATCTGAAACTTATAAAAAAACAAACGGAGCTCACGTCAATAGATATAAACAATTCACCAAAGTTTCATGCATATTGGTTAAAGCTTTTTTGAGTTAATGTCCGACATTTTGATGACTGACAGACGGATGGTCAACGGTATACCATAATACATCCCGTAAATGGACGTATAAAAATGGAAAAATTGGTATAATTCATCGTTTAAAGGCAATAACTCCTATAAAAAGACGTCTAACAGTTTAGATGTAAATGAACAGAAGGTAGGTCACACAACATTCTGAACATGTTTCCCACTATCAAATTTTCTCTATCTAAAAGATTTTTCAAGATAATAGACAAAAAATGCGTTTTACCCCTAGGTTCTCTTTTTACTCATGACGGCCATGTTGGTTGGCAGGCAGGATCATCTGACACATCTTTTGAAGTAGATACTCCAATGATGATTATGGCTAAATTTGGTTTCAATTGGCCCAGTTATTTCGGAGGAGATTATTTTGCAAAAGTAATCAGATGACAACGGAGGATTGAAGCCAAGTGATGAGAATAGCTCACTTGGCCCTTTGGAACTGATAGATGGACCAAATGCAAACATCTTGTTCAATTCCCATCAGCCTAGCCTGAAGCAACTTATATGGCGGAATGATGAATAAAATCCTGATTAAAAAAAACAAAATGTTACCTTTTAGACCAGGGAATCCTGCAAAACCGTCCAATCCTGGTTCTCCTTTTTCCCCATAATCTCCACGTATGTCTATTGAAGGGTTAATCACAGGCTGAGATGGCTCTCCTTTAATACCTGTAGAAAATAAGAATTCATTTGGTCAGAACAGATTTCACTTTTTCGTCAATATATTTTCAATAGAAAATGTTGTAAGTATGTAGGAAGGTATTAATTAGATTTGGAGGAAGTCTCCTCTTATATGGCCACTAAGTTAGCAAAGATCTTAGAAATAGTCTGTGTTGAAAATCAGAAAGAAAATATTGATACTATGAACAATAAGAGAGGCTCATCCTTGGATTCTATAGAACAGGATCTGGAAAGAGGATATTTTCATCTGCTAATTAATTGTTTAAGTCAAATTAATGAAATTCCTGTGTGAAAGGCTGATATCCAGTTGAAATTAAACAAAAGAAATGGAACTCTTTATTAGATAAGGTAAAAATGGTCAAGTTGGTATATTTTTGCATTTTGTATATGTGTTTATACTTGAATTATAGTATAGAGCTTCAAGATATTTGTTAACTTTTATACTAAAGACAAATGTTCACAAAACACTCGATTATGGTAGGTGCAAATACATGATTATCTTTTTTGTGCATAAGCTGAAAAAAAATTCCACAGAAAGATATAAGATTGATCTTTTTAAAGCATTAATTTGCATCTCTGCCTCCCACAACAGTTTTTTGGGAAAAAATTCTAAAATGGGCAATAATCTACTCAAAAAGAGAAAATGGGGTACACCTTTTTATGTTCAGGTGTGTTTGAGTTCACTTTTTTGTGCATAACTTCATTTTTTGTGTGTGGTATCTAAGGTAAATAGTCTTCAACCTCTGAAAATTTTAAGTCTGACTTTCCACAAAATATTTAATTTAAACTTTTTTTAGTATTTTTCTAACTTTCGAATTTCCCCCTGAAAACTGATCAGACAATAGTTTTAAGTTGACAAAAAGCCTCAAAGTATATCAAATGATGCTGAATAGCTAGTAGATACGTTTGTCTTTAAAATACAACTGTCGTGGAAGAATCGTAATGATGCTATGTAAATTGATCGGGTTTCAAGAGCTAAATTGACAGCGTGTCATCCCTACAATGGCTTCCATTTTCAAAATATAAAAAATTAGGTGTCATAATGGGGAAATAACTTTGACGAAGTAGAATGCTGACTGAACATACACAGAAAATTAAATAAAAATCATGTGAAAAAATGGGACATAGTGTCAATTGGCCGTGTTGCAATATTCAACATTTGTGCAATCTCCCTGTTAAGTTTCAGGGATCTGGGTTCAAAACTGTAGGAGTAGTTGATTACTCAAAACTTGTATCCTATTTCATGAAATTAATAAGTTCACAAGTTTGGGAAATGAGAAATAATTCCTCAAACAATTCCATAATAGCAGATGCACAACTTCAATATATGTGCTATCTTCCTGTGAAGTTTCAGGGATTAGGGTTGAAATCTGTAGGAGGAGATGATTACATAAATGAGGCACCTGCCCATCCCCTCAACATCACCATACTATTAGCCTGCCAAAAAACTACAGAAGGAACAAAAGAGGACAAAAACAGGTTAAGTTGGTTGAGAGCAATAAAACAAATTGTAGGTTGTTTGTATTTTCAAAAATTACTTGGAATACATGACCTCTAGATGTCCCTATAGGTTTTATTGTGTTGTTATATTATAAAAGAGAGGCGAAAGATACCAGAGGGACATTCAAACTCATAAGTTGAAAATAATCTAACAACACCATGGCTAAAAAAGAACAACAGACAAACAGACAAACAACAGTACATAAAACACAACATAGAAAACTAAAGACTGAGCAACACGAACCCCATCAAAAACTAGGGTGATCTCAGGTGCTAAGGAAGGGTAAGCAGATCCTGCTCCACATTTGGTACCCGTCGTGTTGCTCATGTTAGTACAAACCCGGTAATAAGTCTAATTCGGTAGGTCACATTCGTGAAAAGCTATCTCATTGACATATATCCCACATCTCTTTCTATTTAAAAGGGAAGCACTAAATCATAAACATTACAGATAGTTTTGCAACCAAGAAAATATGAAATATTAAGTAACACATTATGTAAAACCAGTAAAGTATTTTTTAATCTTTCTACTAAGAAGATTTCACTGATAACATAACACAGATCAGTTTTTGATGAAACAATGTGGGATTAAAATTAGAATAGATAACTAATCTGTTTTATCATCTTTTCTTTCTTTATCCTCGCGCTCACGATGTAAAATTCAGCTAATGAAAAGTTCCTTCCAATTAATTATTAATAAATATTTGGAAATTTTCAGAATCATTAAAAATGAATAAAAAAGAAAAAAAGGAAAATATTTAAGAAGTCAAAAAGGAATAACTGCATTCAAATTTAAATAGCCTTCGTAATGTATTTTTAGACCAACCTTTACGTCCATTTGCACCAGGTGAGCCATCGAATCCTGCTATTCCCTTAGGTCCTGGAAATCCATTAGTTCCTGGGAATGAATCTCCTACTTCACCCTTAAATCCAGGTTCTCCTCGAATACCTGGCAAACCATCTAATCCATCAAATCCATCACTACCAGCATTTCCCTATAGAGATCACAAATTCTATTTAGTAGATTTACTGATATCAAGAGTTAAAGAGCATCGTCAAAGTTTTACAATTTTTCTTGAAAAGAAGAAGGTACATGGGTGATGAGAGCCCTTAATTGGCAGTTGAAAGCGCAAAATTAGTAAAATTCTACAGTACTTTTAAAATCATATTAATTCTATTCATAAATAAACAGAATGTTATACTGTGGATTCATTATTATTCATGGATTTTGTGGTGATAGGTGAACCATGAATTTAAGTGTTCAATGAAGAACAAATTTCCTATAAGGTTTGGATGCAAACTTTGGTAAATCCACAAAATCAAGTATCCACGAAAATATAATCTTTTCTCAATCCACAAAAATTTGTAACCACAAAAATAAATGAATCCACAGTAGTATATCTCTTCAATTCAAAACAATCATATGACATTTTACTAACTGTGGTCTTTTCAATTCATAACTTTTTTATTGGTTGTTTTTTTACTGAGTATAGAATGTTTAATGTCAACCTGCAAATATTTTTTACCTAAGGTATTTTGTCTATCAAAAAGTGAGGTGTGGAAAACTGTTATGTGCTATTTTCTAAGATAATATTAGTTATTTTTTTTTACAATTTCATGCTTGATAGCAGGTTAAGATAATTTCAGATTTTGCCTCATTTCATACATGTCATAAATTAGATGCAAGCAATTCTTTATAACTTCATTCTTAGAAAATGCTGGCATTTATGTGCTTCCCTGACCATATTGATCAGGAATTTCTAGCAGACCTGTTTCATCATTCACCTCATTTCTAACTTTTGTCTCTTAACTCTGACCACATTTAAACTTCTGTCAGTATATTGGAAATCCAAGGACATTTCTACTTCATATTTGGACTCCACAGCTTCTTGCCTACCATTAATACAGACACACCTATTTATCTTCCATAAGATTCTTGCCTACCTTTAATACATGCTTACCAATATATCTTCCACAGCTTCTTGCCTACCTTTAATACAGACACACCTATATATCTTCCATAGCTTCTTGCCTACCTTTAATGCACAAACACCTATATATCTTCAATAGCTTCTTGCCTACCTTTAATAAAGGCACACAGATATGCCTTCCACAGCTTCTTGCCTACCTTTAATACACAAACACCCCTATATATTCCATAGCTTCTTGCATACTTTTAATACAGGCACACCTATATATTACTATCACTCTGAGTTCATTGATACTTCTTGTCCAGAGAATCAATGTGTACCTGTTTTACCTTTCTGCCTTTAATCTTGTTTTTGTCTGAGAAATAAAGTCAGATTTGTGTTTCCTCTCTGACCATATTCCTACTTTTTGTCTTAAGAAACCTGGCACCCCTGCTTTTCCTTCAAAATGTATTCCTAGCTTTCCCTCAAAAATCACTAGCAATTTGTACTAGAGATCCTTGTAAACCTTCAGTTCTTTTCTGTCTTTGCTGTGGTAATTCTAGTAGATCTTAGTTTCCTTCCTGAACCCATCAGCTTCTCTGATCAAAATTTTACGTTTTTTCCTAGAAATTAGGGTAGACTCTACTGTCTCTTACCTCATTCTTACATTTTCTACAGAAAGACATTGTAAAACCATTCACATGTTTATATAGAATCATGAAAGAATACCTATTCATTCCCTGATCTCATTCCACCCTTCTTATGCTAAAAACATTTGACATATACCTTAGGCCTCGTTGTAACCTTTTCCAGAAGGAATTATGTCGGCAGACCTGTTTCTGCAATTCTGTAATGACTTAATTCTTTCTTCCTATACAAAACTCTGACAAATATCTGTTTCCACCATTGTTATATGTTATCCAAGCATAGCAGTAGAATGTTGGCTTACTGTGCCATGAGTTCCAGGTTCAACGGTAAATTTGGTGGAAAAATCAAGCTCTACTGTAACCAAAGGATTCATCAGTGACATCTATTTTCTCACATACCTAATTATAACATTTTCTACAAAACTTCAATGAGACCTGTTTTTAAACTGCACTCTTATTTTATGTCCATGCAATTCCACTAATTTTGTTGATTCTCTGACCTAATTCTTACCTTTTGTCCAGGTAATCCTGACAGACCAATATTTCCTCTTTCACCTGCTTCACCTGGACTTCCCAACATTCCAGGTAAGCCAAATCTTCCTGGCTCTCCTTGCTCGCCTCTATATATTTTGTCTGGGTTAGGATCTATAACATCACCAGGGAAACCCTTAGGTCCTGTTGCTCCTTCCTCACCAGGACGTCCTGGTCGGCCCTGTACAGAAATCAAGAACTTATTTATGGTATCAAGAAACCAATGACTTCTATCCATATAAAAATTATTTCTGTAATTCTTAGCCAAATTATGCATTCCCTTACCAGTTGATTATTTTTTATAATCAATTAGCTGATTGCCTGATGATTTTTTCTTACAGATCACTTAATGGGAACATTACAGTTTGCCTACATATTGTTTTACTACAATTTTAAACACTGTAAAATCTTGTTTAAAAATATGATTTTGCTAGTTCATTAAAGGTGCCAAAAAGAAAGGAAATGACGTTATTAGTTTGACATATTTTTTTGTTTTTCTGTAACCATCAGCAATTTAAAAAAAAACAATTAATTATTACGTTACATCCCCCTTTTTACATTAAGGTTAACTTCCATCTACATATCTTCTCGAGATAAACAGATCAGCATGTTTTTAATCAATGTAATCTTCTATGCCCATTAAAAATTCTGCAGCCAGATTTAGCATGTTAGATAGTATATTTATCTTCAAGGGAAACACATATTCCAAATATCATTTATATCCATTGGGATTACATTTGAATAGCCTAATGAACATAAATTCAGCTCACCTGGTTTCCATCAGCACCAGCATTTCCCATATTACCAGGTACTCCTGACTCACCCTTCTGTCCAGGTAATCCTGGTAAACCATCAAGTCCTTCAAGTCCTAAATATATCATGAACATATTGATGGTATTTTTCTATATGTTTGGACAAGCAGATGTTTAAAAGATTTTTGTATAGTGTTTCATAATTAAACTTCTGTCATCTCTGAATAAAAATTTTGACTCATTGTCCTGACCTTGCATAAAGTAGATTTTTAAGTAAACTAACAATTTTGAGTTGACTAAAATTAATTGCAGATGAAAAAGTTTGTCATATGATATTGTAGATTTTCATACATTTAAAAAAAAAATATCTTTCTTTTCTTGTTTGTTACTGATAAAGTCATTTACAAAAAAAAACAAATGAATGATGGCTGCTCAAAAATGAAAGATAGCTGTTCAAGAAATAAGACTGGTCACAACAAACAACTTTGAGTGTGGAAATGAAATATACTGATAAACGAAATTGTAACAATTTCTACATAAAGATATTTCAAAGGTGTTATATCCAAATAAACAAAGTAATATGATAGAATGTTGAAGATTGGCATTTGTAAAAACATCTTACCTGGAAGACCAGGCAATCCAGATTCTCCTTTGAAGCCACGCGCTCCCCCTGGACAAATTCCACAATCATCTCCGCTACCTCCTGTTAACCATAACCAATATAAAGTTATCTATATGTTGTGTACACATGTGTTTACACTTTCTATAATTTTGATCTAAAAATGATTTACAAACCAACAAACTTTATTTCAATAATGAAAAAAATTACCGATGTTGAAGGATGGCCATTAAGAGGGCTAAAAGTGATTTGTCCTCGTCTAATTACCCATATCCCAATCTTTAGTTGTTGATGGGTCAAATATGTGGCCATGGTAAAACCCATATGTGGCCATGGAAAAACCTACTGGTATATGTGTGGCGATTTCTAAGCATATGCATGGAAAAGAATTAAGACATTTTACAAACTCTTTCTATATTACATTTCAATAAAAAAAAAATCATTATTTAAACATTTTGAGTTTGATCTGTTGTACAGATCTATAGATGTTTGTGATGTTTCCAGGCAAAAGATGTTGTTATTTTTGTTCTTCACATGAAGCTTGCTATTCACACAAAAAAAACAACATAAAATACTCTTATAAATGATTTGTTAGATCAATGAGCAGTAACAATCACTTGGAATGTTATGCAATGTGTTGTGTAATACTGCAGTAATCTTTAGACAACTATAATTCTACCACTGCATTGATTGTGATACAATATTTCTTCTATTGAGATAGTTACGCCTCTTGTTTTAAATATTTAAAATTTGTTGAGTTTGAAGTAATATCCTAAAGCAATAGTACAGTGGCTAAATATGTTTATATGGCCAACAATATATAGGTACACTTTATGTCTCTTTTTCAAGCCTCGGTAGCTGAGTGGCCTATGTAATTCATCGATTGTATTACTAGCCTGTCAACACTGAGGTTGTGAGTTCGAATTTTGCACGTTGCAGGTGGGCTCTACTCCAATCTTAAATGACTAGGATTGTCTACCAAAGGTTGGTGGTTCTCTCTGGGCACTCCGCCTTCTTCCACCAAAAAAACTGACCGCCATGAAATAGCACAATAGTTATGAAAGTGGCTTTAAACACCAATCAACCAATCAAACAATCTGTTTCAAAGATCTACAAAAAACTCCTGTTGTCATCACCAAGAATGGTTGTCTTTTTTTGGGACCTCACAATAGCAGAAGATAATTTGAAATCATGATATTATGTTGACCAATGAGAACTGAGATCAAAACTTGCTGAAATGTTTCAAATACAGTAGCCCCATCTTTGAAGATCTTTCACACTAGATATTAACCCCTGAAAAAGGTAACCTCAGTCAAAATTGAATTACATTGGTATTATACAATTATCCTACTACTGTCATACAATATAGTCTGTGTATAAAAGTTGACAAAATATTGAGGAATTAAAGGTGCTGAAAAATAATAACAATTTCCTCCTGATGAATATTAAGTACATTACCTTTAAACCCAGGTATTCCAGGCAGACCATCACGACCGTAATCTCCACCATTACCTCGCTCACCAAACAATCCAGGGGATCCTTGTGGACCCGTGATATCAAGACCAATTCCAGGAATACCAGGCAAACCTGGAAATCCATCGTCTCCTGGACGACCAGAAATGCCATCAACACCATCACGACCAGGTCGACCTCTGAACCCTGGCTCACCTACTACATCACGTCCTGGACTACCAGGGACTCCAGTTTGACCCTTCTGTCCAGTGGCTCCAGGAATACCTGGCTGTCCGTTTCTACCAAAGCCTCCTAAAATCGAAAAGCAAAACATTAAAACAACAATAACAATAATCATCTTGAGAATAGCTTGCAAATATACTGTACAGAAATGTACTTCAGAATATACTAGTGAACATGATTAATTACTAATATAATCCATATGTTTAAATTTTTTTCATTTTTTCTAATATTCAAAAGTCTGAATGAACCAGATAAGTTATAGTAAAGTTCTGCTCTCAATCTATTGAACCAGATAAGTTATAGAAAAGTTCTGCTCTCATTCTATTGAGCCAGATAAGTAATAGTAAAGTTCCAATCTCAATCTATTGAACTATGATAAGTTATAGTAAAGTTCCACTCTCAATCTATTGAACCAGATAAGTTATAGTTAAGTTCCACTCTCAATCTATTGAACCAGATAAGTTATAGTAAAGTTCCGCTCTCAATCTATTGAACCAGATAAGTTATAGTAAAGTTCCACTCTCAATCTATTGAGCCAGATAAGTTATAGTAAAGTTCCAGTCTCAATCTATTGAACCAGCACAAAATTTTTCATTTTCAAAAATCTATATGGGTAAATCATTTCTAGTGATGAGTTAATTATTGAGGTAAAAACTTTGAAAACATTTGACCTCATTGTAGTTTATAATATTGGAATAACTCCTGCTGCATACTGCTATATGATTTAATTTTTTTTCTCAAAGATTTAGTAACAGAGGATCAACACCCTGTTCACATTTTTTTAATCAATCTAAATTTAAATCAATATCTAAATTTGAATTGATCTAAAAAAAGAAACAGTCAGTGTTCACATTATCTTTAATCCCAACCATCTCTATCGGTCTAATATGAATCACTGCGTTTATACTACAAGTAAACATGCAATTGATGTGACTTTATTACCAGTGAAATTGTAAACACTGTGTATAATTAGAAATATTTAATCAAATTTATGTGTTAATTTCCCGCAAATTGGGTAGTACCGGTATAGGCTTGCAAAACATTAATGGATGAAGTTATATTTCTTCACTTGAATTACAAGTTCAAATGTTGATACTGTTGTTCTAACAGTTTTTGTGATAAATTGCACATGTAGTTTTTCAGCCATACATGTGCACAATGTATATTTGATTCAATTGTACTAGTTTAGATCGATCTCTGTGTTCACATTTAAGGTTAGATTGATTCAAACTGAACTACCTCTTTTGGTGTTTAGTTTAGACTGATCCAAGACCAATTCAAAGTGTTCACACTGGACTTAAATCGATCTAAAGTGAACTGATCTAGTTTAAATTGATCTAAATGTCCAATTGTGAAGGGGTCTATTAGTAAATTTTGTATGGTTTCTAACAAGGTTATTACAACAAATACAATGTGGACTTATTAAAAATAAAGTCATTTCGTGACTTTGAAGAAACATTACTCTATACTGCATTGATTTAGTAACATTGTTTCCAGCAGTTTAAATTACAATAGACATATGATTCACTAGATCTCTGCAATCTGATTGGTTTAAAGGAAAGCATATGACTTGAAACCCAATATTAAATGAATCCATAGTACTACAAGCTTGCGAAATGAAAAGAAATATTATACAATATTTTCTGTATGTTTCTTTCATGCATGAACTATAATCTATAAACAGATGCGGATTCAGGATTTTGAAATAGGGGGAGCCCCGGGCAGCCAAAGTAAGCAACGTTTGAGGTAACCATATATATAGCTCCATATGGGGGAGGCCTGGGCACCCTGACCTCCCCCTCTAAATTTACTTCTGATAAATTTGGATAACATGGTCAAAGTAGAATACCTACCTCTTTCTCCAGTCTCTCCTGGAATAGAAAATCCTGTTGCACCACGGAGTCCAGGCAATCCATCTAGTCCAGGCAGACCTGGGGGGCCAGGTGGACCAGAAATTCCTATTTCACCATCACGTCCAGAAAATCCTTTCTCCCCTGTAAAACCTACATCTCCAGGACGTCCTTGTGCCCCTGGCTGACCATCTAGATCATTTCTGACATCTCCTGGATAACCCTATGAAGTCAAAAAGATACTATGCTCTACTGACATAAGAGGCTATCTAAACAAAATTCTTATCATCAACCTACTTTACATACTTAACTGCTTTCAAATATTTTTTGAATTCTAATACAGCAATTCAGTTTAAGAGAAATTTTATTCTAAAGAAAGATAACAAAAAATGTTTTTCTTCAAATAAAATAAATAAACTTCATATTTATCATACATTGTTTCTTGCAAAATACATAAAAAAAACATACTACTGGTCCTTCATCTCCTCTGGTTCCCTGCCTTCCAGTATCTCCTCTTATCCCCTAAAAAATACAATAATATTCTAATCAACAATCATTAATGGAGAGTTAGGTCAAAACTCTTCTATGTGTGAGTGGATTTTCCAGCTATTTTTTATACTTTTACACCCCATACTTCGCTTTTGTTTATTTTTTAGCTGATTTTTCTCTCTTCATTATCTTGTTAGTCATAATTCTCTATTCTGTAGACCACATCCAGACCCTCCTATGTGAAATTATTATTATTGTTATGCCTTTTCTGAATAACAAGCTGAAGATGGAAATTTCTCTCTAAAAATTTAGAAACATAAACCCAAACTCAGTCCAGCAGCTTGAGATGAAGAATTATCACACAGAAAGACCAAAGAATTTAAAAAAAAAAAGAAATAATTTACCTTATTGTTATCATTACAATAGTTTTAACTTCAACTATATAAGCATTTAAATTACTGAGCTACAATGACAGTAGAAGAGAAGTAAAAGATACCAAAGGGACATTCAAACTCATAAGTCGAAAATAAACTGACAACGCCATGGCAAAAAAAGAAAAAGACCAAAAGACAAACAACTGTACACAAAACACAACATAGAAAACTAAAGACTGAGCAACAGGAACCCCACTAAATTATTAGAATTTGCCTTTAATAGCTTTAGTGACAGTCATGTCAGCATAAGGAAATCTCAATTACAAAATTTACTTAAAACAAGCATTCTGAGAGTATTGCATGGCAATACATAGTCCCCTACCAGTTAAAAATTCATTGTACTGGAACAAAATTGATCTTTACCTTGTCTTGGTGTAAACTATATAACAAATATCAAGTCAATATCTTCAAGCATGACGCAAAAAAAGTGTGGAAAACTGATTATTTAAGTGAATTTTCAGAGTCCAAGGTCCATAACTCTGCACAAAATCATCAGACCAGAACAAAATTCGAACTTGATCTGTAACTTGTCATGATAAAACTATATACCAATCATCAAATCTATATCTTCAAGCATGACGAAAAAAAGTGTGGAAAACTGATTATTTGAGTGAATTTTCTAAGTTCAAGGACAATAACTCTGCACAAAATCATCAGACCGGAACAAAATTCGAACTTGATCTGTAACTTGTCATGATAAAACCATATACCAAATATCAAATCAATATCTTCAAGCACTAAGAAAAAAAGTGTGGAAAACTGATTTGCCGGACTGACGGATGGACAGACAGACGGACTGAGTGCAAACCTTAAGTCTCCCTCGACTTTGTCGGTAGGGGACTAATAATCTATAATGATAATGGATTGATAAAAATGGGGTTACATTTGGCTTACCTTAACTCCTTTAAATCCATCAATACCCTCCCTTCCTTTGTTGCCAGCCATTCCTTTTGGACCATAAGACCCAGTTGGTCCATCTTTACCTCTCTTACCCTGTAGAGATACATTAATATTTAAAAATATTATTATAAAATACATATCCACTCAATGTAGTTCCCTTTTTGTTGTTGTATACATTGACAATTTAGAACTCACATTTTTTGTTGCAACCTTTTCTCATAAGTTTACTTAAGGTAGATTCATGGTATACCGCCATCTTGGATTGTACAATCTCAGTACAAAAATGGTCTAGTTATTTGCCCAAATCTGCAAATTTGGAGACAGATTTGCAATTTAATGGTTAGATTGTTTATTTATATAAAGAAAACTTGGTGATGTATTGTATTATTCAAAATATTTAAACAAATATCAAATTTGGTGTTTTTAGAATCATTTTTTTCAAATAAGCCATTTAAGGGGAGATAAATCTTTTAGTAAACTATATACTAGACTGATAGGGAAATTTTAAATTTTTTACTTGTAGCAAGAAAACAAGTTTGGTGACACCATTTTTTCTTTTTATTTTCTTAAAACATATTATAAAACCTATCTTCATACAATTTATTTCAAAATTCTATCTCATAGAATTTTTTTTATGCACACAAATGTGTTTTTTCATGAACAATCTAACCAAATTTAGGCAATTTTCAACGACTCATAGCTTGGAAAATAGTACGGTGACCCATACTTTTTATTATATTTTTGAAAAAAACATAGTAAAATCTTCCTTTTGGCAAAGTATAAAAAAATTCTATCTCAAAAAGTATATACTTATGATCTACCTTAAAAATACCTTTCCAAAATGTTTTTCTTTGAATATACTGGAATAAAATGTTTACAAATACAGAATTCGTTTCATTGAAAATACAGTAATAAAACGTTCACAATTACAAAATTTATCATACCTTACAATATTTGTCATATATTGCTTTTTTTGGGGTTATATTTTACAGTTATGAAAGGTTTAAACATTTACCCTGATCAAATGATTTTGTAGTTAAAAAATATATATACCCTACGGCCTTCTGGACCTTGTTCCCCTGACGGCCCTTTAACACCATCCATTCCTTTCCTTCCCTGAAATATTAAGTTTAACATAATTAAACAATGATATTGTTAATGATGCAGTATGAACATATGTAATGTTAATTTTATTAATAGTTTTTGATCGTAAAATTTACAATGTCTGTTTGAAGAAATTTTGCTCTATATATACTCCACGATTCACATGACCATGATATGCTAACAGCTATGCCTTCTGGTCTCTAGCGAATAGTTGTCTCATTGGCAATAATACCACATCTCCATACTGTAAATTCAGAAATTATTAAGTGGATTTATTATTGCGATTTTCGAAGAATAGACAAAAATGCAAGTTTAATTATTGCAATTTCGAAAAAATCGGCATACAGGTCAATGTTTCAGTTATTAGACTGAGAGTCCTTATTTTTGCGAAACTCACCCAGTCGCATTATTCGCATTAATAAAAACATTGCAATAATTTCTGAATTTACAGTTTTTCATAATGATATGAATATTCACAGTAAATTTATATTTATGAATATTTATGTAGTAGTATAATATCTGAAAATTTGTAGGACTTTTTCTATTTTATCATGTACTGTGATTTTTTAGGGTTTTCTAATGCAAAACAGAATTTGTAATTACAAATCATAAATTTTATTTTCAATCATGTATAAAGATGACAAACTTTTATCATCTGTAATTCACTGTGTAATATACTTCCTTTATAATCAAAGGTTAAAATTTTTCATTTGAATTTATATATTGACTAGCATACAAAATCCTGCCACATTCTTTGTGTACCTGTCTAAAGCCAGGAACCTGCAATCCAGTAGTTGTTGTTGGTCGGTCATAATTGTTATTAAATCAGCTCAAATCAGGGGCTCTTTTCACAAAAATTTTACGACAAAAACTGATAATGGTTATACTGAAATGTTCATCATTTATGAGTATTTTTTCTTGTAACATTTTTTTGTGAAATGTAGAATGTAGAATTCTCTGTTGTAGTGTTTCACATTTTGTAACCCAGGGCCTTTTACAGCTTACTAGACAGTATGGATTTGCTCATTGTCAAAGGCTGTTTGATGACCAATAGCTGTATTGACAAGCAACCAGGCATGGGGCGAATTACATTGCAATGTAATGCATTATATTACAATTACTTTGACCAAACCATGCATTATATCACAATTACAATTACATGCATTTATCAAAGTAATGCATTATATTACAATTACTTTTGCCAAGTAATGCCTTGAATTACACATTACATTTGAAAATTTTATTAGTGAATAGAAAAATTAAACATTTTGAAAAACAACTAGAAGTCACAAAAGATTCTAGCATATGCAGTAACTGTTCCATGAATTGAATATAAGTATACATGTAAAAAGTCTATTTAATTTGACTTTTACAATTTTTAATTATTTTAACTTAATGTTGACTTTATGTTTATAAATATATTTTTTGTTGTTTTTTTTTTAATTTTAAACGAAATATTTAATTACTGTGAATTACTTCCTTAATTATAAAATAAACATAGACCTTAATTAATGAACAATTGTCTAAATGGTGAAAATATTGATTGTTAAACAAACTAATTAGTGTTTTATAACAAAGTTTAATTATCTTTTATTTAAGAAAAACAAAGATATTCTTTGATCTTATGACAACAATACAGCTATGTTTTTCAAATATCAATCTTTTTATGCAGGAAAAAATGTATGAAATAAGATGAATTAAGATGAAATAAGATGAAATAAAGAATATATTCTAATGATTAACATATTCTTAGTTAATCAAGAAATCTTAAATTTGGTTTAGTTAAAACTCCAACAATATGTTAAAGATGTAGTATGTGAAAAAAGTAATGACATGTAATGCATGTAATTACACAACTTTTTGCTAAAGTAATGCATTATATTACAATTACATGTAATGCACAAATTGCTGCATTACACATCACATGCAATTACTTGGAAAAATGTAATGCATTACCATGCATTACAATTACAAATTTGCATTACCCCATGCCTGCAAGCAACCTGACAATTAATTATTTTTTAATAAAAACATTGGTTCTAACCAATTTTCTACATATAAAATTGAGAATATCATTTTTAAAACTTTAAAAACATTGTGATATGCATCTAATTCACACCAAACTATTTTAAGCCTGAAATGACCAAAAATTTAACCAAGATCACTGAACCATGAAATTGAGGTCACACCATAGATGAGGCTTCATGGTATAGAGCCACAAATTCGTCCTGGTCAGGAAGAACAAATTAAGAAGAATTTCATATTTCAAACAAAATATTTCATATTTCCTGCACATACCTGTCAACTGACCCATATTTTGCGGGTGTAACCTGTGAATTTACAAGTTCACCGAAATTTATTATCTGACTGGTTTTCACCTGTACTCTAGTTTCATGAGACTTTTAAGTTCTACTTTTTAAATTTGTCTTCTCAAATACTTCTAATTTGAACTAAATTTCCTTTTCAACAACTGCCTAACAATAGTATTGATGTAAAATTCACTAATCTGCGTATTATCTCGTTAATTTTAGAATATAGAGGTAGCAAACTTCAAAGAAAATAGCCAAGAGAGTCTAAAAATCTCCATAGGCAAAAATCACGCTTTTAACCAATATTAATCTCAAAATGGTAAAATGTTCATCCTAGTAATCCAAAACCTGCTTTAAACTGTTCAGTATCTCTTTTTAATGACTTTAAAACATAAGAATGTTCCTAAATCCACTCTTAATCCATGTGTAACTAATTACAGGACAATCTTTACCCAAAAATTTAGAAACTGAAATATACGGCAATATTTTGTCTGTATCTAAAATTATAAAGTACCTGTTTTTTCACGTCCTAATTTCAGTCGATCTTATATGCAAGTAAAGGTACTGTGAACCAACTTATTTTCACGGACACTTTATTTTGCATTTAGCCCTTTCTATCCAACTTCACGATGATATATATTCGCGGTATTTTTCTACTTGCAACAAAATAAATTGCTTGTGAAAATTATATTAGTTGGTTTACAGTATGTTGAATTTTTCAGCACAAGCAAGGCTGATGTATTGTTTGACATGAAATGACTGCCACATTATTTAAACTTAAGACCAAATGCCTATGAATGCTGAAAACTTGCAGATTTCAACATAGAAAGCAATGGGGCCATGAATTAGTGGTTATTAGTCCTTCTAAAAAGGGAACTACATTACTCACATCATCTCCAGGACTTCCAGGAATACCACGTTTTCCTTCAATTCCTTGGTCTCCTTTATATCCTTTGTCTCCTGGTAGCCCAGGTACTGCAGTTCCATTTGTTCCTGTAATTTCGGGAATATAACCTGGTGGACCTGGGGGTCCAGGAATACCTTTGGGTCCCTAAAATATTAGTAGATAAAATCTATAAGACACCAGCAAATCATAAATGTCAAATAATTGTTAGATCTCTCTTAGAAAGCTGAGTATTTTCAATTATCATAATTTAACAATAATTTGTTTTTGGATTTATTATCTTTTTATTCATTGTAATGAAAGATTATTTGCTCGTGAACATAAGGGTTATAAGTAGATTATTTGAGATCTTCGGCACAAACCCAACATTATGCCACAATCCTGTAAATGTGTGATATAAGCAGTCAAAGTACATAGATTATATAAATTATACATTGTCACTAATAAGAAATCACTCTACTTTAGTGATACATACTTTACTCTAGTCTCTATAGTCACTAACAATATATCACTTTTCTTGTGATTTTGATAATTTTATATGATGATGTTTTAAGGTAACACAATACCAAATTGCATATCTCCCGATTTTTAAAATTGTTTGCACACTTGTACTTTGATTCGAGTTACATTGGAATATGAAATAAAAAATGGGGGTCACCATTTTTGTTTTTTTTTGTAATTTTTATAAGAAAACCTCAGTTTTGGTAACAAATTTACATAGATATATAGGGAAAATGCCTTTTTAACTTATTTTTTTTTAGATTTTTCAATGGATGGCTTATATACGGAGAAAGACTAACATAATATCCAGGATAGTATACTGAATCCATGCATGTATAGAAACACATGTCACCAGCCTTGTTTTTTTTAGATACATTGCTTCAATGTTGACCACTTAGAATTTGACAGAAAACGTGTGACATTACTGAATACAGAATAATGTTATTTTTATTCAGAGGTATTAAATATAAATATGTTACGGATCAGAATGGTGTTTGTTATTCTATTTTCCATCCCTGTTGTAAATTTCCTATTAATTCAATATAACATTCTACTGAGTTCATTTATTTCGCCCTAACTGGGTGCACTTTTAGCTTTTCAAAACTGAATCTTCAACTTAACCCTACCAAACATGTATCCATGCATGAATAAAATAAAGTGCTTCAAAAATTTGATTTGGTAAACAGTGATGTTGAAGTACAATTTGAATTGATAGATTGATGGTTGCTTAAAGTCCAGTTGCAAATATTTCATGTATTTTCAGGACGATACAATACAATTTTAAGACACATTTGATGCAGCCGTCAAAAAAGGTTAAACATTCTGTTACATTTGTTGTTGTGAAAATTATAAATAAAATTAACATCTTGATAAAAAAAAAAAAAATACACATTCTCAATATAGTTTACTCTGTATGGTGTAAACGCGTGGGTTGTGTGCGTAGTTAGTCGGACAAACCTTGCAAACTGTATGCAAGATTTCACTTAAATTGACAAAGTTCAACATTCTGTCATTCGTTGAAAATTATTCAAAAAAAAAATAATCCTGAGAATATATATGCACTCTCAATATAGGTAAAAAACTTGGGCGCAATATATTATCAAAATGAAAATTCAGCAACCTGTCATTCAAAACAAAATAAACATCTGACAAGATGCCCATCTTTAGTATATGTACTAACACCAGGTACATAATTTAAAAGCTTAGGCTTAAAAACTGTAGTCCTAATAAATCAGCCATAAAAACCCTATATAGCAAGCGAGGGACAGACTGTCGCACGGACACGGGTAAAACGATATGCTCCCTGCATTTTGTCTAGGGAGCAAAATATATATTAGCATATATATGATGATGTTCTATTCTATAAGGCATTTGGTGACAAAATATCTTTTTGGAATAAGCAGTTCAAAGTGGAATGGTAATTGGGAGATCTCAAATGGAGCAATGTAAGCAAGCTAACAAAGATCAAATCTACGTCATTTGGTCTTTGATGGAAAGTTGTCTCATTGGCAATCATACAACATGTCCTCATTTCATAATGGTTTCAGTTTTTTCCTGAAATACAAGAAGTTTAAAGACTAACAAATACATACTAGGAGACTGAAATATGTTGCTGTTATAGTTAAAATCTGGCTTTTGTTGTGAAAATGTGATGCTATAATCTTATAGATTTAGTACTTGCTATACTAAATATATTCATAAAACTTTCCAATTCAAGGGACCAACTAATCTTTACTAAAACTACAAATTAGCATTAAAAAAATACTCGTCCATCCTGCAATAGTCACATTTTATCTAGATGTCTTTGGTTTAGTGTGTCGTTAATTGGCCAGTTGCTGTTTTATTGTATATCCCACATTTCCATTTATGCACACAAAAAAATAACAACCCTTTTAATTTACATACACACTTGTATATTTGTTGCAAAAACTCTTTATAAGACTGCAAATACTCTTGGGCTTTTCCCGAAGCAATAATGCCTGTCCCCAAAAAAAGGCACATTTGCTAATCGTCTGTGAGTCGTTTTGTCTCCCCACTTTGTGAAAAGGTGCATTTTTTATCAGCTGTACCTGTACATCATGTCCAACTCAAAACACCAAAAACAGACCCATCCCCAAAGACCAAAGTGCAAGTTAATATGAATCTAAAATCAAAACTGAGAACAAATAAAATGTAACGGGATCTGAATGATTTATATTTATTTCGTCTTAACCGAGTGCACATTTAGTGTTGACATCCCATATGTTTAAGCCTTTGTTAACTTTCTCCTCATTCCGATGTAGCTGTCCTGTGTAGACTTACAGTGCTTATACAATTTCAATGCTAGTAGTTTATTTTAAACAAGCTTCCATATCAGATTTCTTCTGTACAGTCCAATAAATTTCAAAGACTGTTTACACTTGAAACATAGGGAAAGTTTTTCGGCCAAATAGCCAAGTTCTTCTACTCTTCTTTTTTAATCCATGCCAACAAACCATTTTCTGTCTGGGTTTCCATGTCTGCTTGTACAGTGCTTTTTTTCGCTATATTCTATCCGTATTCTTTTCCAAATAAATTTCCTTTTTCTGTTTTGCTAGCGGCGTTTTTCGGTGACCATTTTAAAACGAATGGGTTTCTTAGCGTAATTGTATTAATTGTGGTATAATTCCTCGTATTTTCACACATTATCATGCGTTTCTATAGTTTGGATTTCTACATTCAAAACAAAATTTCATCAGAAACGCATGCATCATTAATAAGAATGAACTACAAAAAAAAAGTGAACAACACAGAATAAAAAGCTCAATCTGTTATGCATAAGAACACATATAGATAAATTGGACAAATGCTAACTTATCAAAAGAAACAGAACATTTAAATGTAAAGAATGAGAAGAAGAATGGGAGGAAAACAACAAAGCAATCAATGTCAAATAACGTATTGCATCAAATCTCTCTGCACTCTGCATCTAGGCAAAGTTACTATTAAAAAAGTTTATTAAAAATAAAAGGTAAATTTATTATTTGTTCATATCACGAGTACAGCCTACATGTATTGTGTCGTTAACCGCCAGAAATATGACCGAACCTGCTCCACTGACTGGTGTCTATGAATGTTGTTCAATAACATCAGGAACAATAACTCATAATGTAACTTCATTTGGTATTGTGTTACCTTAAGGTAAATAGGGGTTATAAATTTTTTGAATTGATAGCATCTTTAAACACTTTTCCAAAATGTAGCTAATATAGTGTTTTTTCTTGCCTAATGTTTCCCCTTATATAAGAACTCTAAGTGAAAGCCTAGTGATTACCTGAAAATGATGACTAGTTCCTTGTAATGGATTAATGGTGTTTGAACACATTAAATTTGTAGATTAATATGTTTTGTTTAACAGTTACCCTTTACATTCATAAGGTAAGATTGGACGATAAAGTAATGCCTTAATATTTCAGTATATTATCAAAATCCATAAAGCTAGGCTGCATGATAACCATAAACAATAATAAAATTTAAACCATAATAAGCCAAACAAGAGGCTCCTAAACGCCTAAATGGTTCACCTTTCAAAAATTGAAATTTTAGGCAAAAAATCTAAAAATTAGTCAAAAAATAATCAATAACTTAGATATGAAGTCTTCCAATGGATTTGGTCATTTGGACGATTTTTTAGATCTTGTATTGCTTATCATTTTTGCTATTTTCAGTTTTAACCTATCTATTCTATTTTTTCGAAATAATAGGCAAAGCTCGAAAAAATTAGTAAAAAAATTGTCTTGTAAGGGCAATAACTTCTTAAAGAAGTCATTAGATGGTTTAGGTTATGTTATGATTTTTGTCGATCTTGTTGTGCTGTTAATTTTTGGTATTTTAAATTTCTACTTATCTGATAAAGTTTTTCAAGATAATAGGCAAAAACTTCAATTTTGGTAGAATATGGAAGAAGGTAGATCTAGACATTCTGAGCATTTTTGCCCTGTCAGATTCTATCTACATAATGTATTAGGTTTTCAAGATATTAGACAACAAATGCATGTTACCCTTTATATGTTCTATTTCTAGCCATGGTGGCCAGTTGCTTGTTTGACAGGAATAAAAAACATGAACTTTATACTAGATACTCTAAGGATCATTCAGTTAAAGTTTGGTTTTAATTGGTCCAGTGGTTTCAGATGGAGAAGATTTTTGTAAAAGTTTATGACAAAGCCGGACGACTACGACAGATGCAGAATGCCAAGTGATGACAATAACTCACATAGACCTTTGATCCAAGTCAACTGAAATGCTATAACCTATTTAATTTTAATGTGAACCCCAACTTGTAACATCAGTTATTTTTAAAGTTAACCCTAACTGAAAAAAAATTCCATTGGATATTTATTACAAAAGTTTTAGTTTGTAATAAATATCCAAAAGCATAGTTTTATCCAGAACAGATACATTTATGACCAAATAGTTATCCAGAATGGATAACTATTAAACGCTTAAAATAGCATGCCATCCCTCATACTGCGTATGAAAAAGGTTCATAAAGGAAAGGAACTGGTCCGACTATGAATCATCACCATGTGCTGTTAATCATGTGTTTTTAGAATTTCCTACATTTTATTCATCATACCTTGTCTCCTTGAAGTCTTATTTCAGCTGGTCTTCCCATGTCTCCTTTTGCACCTGTTACACCATCAATACCAGGTTTACCCTAAAACAATTCAGAACATTTCAGCAAAGTTAAACATTGAGAAATATTCTTAATTCTAATTTGTACTCAATTAACAGGTGGGAAAGACATACCGGGTAAGGTTACCCAAACTCGAGCATCAAGCCAAAATTTTACAATCTGTCACAATTTTTCAGTTGTTGCAAAAAATTGTTATATAAAAGATGTCTACTGACAATTTGGCTATAAGTAGATACCATATTTGACGTAAATCTGAAATCTCCTTTTATTTTATGCCTGTAGAAATTAAGGCTCCATACCCATTTAAAAAAACTTTAGTGCAATTTTCAATATCCATACATGTAGCTATTGAAATACCAACTGCTATACATACCTTGAATAGATATCACAAAATTGATGATTTAGTTTCTTAATGATTTGTGGAGAAGTATTAATTATACAAGTGATATAAAGATTAACTCTTCAGAATAGATTTTTACATACAATTCAGAACTAAGCATATACATACCTGGATACCTTTATCTCCTCCGATTCCAGGTTCACCATCATAACCAGGTCTCCCTTGGAAGCCCTGCATATAATTCAAAGCTTTATTAGTTATTATTAAAGAAAGTGATGAAATATGACAGAATACAAATAGAATGATAATAACTATAATGCAGCTATCTTTTTTACTATAAGCTGTAGCGAAACCTGTATCAACCAACCTCTCTAGACTAAAGTTTTGTCCAGGTTAGAATGGTGTTCATTGCAGATGTCTTAATTTTCAGTATTTTATTGTATAAAACAAAAGCTAAACTTGAATTTAAAATTGTTGAATATGAGAATAAATAACTGTAGTATAATGTTCAATTTAGACATATTTTTTTCTCAGTATCCTGTTTTAAAATAAAAGCGTATATAGGATTCAATACAATACAAGTTGTGATAACTGAAAGATTTGGTCAGTAACAACTTGCAACTGTATGAAAATCAAGTTTAATGTGTTTAATTACTATTTCAAAAAAAATTATAAAAGCAAGAGGCTCCTTAGAGCCTGTTTCACTCAACTGTAAACATTTTACTGTTTATAGCTTCTACCTATCTACTATATTTTTTGAGATAATAGACAAAATCTAGAAATAAGTTAAAATAAATGGGTAATGTGTCCATGGGTCACAGATGATGCCCCCACTTCCTCTCTATCTTTTACAGTTTTGAAATAAATGGAGAATGTGTCTATGGGCCCAAGATGCCCCCGTTGTAAATATGAATGAGTAAATTTATAAAGGGGCATAACTCATGAACGGTAAAAGTGACGCCACACAATTTCGAACTTGATCTGTGTTAGGTGGTAATAAGCATTGTGTATAAGTTTTATAACATTTGGTTGAGGCAAACTAAAGTTTGGGGACTTACGGGACAGGCAACGGTAACACTTAATGCCCCCACCGTAGCGGCGGGGGCATAACAAAAACCACCGAAAATTGGTAAAATCATCTTTAAAGGGAAATAGCTCCTATAATGGGTCAATTGACAATTTTGGCCATGTTGACTTATTTGAAAAACTTGTATTTCTGAGCTTATTTTTCGCTATTTACAATTTCTCTCTTCTGCAAAAAATGCAAAAATGGGTAAAAATTATCTCTCAAGGACAATAACTCCTATAAAGGGTGGATAGATGATTTTGGTCGTTTAACTTATTTAATGATCTTATTTTGCTGAACACTTCAAATATTTATAGAATAACTAATCAAAGAATTCAATATAGAATAAAATGCTCCGCAGGGCGCAGCTTGATACGACCGCAGAGGTCGAACCCTGAACAGTTGGGCCAAGTATGGACACAACATTCAAGCTTGATACAGCTTTGCATTTGGATTGTGATTAAATATTTGACACAGCATAGGTTTCTGACACAGAATGAATGTGGTCTAAGAACTTAAAAATTTTAAATTGGACATTCACCTATTATGGTCCAATATCCAAAATCTAAATACATGGTTAGATTCAGCATATCAAAGAACCCAAAGAATTCAATTTTTGATGAAATCAAACAAAGTTTAATTTTGGACCCTTTTGACCTCAATGTGGACAAAGTTGATAACGGGGCCCAAAAATCAAAAATCTAAATACATGGTTAGATTCAGCATATCAAAGAACCTAAATATTCAATGTATGTTGAAATCAAACAAAGTTTAATTTTGGACCAACTTGAAAACTGGGCCCATAATCAAAAATCTAAATACATGTTTAGATTCAGAATATCAAAGAACCCTAAGAATTCAATTTTTGTTAAAATCAATCTAAGTTTAATTTTGGACCCTTTGGACCTTAATGTAGACCAATTTGAAAACAGAACCAAAAATTAAGAATCTAAATACACGGTTAGATTCGGCATATCAAAGAACCCCAATAATTAAATTTTTGATGAAATCAAACAAAGTTTAATTTTGGACCCTTTGGACCTCAATGTGGACCAATTTAAAAACGGGGCCCAAAATCCAAAAACTTAATACACGGTTAGATTCAGCATATTAAAGAACCCCAAGAAGTCAAGAATAAAACCCCATTGAAATTGGTCAAGAAATAAGCAATTTGTACAAAGTATCTTCTTTTGCACAATACTGTGCAATTAAATATTTCTTGCTATTGTGCAATACTGTACAATTGACAATTTCTTGCTATTGCGCAATATTGTGCTATTGGATATTTCTTGCTATTGCGCAATACTGTGCAATTGAAGATTTCTTGCTATTGCGCAATACTGTGCAATTGAAGATTTCTTGCTATTGTGCAATACTGTGCAATTGAAAATTTCTTGCTATTGCACAATACTTATTATATAATAATTTACACATCCTGTTTGGTGTGTATCTCCTACCATATCATTATTATTTGCTTTTAAATATAAATCAGAAATAACCAACTTAAAATGGAAAATTTTAAAAGAAAAAAAAAAGGAAAAAAAGAAAAAAAAGGTAAAAAAAAAAATCCCCCCCCCAAATTTTTTGAACCCCCTTATGATTCATCACCCCAAAACTCAATCCCAGCCTTCCCTTTGTGGTATGGTACCTTGCAGTACAATTTCAGAGAGATCCATACTCTTGAACACAAGTTATTGTCTGGAAACTAGAAAAATGTGTTTTTTGGCCCCTTTTTGGCCCCAAATGCCTAAACGTTTAGGGCAATTACCCCCAAACTCAAACCCAGCTTTCCCTTTGTGATAAGAAACCTTGTAGTACAATTTCAGAAAGATCCATACACTTAAACACAAGTTATTGTCCTGAAACTAGAAAAATGCTTGTTTTTTGCCCCTTTTTTGCCCCTAATTCCTAAAATATTGAGGCAATTACCCCCATCATCAATCCCAGCATTCCCTTTGTGGTATGGTACTTTGCAGTACAATTTCAGAGAGAGCCATACACTTGAACACAAGTTATTGTCTGGAAACTAGAAAAATGCTTATTTTTGGCCCCTTTTAGGCCCCCAATTCCTAAATGTTTCGGCAATTACCCCCAACCTCAAACCCAGCTTTCCCTTTGTGATATGGAACCTTGTAGTACAATTTCAGTAAGATCCATACACTTACACACAAGCTATTGTCATGAAACTAGAAAAATGCTTGTTTTTTTGCCCCTTTTTTGGCCCTTAATTCCTAAAATTTTGAGGCAATTACCCCCAAAATCAATCCCAGCATTCCTTTTGTGATATGGAACCTTGTGGTACAATGTCAGAGAGATCCATACACTAACACACAAGTTATGTCTGGAAGTTACAAAAATGCTTATTTTTGGCCCCTTTTTGGCCCCTAATTCCTTTACTGTTGGTACCATAACCCCCAAAATCAATCCCAACCTTCCTTTTGTGGTATTGAACCTTGTGGTAAAATTTCATAGAGATCCATTCACTTAAACTAAAGTTAGAGTGCGAAAACCAATGTGTCTTCGGACGACGCCGGACAACGCCAGACGACGACGACGACGACGCCAACGTCATACCAATATACGACCACAAAAATTTTTTTGCGGTCGTATAAAAATAATCAACGAGTGACCAAACAACACATTAATTTACAAATGTGCGTAGTTAATTATCAGTGTTTTCCGTAATGAGTTGAATATTTTTTGATATTTTAATTATTAGATTAGTTATTTTTTTTATCACATTGACCATGGGTTTTTTAATGGAAATAAAATATAAGTTACAAGGAACAATATCTATTTCTAAGCATTCCCAATTTGTTTTGATGCAACGTCATATCCAATGTCTTGACAACACCCATTGTTGTATGACGTCAGAGGAGAGAAATTATCGGATTTATTTAACATGTGAAATTATTGGTTTTTATTTCACTGGGAAATCACAGTAATTCATTGTTACGAATATAATAATTAAAGACACCCATTATCTACTATAGTTACACAAAAGATGACAAAAAGGATAAACATCATCTTTCAAGGTCAATAAGTCTTTTAAAGGGACAATTGACCATTTTGGTGGGTTTTTTAACTCATGGTTTTAAGAATTAATTTCAAAATAACTATCAATAAAAAAAAATTGGCCCTTCACTGGATATTCAAAGTTTAGAGTTTTTTTAACCACACAATCCACAAAAATGGAATTCCACCAAAAAAATAATAGTATTTTCACAGCATTACAACCAAAAACATATTATTCCAATTCAATTATAATTTCATATACTTTGGTAAAGAAACTAGTATTGCTCAGTTCAAAGGTCCTGAAAACTATTGGTTTAAGCAAAGAGTATTTTTAAGTAAAAAATAAATATAATTTACTACTTGCAAAACAAGTACATGTATGATTTCACTTTTAATGACCATTGTAATTTTGTAGATACAAACCATTACAAAGGATAGTACCTAACTATTTTGTATACTGACCCTTAATCCTGATTGGCCTGGTTCTCCTGTCTCTCCTTTGAAGCCTAATCCAGGAAACCCTAGATCTCCAGGTTCCCCCTAAAAAAGAACATGAGTATATACATAATTTATCCAATTTCCTTATGCTTAATTTTTATACTTAAATTTCAATGACAATTTCTTTTTTAACTGAAGACTAGATGTTGTTATTCATTTATCATCTATAAGTTATCAAAATTATTTTTTATTTGTTAAAATGCATTGTTTTAATTTCATTGTAATCTCTTATAAATAAATTACCTTTGGACCCCTTAGACCAGATTCTCCTCTAGAACCTTGTAAACCTGGCAATCCATTGATACCATCAGCTCCTCTTAAACCCTGTAATGCACATAACCATGATAAAGGTGGATTAAAATAGTCTAAAAGTGTAAGATACATTACAGCTTGTCATTTACTTACACTGCTACATTTGTAAATGTTAATATTTCTCTGTCGAATATTTTATCTCTACAATTATTTGTAAAACAATTGATCCAAGAATTCAAATATAAAAAAAAATTCAACAAGTGACAGGTCAACACGATAATTAATGAATGCATGTAGTGCTTGAGTTACTAATCAATGTTCTCAGGTCACAAGTTGAAATTTCTTCATATTTGAAATTGTTGATCAATCATTCTTTTACAACATAGACTTTTAATGTAAACAAGCATTCTGAGAGTATTGCATGGCAATACTTAGTCCCCTACCGGTTAAAAAATTCATTGTACTGGAACAAAATGCTATCTTGATCTATAACTTGTCATGGTGTAAACTATATAAAATATCAAGTCAATATCTTCAAGTATGACAAAAAAAAGTGTGGAAAACTGATTATTTAAGTGAATTTTCTAAGTCCAAGGACCATAACTCTGCACAAAATAATCAGACCTGAACAAAATTCGAAATTCATCTGTAACTTGTCATGATAAAACAAAACACCAAATATCAAATCAATATCTTCAAGAACGAAGAAAAAAAGTGCGGAAAACTGATTTGCTGGACTGACGGATTGACAGACAGACAGACAGACAGACAGACAGACAGACAGACAGACAGACAGACAGACAGACAGACAGACAGACAGACAGACAATAATTTAACATATAAAATATTCAAGAGTCAGTAAATGAACCATGACTAATTTCAGTGACAAGTAAGCTCTGTGGAAATGTTTTTACAACTGCATACCAATTATCATTGACTTATCATAAGTGGTTCCCTTTTAACTAACATTAACACAAACTTTTAACATGTAATATATGCAAACGCTTCAAAGTCAATCAACAATGATGAGCGGGCATACCCAAATAATCTCCATGGAAATGAAATGTGCAATTTCTAATACAACTGCATACTAAATATCATTGACTTACCATTAGCAGTTCATCTTAAACTGATCTCCACAAACTTAAACATGTAAATTATGCAAAAGTTTCAGTCAATAGACCATGACTGAAGTGGTTGGGTCAAATAGTCTTCATTGAAATGAGATGTGCAAATGGTAATACATCTGCATACCAAATATCATTGACCTACTACAAGCAGTTACCCCTTAAACTTACACAATCACAAACTTTAGGCAAAAGTTTCTGTCAAAAGACAATGACTGGGTTCCGGGGCCAAATAATCTCCATTGAGATGAAAAAACTGTAAACTGACCTAATCACTAACTAAATCTATTACATTGTTGAAACCACCGCTGAAAACAGAACACCTAGGTCTTGCTTTTCAACTTTTACAAAGCTAGACAAAAAGTAAACAACTACATTATTTTTTCGACATTCTTACTTCAAGATGATGCAACATTATTGACTTGTCAGAGGAGTGAATTACAGAATATATTTTACATGAAAAAAAAATTTTCAATAAAGAAAAATCACAAACATCCTTGTTTATCATATGATAAAATATCATAAAAAATATTTAGACAATTACCACAATGTAATCTGGTTTTGACTTTATTAGAAATTTAATTGAAACCAATTTAACAATAGGCAGTTTCAGAATCTAAAGGACTATGGGTAATTTTATTGTTCGTACCCCAATATGAAAATAACCTCACATCATTGGTTGAATTGCCATTGTTTAGGACGTTTTAACCAATCACGATGTTTTGCTGTACACTTTTGAAAATATTACCCAGAATACATTATATTTTGAAATGGCCAATTGATATTATATACATTGTCTGCTGACATACCTTAGTTCCATTACAGCCAGAAAATCCAGGTGGACCAACTATACCTTCTATTCCTTCTGTACCCTGTAAATATTCATTAAAGTTTCTACAATGGCAATCCTATCATGTCGTCTTATTTTTATACAATTGTGAAGTAAAACCATACTTTAAAAGTTAACCCTTTGTTGCTGAAGCAACTATTTAAAACAATGAGAAAATTTTTAACCATTTAAAAATTATATAAATGCTGATCTTTTATTGGCTGAAAGATGAATCAAATGACATGTTTAATTTGTAATTATTTATTGATAAACTGTTAATTTTTAACATATTTTGGCATAACAATTCATCAATATCTTGTCATACAAGTTATGCAAAATCAGAAAAAAAAATATGATCAAAATTGTTTCATCATACCACATTTAACACGATAATACATGTGAATATTTTGATCAAGAATATAAAATCACAAATTTGTAAGCTCAATTTTCAAATAGTCCCTAAAAGATGAATTGTTAAAATTGGAAATATTCATCAATAAAAATCCCATGAGATTACATGTATACTTACTGGGGTACCAGGGACTCCTGGAAAACCTGGGGAACCAGCTCCACCCTGTAGCAAAGAAATGATGCAATGATTTAGAATAACATTCCAAGAAATTTGTAAGACTAGAACATATTATCAGTACACAATTATTTATAAAATGTTTGTCCATCAATTATTTCAATTTTCAATTAAGGCTTATACCTCTTTATTGCTAATGTTTCTTTTTTTTTCATTTTTGACTACGAAATAAAAATTCTTTCAAACATTATAAACGTAAACATTAATTAATTTTACTCTGGTCTTTTAGTGTGAATACAAAGTATATGATACAGACCCTAGGTCCTTGTTGTCCCTCGCCTCCAAATTCTCCTCTATCACCAAAAAATCCGTTTGGTCCATCTCGACCCATTGGGCCCAAAAATCCAGGCAATCCTCTAGGTCCCCTCAAGCCTGACAAACCTCCAACACCCTGTAAAATAACAAAATTTAACTACAATCAAGAAAATACTAGAACGGTTTTGTATAAGTTTTATAACATTTGGTTGAGACAAACTAAAGTTAGTGAACGGAAACGAAAAATTCAGCAATTTTTATGTTTATAAAGGGACATAACTCAAGAATGGTAAAAGTGACACCACCGAATTTCGTACTTAATCTGTATTATGTAGTAATAAGCATTGTGTATAAGTTTCATAATATTTGGTTGAGGCAAACTAAAGTTAGAGAACAGAAACAATATTTGTACTTGATCTTAGTTTTGTGGTAACGAATATTGTGTATAGGTTTCATAAGGTTTGGTTGGGGCAAACTGAAGTTACAGAATGGAAACTAAAAATTTTGCAATTTTTCGATTTATAAAGGGGCATAACTCAATAATGGTTTAAGTGACACTACCCAAATTCAACTTGATCTGTGTTTTATCAGTGGAAGGCAAAATTAAACATTGCATTGTATAAAGCATTGATTGTAGTTGATTTAACTATAATCATGGACAAAGGAAGATAACTCCAATTTTAAAAATTACTTGAATAATGACATTGATATTTTTGGAAAAAAAATTAAAAATTTAGCAATTTTTCCATTTATAAAGGGGCATAACTCAAGAACGGTTAAAGTGACGCCACCAAAATTCAAACTTGATCTGTGTTTTGTGGTAATAAACATTGTGTATAAGCTTGATAACATTTGGTTGAGGTAAACTTAAGTTAGAGAACGGAAACCAATTTTGGGACGTCCGGACGGATGGACGTACGTATGTACGGACGGACAAGGGTAAAACTTTATGCCCCCTCCGCTTCAGCGGGGGCATAATAAAAAAACATAGTATATCTGCAAACAATTGACAAATCTCAGAACATTTCTGATTCAGAGAAGAATAGAATATTTTTTAAAGAGGTCTATTCACTTTTCTATTTTCCTCACTCCTTCTTACTTAAATCAAAGAGCAGAAGTGCTGGAAGGGCAGTTACTACAGAAAGAGCAGATAATCAATGTTTTTGTGACTTCTAGTTTTAAAATTTCTGTAAATGTTGTAATGGCTATGGGTGTTCCTTAATTACAAAAAACTTTTTCATGTGCAAGATCTACTTTCTTCCTTTTTTGTGGTCAGAGCAGCAATAAGTTCAAATTAAATGTAAGTCCTCAATTCTGGCACTGAGTACCGATAAGCCAATTAAAATCAAACATTTATCAACATTGTTTTCAAAATTGCCCCAATAGATATCTGTGATATTTATTATCAATTGATAAAGTACAATGTATCCCCAAACAAAGTATTGCATATCACTGCATCAAAGCAAATATACACTTTCCTAGCAGTTGTTTGATTATTATTTTTCTTGTCAAAGGTTTAAACAGTTATCTGTAGTTTCCATTTAATTCATGCTTAACTCTTATGTTATTTTCACATGACTGTTAGACAGTAATTTGAAGGACTCCTGCATTAATATATTTCAATCAATTTAAATACAACAAATAAGGATTGTTCAATTGAATTTAACTATTTTCAATATTATGGGTAAAATAACAAAAAAAATACTTTTGACTTTATCTTGAAGCAACTTAAGAAACTTGTTAGCAAATTAAACTGGGATCCTGACCATTTTCAACTCAGAGGTTGGGCCAGGTATCAAGGCTTCTGCAAGAATGTATTTTTGTGCTCAAAATGGTGTCACACAACTGCCTTTAATAATGAATCATATATAACTGAAAATTTTGAAAACCTTCAATTAATAATCTGACACACTGAAAATTAAATCATGAATACAACGGATTTTATATTATTTATGAAATACATGTGGAAAAATAATTTTATAATAAAGAGTTCAGTAAAGATCTCTTGCTGAAAAGGAAGTTTGACTGCATAACTAGTAAAAAGGTATAATTAATTATCTGAGTTATCTCCCTTATAGTATCAAAATTTAAGTTATCTCCCTTATTCTATAAACATATAACTTGTCTCTCTTATTGTATCAAAAATTAAACTAAGAAAAAAAATTATATTTGAAACAAAAACTTCCAATAATCATCATGAAAATGAACCCCTTTTTATAACTTTGCAAATCAGATTTGATTTCAACAACAGAAAAATGCAGAATAACTCAACAAAACTTTCTGTTTAAAGGTCTAGCTTGAAGTCTTTAATAAATAAGCTTTTTTACAATAACTCTTTTTTATAAACTGCCATCATAATTTTAAGTTGTTCAAAAACCAAAAAATTGCTTCCACAATTTCAGTATATTTCATATTTTAAGCAGCAGATGTTGTGGAACCAGGATAGCAATGTTTCCTAGCATAAAAATTCCAAATAGCCTTCAGATTCAGGAGAAAATGTACAATCACAGGAAATTTCTGGTATTAATCAGACTAGCTAGAAAAGCTGGGTAATAATACTTAATATTATTATAAAAGAACTGTCCTTGTAAATTTGCCTTTAAATACATCTGGATGAAAAACCAAAATGTAACCATTACCTTGACTCCCTTCTGTCCAGCACACGTACATGTTGTCTGATGACAGCCTTTACACACCTGTAAATGGAATAAAAATGTGTAAGAGTATGATATAACTATACAAAGGAAAGCTCTGATTAATTGATGCCGGCTAAATGTCTAGTGGCAAATATTTCAATATAAAATTAATACTTTTTGTACCATATAAATATACTCTGCTTTGGACAATGTACTATACTGATTTCCTTAGTTATATTTTTATCAAATGTGCTTAATCACAAGATAACACCAGATTTTTCTATTAAATCCTTAATTCTGTGTGTGTGGAAGAGAAGCATCAAATAACAGTTTTAAAATGTTTGGATTGAACCCATAAGCATCCAAACTTGAGACAACTTAGTTGAGTACAGACAAATATGTACAGGTCAAAATGACCAGAAAGACATTCTTTAGATAAGTAACTCTTATACCTTATCTAGATGCTTTTTTAGAGCAACTTATAATAAAAGGAGATGTTGGCTGTGTGTCAATAAGACAGCAACCCAACAACAGAAGTTACCAAAATATATTTTGAGGGCAACATAGAGTCTTCAACAATAGAAAGGTGTACATGTCTATACAATATGTAAGACTCTAAATCTTCCAGTCTATAAAAGTTGTGAACGAATGATTTATGGCATTTAATGGATAAGAAAATAAAAGGGCTGTAAGATTGCCAATGAAACAACCTTCCACCAGAGACCAAATGACAAAGAAGTTAGCAAATAGTGAAGTAGAAGGTGAAGGTCAAATAAACCTATTTCTTATAAAACACAAAAGTACTCCATTTTTGCTAGATTTTTGCAACAAATTAAATGACTGGAGCTAAAGTAAATTTAGTATCAGTGAATTGAACTCAGATATGATTTTCAGGGAATATTTGAGTAAAGGACCAGGGCAGCACATATAAACTACAGTTAGTGTAATATTGTATGGATTAGACCAAGAACACAAAAATAAGGAAAAAACAAGTTGAAATAGTTAAAGAAAATGAACTAAAAAAAAACAAAGTCACACAAAAAAAAATATTTGATAAAGTGGGTCCATGCCCAAGCATCTGTGATTAAAGTAAAGGTCTTGTCTTCTTCTTTGATATAGTAATTAAATTCAGTAATGAGTTATGTAAATTTACAAATAATATAAGAAAAAGTCCAAAAATAGAGGTTGGTCTCTTTATATCATGATTCAGTCTCTACTTTTTATTCAAAATTTTAGAAAGGCAATCAGAAATAACGATATCGGTATAAAAGATACTTGTTTACAATTTTAAAAGTTGTTATAGAACTTGAGAGGACCTCTTGTCCAATTTCTTGCCATTAGAAGAAGATACATGCCAGATCCCCACAATACAAAACAACAAAAACAAAAATATTATCATTCACTGTAACATGTGAAACAACAGGGTTTACTTTTTTTTTCATTTTATAATTTTGAACAAGCTCAATTCCACTAGATTGTAACAACTTCATTGTAATAGGGAAAGGAAACAGTCCCATTTATTCACTAAGCAGTGGGATGGGAGTAAACTGAAAAGGGGACAAACTTCTAAAAGTAACAAGCAAAGACAATAAAACCTTCTTCTATAGTCTAATAGTTTTGTTGTTAGAAAGTTCCCTCTTTCATTTTTATTTTGTATTTTCAATAACTTTTTGCCAAAAAGGGGGGGGGGGGGGCAAACATTTTGTTTAACCTTTTGGTGACCCCCCTTTTTTTCTCCAGTATAGGACTTTTTGAGTACTTTGGACAAAAGTTCCAGAATTCAGCAGAAAACACTGATGCAACCATAAAACATAATAATAACTTGGCATTTGTACAAGTATTTTACATTCTTGCTCTGCTTTGTATACTTTTATGTAAATTTAAATATGTTCATTTTGGTGTCCTTTTGTACCCTGGTTAACAATTGTGCATTTAAGGTGGTTAAAACAAAAACAACCCTTATAGCTTGCCTTTGTATAATCTTGCTTTTCTTTGTATTTCTGTGATGTATACCTCTTTGGTCGGGTTGTTGTCTCTTTGACACATTCCCCATTTCCATTCTCAATTTTATTTCAGGGTATTTGTGTCCATTTGACTGTATTTCCCCTTTTTTCCCTTAGTTACCATGGTGCGTCACAAAATGTGACATTGAATATGGGCCTTTATTCGTTCTTTTATTCTTAAAGGTACAGACTTCTGTATTGCTATTATAGTGTTCGCGATCCCGTTTACAAATAAGAAACAGACTATACTTACAGCTCCTAAAGAGATGTCTACAATCAGCGTGAAAACTAAGAGACCAAATAAAAATGTCCGTTCGTTCATTTCTAAAATAAATATCCTAGTTCTCCACAAACATTCAACAGCGGAAAAATCCTAAAATCCGCACCACAGATCTTAAATTTTCTTTTAAACTTTTCCGTGGTAGCAGACTACATTTCCACCATTTTCTGTCGTGCAAAAATGCAAATGTATTATAGCGCAGTCAGTTTCCTCAACTCCTACGCCCTTGCGCATGAAATAACAGTTAAAACTTTTTTCTTACAGTTGTCAAACATACACTTTTTGACGGAAATTCCTATGTTAATATACAACACTTGTGAGGATAAAATCAAAAAGTACTAGATAAAACGTTCATGACAAATCCCACTTTCTGTACTCAAGAACTTTTTCCTATGTCGGATGTTTGTCATAAACGCAAAATTCTTCATGAATTACATACACTCTGGGCATCTGTCAATCATATGCAAATCAGTGTTGATAAGATAATAAGTCTTTGTATTAAGTTACAAATAGATAAAAATTAACAAATACAAGGTTCTTTTCTGTTTCTTATGTAACAACAGAGATAAAGCTGGACACTTTCAGTAAAAGAAAAATCTCCAAAATACGTGAAACAAATATTTTGGTAATTAATATTTGGATACAACAGACACAGGAAAGTTCATTTCATTACAGGTTCAAAACACGTGGATTAAATAGAAACAATCAAGTGTCGCTTTTTCATTGAAAATCTTAATTGTAAAGGGATAATATTATTTAATTGTTGTACTAAAATGAGTGACTTTGACATAAATTGTGTAACGCAAAGTCCAGTTAAAACTTATTAACTTTTGCCTGTTTAACATTTTGCGCGACCAACAAATTGCAAGCGCCGCCCACCGCTTCCAAATCGGTAAACTGCAGTGGCACTATCTTCAGCCGAATTACACAGAAAGAACGGAGATCACCGTACTCTGAAAGCGGCTAGATTTTTAATGCTTTCTTGAAAAAACAAACTCATTCTTTAAGTGGAAAGTGAAATTTGGCTGAGATTTATCTCAGCGGATTGGAAACGGCAGATCTGGCCGTCTGAGGACGTTTTAGGAGTTTCCTGAGGAAACACACAAATATTTGCGGTCTGATTCCGTATATTTCTACCGTAGTTCTTTCCATTGTTAAATTAAAGCCATGAATGAATGGTAAGTGCTTTCTATATTATTATTACAATTTTATTTTTGCAACTCATATTTGAAATTTCAATAAAAAATATTAGTTAAAGATTTTGCGGGTGGTATTGCATTTCTTTGGGCGACCTATAGTCTGTTTCAATAAGATGAATGCAACAATGGCGGACGACTTCTGAAAACTCCATGGATATTTATTTATATCTTAAGTTATGAACATCAATACGAAAAGATGAAATGACGAAACAAAACCATTTCTTAATTTTCTTTGATACAACGCTTTATATATATATATATATTTCTCTGTTACAAAGATGTTTAGCAGTTTCCTCGAACTTATACAACCGTTTCTTGATTTTTCTTTTAGATGGCCTTTGCGGCTATCAAGTGTTTCATTTAATCTCTAACATTGTATTAATTTTTTAATGTCATGATTTTCAGGCTTTTGAAGATTGCCTGTCTGGTATCATTATGTAGTTATCACGCCGTGTTAGCTGTAAGTATATGTTATTTATCTTACATAATCAGCTATTAATGTTGGGATATCAGTAATCCCTTTTACCATGTTAACTCTTATCGTTTTACAGCTGTGGTATACTGACCCGTACATGTTTGCAATTGACCGAGTTTATTGACCATTGGCATCACATTAACTACTGATCATGAGAACAGTTTTTACATAAAACTGAAAGGAAATGATTGAAAACGTTCTTATTTCACGTCACAAATGACATAAGACTTATAAAAAAAAAGCCTGTATGTAATTATTCCATTTCGTCACAGCGGAATTTTTTTTACCTTGTTCAAATATCAGACACATATTTACTAGAACATATTAAATCATGTCTCTGAGAAACAAACGATAAAATCTACAAAATTACTATAGTTGTGACCTTCTTATGATTTTTATTGCAAGCCGTGCTTGAAGAAGCTTATCAAGTTCTGATAAAACTAACGCCAATTAAAATCAGATTAGGTATAGAATTTGAATTTGAAGTAAATGTCAGTTTGTCAGTTAAACTCGACACGAATTCCAAAAAAGAAGTATGATGATAGCAACAAGAACACATGACATACTAGTAATGGAAAATAAATAAATTGAATTATTGAAGAGCATTTAATAAAAAAATCTTCAAAAAAGAGGGGATCATGCAACAAGCGCCTGTTGGTTATTATGCATACAAATATGTTCCAGTTCCACTCAGGTGAGGCTGAAGATGAAGTCAATTATTTCCTTAATTGTTGCACACATTTATAAAAAATAAAGGAATTAATGTAAAATATATTAAAATCATGACCATGCTTCCAATATTTAACAAAATGACAAGTTAATTGGAATATGATTAATGAAGACCCATAAATATTATTACCCATTGTATAATTATATGTATACGAAAATACTGGCGATTACACAAACCAGCAAAATAATCTCGATTTAATTTTCAAGAAAGAATCTATTACTTGCTCCTGAAATCATTCCTTTAGCATGAAGAAGTTTATAAATATATTCCGTGGCACCGTCCCTTGGCGATTATTACCGGTTCATTATAGTCTCCAAAATTTTGTAATAATACATTATCTTTCACAAAATACATTGTGTGTGTTTGACTGAACTGCGTTAATTAAGTAACAGTAAGGAGTTTTGACTCTTAGTAATTTCTGCAGATGCGTCACATTATCAAGTGTACAATGTACTATTGAGATATTATTCCACACAGTTAGCTGTGCGTTAAATTTATCTGCAGTAGTTACAAGTAGGGATTTCTAGGTGCCTTCTGCTGATAAATTAACAATATATTTCTCTCGTGCCAAAGTCAATCTCCAACATCAGTATAAAGAGTGAGCACCCACCTTTAATAGTTTATATTTTTAGATTGTTAGTTGGATATATATATATATACTATTGTTATGCAAATCACGGTTTCCAATTGTTTTATTGTTTTGTGGTGTGTGTGTTCTGTGGTCCATTTTGGTGAACAAACAAATTCCAAATTCTTCTATATACATGTACATGAGAAAATATAGAAAACTTTTTGACCACTGGGTAAAAAAAAATCATAATCCATATAAATTTATAAAGAAAAATATCTTCAGCATTTCTCCTACGCTCTCAAAACACTTTTGCATCGTAAATACAAATAAAGCCATCACTCATATTTACAACTTTTCAACATAAGTAGATAAAATACAATGGTCGATTAATATAAATTGTTTTACACTAGAAATATTTCAATAAAATAAGAAGCGTTTTATCAATTATATGCATGAAATAGTGTGAAATTATTTATGTTTGGATGAGAACAGGAAATCTCCACAGGATATTGACACTAGCGAGAAACAGCTGTGGTAAGCCTGAAGCACTTTGTGGGGTGTCTAGACCGTCTTAGTCAGCATCTTGCTATGTTAAGATTCTCAACCACTGTCCATTCATAAATTATACATGTATAATATTATCACACTCATTAAATTGATAACATAGAGTCAAGTCACGTTCTGTTCCAGATGCACTGACACCGAAAGACATCCACTGATCGTAGTTCCCAACTTGTTGATAATTTTTTGATTAGTGGTAGACGCATTTAAGGGGGGGGGGGGTCTGTTCACATGCTCTAGTGCAGTAAAATTTACACCGTGGAAAAGCAAATCATGAAATGTAACTTTTCTTTTCATTTTCATTTTGTAAATGTTTTGCACAGATTACAAACACTTAATTGTCTCTAAAAAAAATACCGATGTACCTTAATAAATATCAAGGTATAGGTACTTTTTTCTGACATAAGTGCCTGTGCTACAAACGCCATTTTTGTAACTTTGATCAGACGCACTTAGCATTGGTTGGTAATTTCGCATAGAAGTTTTCTTGTAAAAATGTTTATTTATTGCAATCAGTTTAGAGAACCGAACTTATCAGCTATAAAAGTAACATGAGAAAAGTTTATCATCACTGATATATATCACAAACACACACATCAATCTTTCCCTGCAAAAGTCAGTTAAAACGGCATTTCAAACATTAGCAATATTCCCAAGAAAATATCGTAAACATTTTTTTATCGTAATATCAATTATATAAGATCATATAACTATGAATTTTGATAACACAAGCCTAATTAAACTTCGATGTGAAGGGCATTGTCCTGGTTTTATGGTGGCATTATTCCAAGTAGAACATCCCTTTTTTTGAATCTCCATGCATTTGAACGAAAATACGGCAAATAGTTACTGATGGAAAATGATAAAAATCATACAGACTTTGTAAAAAATACAAAATTCAGGAGAACAAGCATCTACACTAGCGCAGTGACCTGAATCATCTATCGGTCGCAGCAGTGACACACTTAACTTTCACTAAAACATAGATCCCCATTCACGATAGGACAAGGAGGGATTTGTATTTAATGAAAAAAATCTTGTGACAACCACAACAAAGGCAATACAACGCTACAGTTAGTACGAAACAAGCTAATGTAAAATACCATTGACAAGGTGCCTTGGAAAGGTACACTAAGACAGAGGCATATATAACATATTGTACTATATGTCTCTGACAAAGATGAAGAATTCCGTGTGCATTTCCTTATATTATTCACAATTTTCGTTTGAGCAAATTAACACCAATAAATGTTTTAAATAACTGGTTGATGCTCTGCTCCTCTTGTGTATGTACTTTTAAAATTACTTTGTACTCAAGTGCTATTGTTATGTTGATACTTATACATTTAATCTGATGTATACTTTCTCTAAAATTTGGATACAGAACAAGAGCAGAGGCTTGTGAAATGAAAAATGTTCACGATATAGTTAGAAGCATTCTTGTTGTCAAGAGTTAGTTTAATTGTTGCAGTATTTTTCTTATAATCTGCTGAAAATACAACCAAGATGTCTTCTGTAGGTTTTTTTTAATATAGTATCTTTGAATTGATCTATATGATACCTTGCTTTAGTTTTAAGGAAACTTGAACGCATATGAATGCCAATTTGGATGGTTCACATAAAACATTTTACTAGTAACTAAGGACTTAAGAGAAAGATTACAGCTATAACTTTATTAACTTTATTGAAAGCCTGAGCTGAGTTAGTATTGTGTTTGTTCGCTACATTCTATTCATAAATACCCAGATTATAAGCCAGACTAA